AGTAGATAGGAATAATCTAAGAATAGGATATTATAAGGACAGGGTTATATAATAGCTTGTTAAGCTCGCAGAAAGAAGTAAGTATAGAGCCGAGCGAGCGCTTATCGGGCTCGAAGCGCTTAAGGGCTACGAGCTCTAAGAGCAGAATAAGTAAACGGATTTTATAGAACGGACTTCTTATATATAAAAACGCTCCTTTATATAAATAGGAACTTTATATTTAACTTAAGACTTTAATACTACCTATTAGAAGTAATAACCCCGTTTTATACCTAAGATTAATCTTGCCTTACCTTTTAAAGACTATTGCACCCTAATAACAACTTAACCTATACTCTACTTTAGTGTATAACACTTAAAAGGTATAGAAAAGACGACCTGTTATACTAATAAGGCAGGCAGTTACTCTACTACCTATAGTAGTAGTAAAGAATCTCTAAAAGAAAGCAGTAGCAGTATTTTTAGAGTATAAAGATATTTTTTTTATTAATAAGCAGTTAGCAGTATAAAAGGTATTTAAAGATAATAAGCAGGTAAAAAGCTTTTTCTTAACCTCTAGAAAGCTCTATAATATATAGGTTAGCAAAATTATAGCCTATATAGTGCAGTTAAATATTTAGAGTAGTATTAAAGCTGTAGATAATATTAAAAAAAAGCCTGTAGAGCAGGAAAAACTAGATTAGCTAGAAAAGAATAAGGAAATTAGGTTAGCTATAAAAGGATAAGGGAATTAGCTTAGCTATAAAAGGATAAGAAAATTAGCTTAGCTGCGCAAAGCTGTATAAAATAGATAGATTATATAATATTCTCTATTTTATAGTCTATACTAGACTACCTAGACTACCTAAACTAGCTATACTATACTAAACTGCCTAGACTATAAAATAGAGATATCCTATAATCTATCTATTTTATATAGCCTTGTATAGCCGAGCTAATTTCCTTATCCTTCTGCAGCTAAACTAATTTTCTTATCCTTCTACAGCCGCTATTATATAATCCTTATCTATAATAAACTACTACTATATTCTAATAATTCTAGTAATATAGAAGAAGCTTCTAGTGCTGCTAAGGCTGCTGCCTAGTAATTCACGCGTTTTAACGCGTTAAAAGTTGGCTAATTTCTACTAAATAGTGCAGAATTATATTATATATTATAAATTTAGATCTAAAACAGGGGCGTTTTTCGCTGCATAGCGCTAAATTCGCTACTACCTAGGCTGCTGCCTAGCTAACGTGTTAGTTTTATATTTCCGGATAAGAAAAACGGCTAGGCTATATAAGACTATATAAAATAGATAGATTATAGAATATCTCTATTTTATATATAACCTTAATTCTCTAGTAATAACTTACTTACTACTTTTTTCCTATTTAACTAGCAGTTCCGTATATACTAATTCTATATAATTCTTGCAAACTAATCTTTCCTATTATTTATACTAAACTTGCTCTCTACTTTAGCTTTAAGGGTATTCTAAGGATCTAGATATACTAGCTTTTCTGCAGGTATATTTAAATTACTCGGGCGGTTTAAATTAATAAAGTTATAAACAGCTATATAGCAGTAGACTACTTAAACCTATATATTTAGCAGGAAGTTCGCCCTTAGTGCGTTAAAGTACTGGAATCTTAATTTAAAAATACTAAATATCCTCTTAATAGTATTGCGCAGAGAGGTGTATTATAAGTTAAATAATTCCTTTTTATTTACTAGCTTTAACCTTGCTCTTTTATTTTCTTTTAGGTAATAGCAGACTCTACAGAACAGCGCCAGCATAATAATAGTATTGCTATACCCAGCGTCTGCTATATAGTAACAGCCGCGAGGCACCTTAAATAGATAGTTAGCGTTCCTTACTACAGCAAACACTTGCTAATTATAAGCAGTACCCTTCTATCCTGCTAAGGCGTATACAAAATTACACTTAAAATTAACAGCTGCGAATACATTCTGCGTTAGTTGTTGCGCCTTGCCCCTCCACGCCGCCTAATAATTCTCACCACCACGAATAGACACGGGCAGATGCGTGCCGTCAATCGCGCCGAGGCAGTTATAGAAAGCTAGGTCTCGTTTTAGGTTATCCAGGATAGCATCGGGCGTCTTATTTCGGGGTAGAACTATAAGCTCAGTATAGAGCTCAAGCAGGGCCGGAATAACCTTATAAACCACACTTCCTAACACGTTAGATTTTGCTAACAAACTGGCAGGGCAGCTCGACAGCTTACGAATGTATGGTCGACGAGCTATACTGCATATACTTGCCAACCTGGCGATAGGAATTATTCGCCGCAAATACTAATAAAAAGATGAGCAACTTCTCTTCTACAGAGAGTAGCGTTGTGTCCTTTACAAGCCCTGTTCCTTGTAGGAATTCAGACAGCTTAATAAACACGTCGGGTCTTATCCTCACCATGTTTTGCATCCTAATTTCGTGGCCATGTATAAGCGAGGCCGTCCACATTGCGCCTCGAAACATATCCGTGTTCTGTACCCTAACGCCCACAGGTTCCTTATGCGCCGCCGTTAGGAGTAGGAGAAGGGCAACATTATAAAGCAGCAAGAGGTGGACTAGCAGTGCGGGTGGCGGCGGTGCCATTATCACGAATCTGCAGACGTTGGTGTTGAGAAATGAGGCTTTACGGGTGCACGTGACGAACTCGAACTCGCTCGAGTTCTGAACTCGAACTCGAACTGCAACTCAAAGCTGCAGTTCTAAACTCGAGCTCAACTCGAGCCTTGGCGGCCACATAGGGTTTACCGCGCACGCTTGCAGGGTTTTTTGAAGCCGTCGACGCCGTCTCTACTAGCGGGCGAAAACTCTTACAAAACTAGAGGAAATCGCCGAACACTACCGCGAGTTCGAGTTCAAACTGCAGAAGTTCAGAACTCGAGGCTAAAATCGCGTTCCTTGGCGCTCGAGTTCTGAACTCGAGGGTGCGACCGAACAGCTCCTAAGTTAAAGACCTATTAAACTAACAAAGCAACTCGCTTAACCCTTAGGAACTCTCTTCTTAGTAGCGTTTAATCCTGCCTCTACTAACCCTTCTCCTAATATTAACTATTGTTTGCTATAGCTTATAGCCTTTATTATTACGCTGCAACCCCCTAGTGTGGTAAGGTAGAACGGTACCTGTGAAGATATAGGCACGTGACCACACTATTGCTATAGATATTACCCTATAGAAATTAAAAACACTAAGTAATGCGCGTAAGCTAGGGTTTTAATTAATCCTAATTTGTGATTAGATATAGAAGTATTAGAATTCTTCTCCTATATTAATTATCCAGTCACTTAATCAGCTTTAAAGGGGCGCTAAGGTAATAGGCTATAAGCTAGTGTTGCTGCGTAATCGCGTCTCTAGACTTAGGAAGGCAAATAAGGCCGCTACAAGGCGTAAACAACGTAAAAGGAAACAGATCCAGAAGCAAGGCACCTTAACAAAGGCAGAAGGAGAGGATATTATTGCTCAAAGGGACGTTGAGCAGCAGCTAGAGAGTGAAACGCGTCAAGGCAACGCGCAATCAGGTGTCAGCCGGCAGGCCTCAGCGCGCTGTAAGCTTTGTAGACAGCCTGGGCATAACTCACGAACGTGTGAGAAACGTACTCTAGATACTATCTAGTCCTGCAGAGCTACTATACTACTAGTATTTCTATGCGTTGTTGAGTTATAAGTTGTCGCGTTGCAAAAAAGTTGAAGAGTGCGCGACTCGCTTGCCTGCGCGACTCGCTTGCCACCTACGTTAACCTAGAAACAAATGCAGAATATCCGTCGTCTGCTTCGGCTCCGTGTTTCGCGTACTTCCCAGATCGATGCCGTGTTGTAGCAGCTTGTTAATTATCTCTATGGGAGTATTCAGACGCTCTCGCGTTACTGCCCAACCCATCAAGGGCCAGCTGCCATCTTCATTGATGCCACTAATGTTGTGACGTAGGAGATATTCAACAAGGTGGATACGGCCGCACCAGATGGCCCATGCCAAAGTTGACCAGTCGAAGAGTCCCCCTTCGTAAACAGATTTGTGTTCTCCGTCTGTCTTCTCTATCTCCGCGGCGTTCTCAGGCTTCCATGAGAGAGCACGCTTGTGGAGCTCATCTTGAAGCCGCGCATTGAGTAACGAATGAGTATGAGTTCCGGCGAGCTGCTTCAGATCTCTATCTGTGCAGTACTCGGCGATCTCTAAATGGAGCTCCATAGGAAGCGAAAGGAGTGACATTTCCGCAGCCGAGATCGGAGGTGGAGATCGAAAGATGGCAAAAAGTGAGCGGAAAGCCTGCAGAGAGGTGGTGATGACGAGGATTGCTTGAGAAACTGAGAGAAATAGAGAGGTGGGAGTGGTGTTTGTTGTTGAGGGTAGGGAGTAGAAAGCCCCGTGCCAAAGCTGGAACGTTATAAGTCGGAGTTTCGAGGCGATGGTGAATCACTCACTGGCTGCGATGTTCTCGCAGCTACTAGTAGCTAGTAACAGACCATGATGCGTGGGTTAGGAAGACAGTGAATAGGGCGGATGGCACCTGTGCATTCTGGTTGGCGAATCAAGGGGACCTCTGATTGTGCTAGCTTTCATGGAAGGGACAGCCAAGAAACGCGAGATCCGAGCACTTGATTGCGCGCGAGGAATCTTAGATTGGCGTTTGGCTGATGATGTGTGACTTTTGCGAAAGGAGGACCCCGGATCGGAACCGATGCTGCTGGAATAGGACAATCGTGCTATGTATAGAGTGGTGCCTTACGCGGTTCGTCAAACCTAACGGTACACGAACCCGACTCAGTGTTTCTAGCCCTCCTTACCTACCATTCGTCTGGGACTTGTTTTTAGAAGAGCATGCACATGCGCCTGTTCTTCAAATCCCCCCTTGATTTCGCTGAAGTCTAGCGATCACGTGATATGTCCGAGGGTGCTTCAACACCTTGTCACCGTTGGCAGCTGTGCGGAAGTGTTGAGCACAATACCAGCACTCCATCTAGAGCGATGAAAAGGGGAGTTGAAACTGAAATCATACAAGCCTAACCGTTCCTAACTCGTGAATAGGCCAGGGAGGCTCAGTCCAGTCACGTAGGATGCTTTTAGTCCCAGCTATGCTCCCGTTATGATCGACGCGTGCGAACCCAATTCTGTGGTAAGAAGTAAGTTCTCCTGAATTTGCCGAGTGGTGCTGAAGCAGGAGCCCGTGGAAATTTAGGTTGATTCTCCGTACGTCGTCCCGTACTTCTGCAATGGGAAGGAAATATGTTATGTCCATCTGGGATGGCAAATCGCTCCAATCGTCCAACCCAAAGGACCACGGGTCATAATCGTCATCGTCGACCCGCACATTCTCCAGGACCCCATCAAATTCAGGAAGCTTAAACAGCTTTCCTGCGAGATCGATGTGACCATATGATATTTGGCCCAATTCATCATCAGCCAAGGGCAATATGTGCGTCGTCAAAACATCTACTAGATGTTTAGTAACTGTGAAGAGCCATGGGCCGGTGGTTACTTCGCCATCGATCGAAGCCCATGACCATGACGGCGCTACAATGCACATTGCAGAGTCAGATGTAATCTTAGAGAGGTTACACCGAGATCTTAGAGTATTTACCTCGGTATATTTTAGCACGGGTTGTATCTTTCTTATCCTCACCGAGATCATGTTTGCCAACTGACCATAGAAGCCCGCGGAGAAGCTCTTTGCTCCAAAGTCCAGCGATATACCTGTCTTGGAACAGAGACTGAAACAATCTAGCGATGCCGGATATAGCAATGAGTTTGTCCTCTGGTCTGGTCAAGAAGCCTTTGGTGTAAGTCAAAACAGTGTGATCCCAAAGATTTAAAGGGTCTTTCCATCGCGAAAAAGGTAGCTTCGACCAAACTTTATTTGTCCTACGGTCGCGGGGCCCGTTCAAGCCATGTGGGTATGCCTCGCAGGCTACAAGCTCACGACATTCCCAGAACATTGGGGTCGCAAAGTGAATCGTGCGTGGACTTAATAGCCGCTCTTGAACCACCCAACCTCGCTTGCTCAATGGACTCGTCTTACGCATATCCTTCCACCAGTCAAGTAAGCAATAATAGTCTTTTGGTTGGTCCTCTGGCGTGAAACAGACTTTGAAGGGTGTGAACTCGAGGGTATCTCTGGTCTTGAAGAGGCCCTGGTGGGGTTCGCTGGCTTCGGACGCAGCTATTACACACAGACTGTTCTTGTACACTTCGTGCATCATGGATGACTCGATTCGCCAGTCTTCCGGACTGTCTTGAAGGATGCACAGGGAGTCAATCCAGAGGTATCGTACACCGAGTCGTCGTGCGACTGTAATAGCGTCTAGGAACGTCCTTGAAAGATCTAGAGGAGATATCCTCTTCTGAAGATCTTGAATATTTAAGGTTGTCAGTTTGGTGAATTGTGACTTTCCCCAAACGTGGCTGAGCGCAAGGTAATTCAATGGTCGTGGTGTCTGCTCTGAGGATATTATGAGACGGACATGGTGGTGAGACAAGTAGGGCTAATTTCAATCAAGCGAGTAGGAAGCCAGTTTCTATTGGTATCCTCCCGGTATCTCGTATGCTGACTCAAGCAAGTCACTAGAGAACTCGTAATTGCATTCCAGACGTCCGCTGACGATGAATCGGCCGCCGGAGGATTGACGATAAGCTGCAGCTCGGCGTCTATTCAATATGTGAGTACAATCTCATCTAGGAGTCAAAAAAGGGGAAATTTGTTAGACTTTATTACAGTAGCACTCACCTTCACGAGACAAAAGGTTTACCGTTTTGCAGGCAGCGACACCAGAATCATACCCTTCGAGTACCAATTCAATGAGCCTGGGTTTGAGGGTGAAGCTGTCAATTTCCATGCCGACACTCACTTTTGAGATCGGATCCCGGAGTACTGCCTCATTTCTCTCGATCAGGACCTTCATCAGGCGACATAACCGACAGTGTTGTGAGTCTTGGACGTATCGAGCCTTCCACCTTCCGAAGTGTACGTAGTAATCCTTATTGTCAAGTTCCCATTTCGGCCCTTTCCCAGATTTCGAATTTGGTTGGTGAGGCAGATCGTCTCTTGCGTTATACTCCAAGATATCCTGGCTCAGCTCACTCAACCTGTTGCGAAGGGACTCCAGATCGTAGACGTCATCCATTTCGAGATCGTCTGCCTCTTTTCCTCGAGGCTCATGGGCTTTTGATATTCGTGAGATAAATCATGTGCCGTTGTTGCTCTCATTTCGTTGAAGATTGTGAGCCCTGTCCAATCAAAGATGGCTCGACAACGGTGGCACAAGGCGGCATTCATCGTATCGACTTCAAACTTTTCAAAGACAAACCGAATAGTATCGGGAGACGTTGCAGGGCAAAGACGGATGTGAAACCTTTTATCGTTGATTTGAGAAAGAAGAGAAGACGCCGCTCGATACGTTCTAACAAGGTTGTGGTTTGTGAGAGGTAGGCAGACATGGGATTGCATCTCAGCCGCACGAGAGAAGGCCTCGTCTATCTTATCTTTCCATAAAACCAGTCACTACGCTTGTACTATACATCTATATATTCCTAATTCGGTATATTCGACACGACTGTAGGAATAAGCATCCATCTGAGACGATTGTAGAAATCAGCGTCCCGAGCGGGAACGCTCGCCTGAGCACGTGACGTGGTCCACATTCGCCACATAAAGCTGCACAGCCACAGAACTAGGCCCGGAATGCGCGTCGACCGCTGGCGTCATTCCATCGACCATGGCACATGGCGTATTCTAGTCCTCCGGAGCGCCGGTTTACGCGGCTTTCAGCTGTCAGATTTAACCCTACCACCCCACCATCTCTGCTTCCTCTTCCCTGTTCGTTCGAGATACCTCGAATCAACCTCCTACAGCACCCAACTTCGATCCAGACATATCTGTTCGTGCACAAGCACTTGTGGAAGCAATGGCAGACTTCGCGCCCCCATCGGTATCTACCTCGTGTCTACACCTATGCGCAACCCTCTCTAACCTCCGTAGGGTCCGCCACCCCCCAAAGTCCCCGAGGGCTATAAAGCCGTCTGGAATAGTACGACTCCTCATCTATTCTGCCTCTTCCCGCAACACTACATCGCGGTCTACTAACCCCCAACAGACGAATACAAAGAATGGTTCTTCGTGAACATCTACACCAAACAATCCCAATGGGACAAGCCCACCGAGCCCGTCTATCCCTCTGATCACGACGGCGGCGCTCCCCCCGGCCCGCCCCCCGGCTACGCACACGGCGGCGCGCAACCCCTCACCAGCGAGAAAACCGGCCTGAGCTCCAACAACCCCTACGTCGCTGCTAGCGGCGGTGGTGCATCTTCGCACGATATCAGCGAAGACGAGAGACTCGCGCGACAGTTGCAGGAAGAAGAGAACGCGCGCGCGCGTGGCAGTGCTGCGAGTCCTGGTAGTCGCGGCGCGGCGGATGAGTTCTATCAGCAGCCAGGTCAGCAAGCGGGGTATGGACAGCAGGCCTACGGACAGCAAGCGTATGGGCAGCAGTCGCAGCAGTATGATCAGGGATACGGCCAGCAGCAGGGATATGTGCCTGATACGTCAACGAAGTCTAAAGGCGGCTTTCTTGGGAAGTTGCTCGGGAAGAGCCATTCGAAGCTGCCGCAGCAGTATGGACAGCAGGGTGGGTATGGGGGTTATCCGCAGCAAGGTTACCCGCAGCAGGGTTACCAGCAAGGATACCCGCAGCAAGGTTATCAGCAGCCTGGAAGAAAGCCAGGTGGGCTGGGCATGGGAGGGGGTTTGGCATTGGGCGCGGGTGGCGGATTACTAGGTGGTATGCTACTTGGAGAGGCTATGGGAGATGCGGGCGATGGTGGAGATGGTGGAGGAGACTATGGAGGTGATGATGGAGGGGATTATGGAGGAGGGGACGGTGGAGGTGGGGACTAGGCTTGCATGAGAGCTGAATAGCTATGGCTCCCGGGTTTCTCTCTACATATAGGTCTTCCATTCGAGTTACTCGAGGTCTTCAGTGTATTACATCTCAATCAACATACATACATGCTATGACGTCGCTATGCCAAGGAGAGAATTTACGTGGCGTCGATCGATCTGCGGCTAGATATCGATAGTGAAGCTTGACACTTTTAACGCCACCTCTGCTCCTCAGGTCTTCTGTAAATGCTCCTCGTCCCATCAATGCTCAAAATGGCGTCTCAAACCGAGAGGAAGAACATCGTAATAATAGGTTGCCCTCACACCTCACGTTCGCCCTCCATTGCTGACCAAATGTCTAGGCGGCGGTATCATTGGATCAACCACAGCCTACTTCCTCTCCCATCACCCAAAATTCAATCCCGCTACCCACACCATCACCCTTCTCGAAGCCACGAAGATAGCTGGAGGGGCTTCCGGGAAAGCAGGAGGCCTTCTGGCGCTATGGGCATATCCAAGCTGCATCGTTCCGCTCAGCTACCGGCTACATGAAGAGGTGGGTCGCCAACACATTCGCCACGGGGCATTGCCTGACGAAACATAGCTCGCAGACAAGCACGGAGGGGCTGAAAGATGGGGATACCGCGCTGTTTACTGCGGACAGCTAGACGCCAAAGCCCGCCCAAATACCAACTCCAGTGCCAAGACTAAAGACAAGGAGTCTGTCTCCTTGAAAAAGCGGTCCCAAAAGGCTTTCGACCTTCTGAAGTCTGCCGGCATCCCTAAAGACCTAGATTGGGTAGACCCCGAAAGCGTTCGCGCGTATGATTCCATGGGCGACCCCTCTACCACTGCTCAAGTGCACCCATATCAGTTTACGACTTCTATGGCCGAGCTCGCTGGAGAGAAAGGCGTTGAGATCATTTACGGGTCTGCAAAAAAGATTGACCTTACAGCTGACGATTCTGCTGTTACTTCTGTAACCTATGCGGCTAAAGAGGATGGATCCACCCGCACGTTGCCCGCAGATACTGTCATTCTCACCGCTGGCCCATGGTCAAGCACGGTCTGGCCCGAGACACCGATTGAGAGTGTGAGGGCGCATAGTGTTACAATTCGTCCCTCCCGCCCTGTCTCGGCTTATGCGTTGTTTACGAGTATAACACTAGATAAGCAGCGGACCGTCTCCCCTGAAATCTACGCCCGGCCGAACAACGAGGTATATGCCTGCGGGCCGGGCGACATGACAGTCCCACTCCCGCCCTCTACTGATGTTGTGGAGATTGATGACGCGCGATGTAAAGACGTGGTTGACCAAGTCAGCGCGATCAGCGATGAGCTCAGAGATGGTGAGGTTACTGCGAGGCAGGCATGTTATCTACCGCATGTGACGAGTGGGGATGGGCCATTAATCGGGGAAACGAGCGTCAAAGGTTTGTTGATCGGCACGGGGCATACTTGTTGGGGAATTCAGAATGCGCCGGGGACGGGATGTGCGCTGGCTGAGTTGGTGTGGGAGGGGGAGGTAAGGAGTGCGAATTTGAAGAGTCTGGACCCTAAGCTCCACATGTAAGGCATTGGAGCAGGGTAATAGGCAAAATGACTCCTTGTAAAATTCGTGAGACTCCTACATGTGGTAAGTGAGGTACATCTGAAGCATGAACGTAAGTCAAGCGTAGTCGAGGAGGGTGTTGAATGGGCACATCATGTGATGTTCAAACTGGAGGAAAGTAGGCTCGATTTCTACTCGTCTTTCCCTAGCCCAAGAGTTTGTGAAACGATCATCCCGAGGAGTCTACACATGATTAATTGGTAAATCTCGTGGGTTGCTGCTCGTACGTCTTGGCCGATCGGCGATTTCATAGTGTTATAGTACCTGGGCGAAAGGCTGCGCGCTCTTGCTTGCCACTATCCGAGGTACTGCGGCGCATCAAGAAGAGTTCAGAAAAGATGTACAATCCCAAGCAGCGCAAACCGGAACGAATCTGCATGCTTTGGATTGACCTATCTTGCCATCGTCTGGGGTAGATCCGCATGTTAAGAGGAAGCAGGAAGAGGTTTTAAGAAAGAGTACAGACTTGCGTCATAGAATAGCGCTGCATTCACTCTCGAGTCCCAGCCCCACATTTCGAAGGCCCCAGCGCTAAGCCTCTTGGCAATGCCACCATCAACACAGCTCTCAACCTCACTCTCTTCCTTCCACGAGAACCTCACTTCAATCGCCACGATGGCGCTCCTAGCACTTCCTGCGGAGCTTCACCTGGAGATCGGAAACCGCTGCACAGACAAGGACCTCAAGAATCTCATCGAAACACACCCCTTGCTCCGTGCGCGCCTTCAAAACGAACTCCACAAGCGTGCGCTATCCTGGCAACCCACGGAGAATGCCGAAGACAAACCTAGATGGACTGATGAGGAACGCACAACTATATTTTCGGCAGTCCGTCTGAAACGTGTACACCATGTGGATTATCTTCTCCGTCATGGCATCAGCGGGATCAAGGATAATGGCGATTGGCGTCTTCTAGGGCATACACTTGAGTTTGGCTCTTCGGAAATTCTCACTAGGCTACTGCGATACCTGTCCGACTATGGTCCCATCTGCATGAAGCCCGAGTGGTCGACGAAAATTCTTGGAGTCTACTTGTCACTAGTGCCCCAGTATACCTTTCAGTCCTCCGAATCCCGCGAGCATCTACCATCGTGTGAGCGCCGATGGGCTTCGACTGAGGCCGAGCTCGAAGTCGTAAGTGTTCGCCATTGATCATACGTAATAGCAGAAGTCAAGCAGAAAAACTAAAGAAATCGTTTGAGGTGAAATGCCTGCTAGATCTTGGGGCTCATCCCATGGGCTTCTCGCTCTTCTCTGGTCTACAAGAAGCCGAAGACGTGTTTTACGATGATCCTTATGGCCTATCGGCATACCCACCAGACGTGGGAGGTGACTACGATCATCAACCATTCACTTTCAGAGCCAAAAATGCTCGCATGCTCAAACTTCTTGTCGATGCGGGAGCAGACATCCATTGGAAGACTCCAGCGCTCTCCTGGTTCGCGCCCATGTCAGTGATCTTCAAAGCCTGTTATGATGCCGAATCTTCCCCTGGAGTAGTTCGAGAACTCTTAAAACTCGGTGCCGATCCGAACTGCTGCCATTCTGGAAGGCACCCACCTCTGATCTACCTCCTCAACGGTTCGCAAGATCGACTTGTGAAAGCACACCATCTCCTTGACTACGGCGCAGACGTTACTACAAGGGACTACTCAGGCGATCGCTTCATTGACAAAGTTTCAATGTATGAGGAACAAGTATCCATCTTGAAGAAAGTCATTTCAGTCACACCAAACATCGACGAATGCAACAGACACGGCTACACAGCATTGCAAGTAGCAATCAAATATGGCCGGCTTCATTACGCCCGACTGCTCACCAAAGCCGGCGCAAACGTGTGGGCAGAATGCAAGGGCAACGGCCTGATGGGTCTAGCAGAATACCATCTGGGCTATGGCGGCGTTTATGGTATGAAGATCGACCATGGCACTCTCGACCTTCTAGGCGACAATCCTTGGGAGCATCGAGATGATCTCGACTATTCATATGACCTTCGCCGAGCTAATAGGATCCGGTTCTTCACTGACTATGCACTTGAGTCTCACGACTTAAATCTCATTCCCGCACAGGAGGCTCACTCTCATGCCTTGAGGCGCGAGCATGTTGAATCAAGATCCCTCGGCTCTCATCATCAACTGAGTATTTCTTTCAAGTTCCTTTGGAAAGCTCTTCTCAACATCAAGGACGCCCTGGATCGATTCCCAGATAGAGGAGGGTGGAAAGGTATGGTATTTCGGAAGCAGTTGAGAGACTGGTACGCGAAAGGTATCGAAGATCAAATTGGTGAGCAGGACTGGATGAACTGGTCACCCGAAGAATGGGATATCGACCGCCAGAACCAATGGTGGATGAAGGACACCTCAGAGTTCAGTATGCGTTACGACATCAGTTGGGCTGCAAATAACAGTGTTCATTGAGCGTCAAGGTACTGATAGCGCTCATATGGTTAGTTGCTTCACTCGAAGCTTCGAGGTTTACCCGTCTCAATGCTACTTTCTCAACTCTCTCATGAATTTGCTTGCATTAGTCAAATCCTCAAGCTTTCAATCAAATTTTCTTCTAAAGGTGTATCACGTCCTCCGATGGTTGAGCAAACACGTTTCCATGTATACCCCATTTTGATTGGACGAGCTAATGATGCCCCTTCTGGTGCTACAGTGGTAGCAAATTAATTCGCTGATACTAATCTAACGCCGCCTGAAGCGCTTTGACTCATCGTCAACAATCAGAAATTACCATTTTGACAAGTCTCGCCGAGCCATTTCCGGCAGCGGTAGATGCCTGTACGTACGTACATCATTTCCAACCTGCCTAATGAAACTCTTTGGCCTGAATGCCGTCGCGCCAGACACTCCTAATGTTGAGGGTAGCATTGATATCGTCCAACGGATTTCCTTCCATCAGAACAAGATCGGCCTTGAGTCCTTCCGCAATCTCTCCTCGATCCTTCCAACCGAAGAGCTTAGCGGTCAATGCTGTTCCAGCGTGGAGAGCCTCCTCGGGCGAGAAGCCGCACTCCTTAACAAGCAGATACAGCTCGTGATGGAACGTCGCACCCCATGCCGTGCCCAGCCCCGGTCCAGCCGAGTCAGAGCCCCTAAGAAAGCGTCAGCACCATCCCCCATACCTCGACCAGTCCTCATCCATCCACCACTTACACAATAATCGGCACTCCCTCAGCTTTCAACCTCCGCACCGTCCCATAAGCATTCTCCACCGTGGCCCCCTCCCTCGAAAACCCCATGCATCTGCACAGAGTCGCATGCCCCTTCTCCGTCAGCTTCCCCTTCACCCGCTCGTCATTCGCAAATCGCTCCGCCACCGCCGCACCCTCCTTCGTAAAGCTCCCCAACAGCGCCAGCGTCGGGCTGCACCACGCACCTGTATTCTTGTACGCGTCCACGATTGCCTGACTGACGGGCTCGTCGATGAAGGTGTGCGCTAACCCATTAACCCCTAGCGACAGGACCTCCAGCGTGTCGGCGCGCGCGAGGCAGTGCGCTACGGCGACGTGACCGGCTGCGTGGGTTGCGGCGATGACGGCTTTCTGGATGTCGAGGGACGGCTTGGGGAAAGCCTGTCCTAGAGCTGCGCCGGACTCGTGCATCAGCTTGATATAGTCCGCGCCACCGGCGGGCGACAGGTTACGAGCGACGTAGGCTTCGGCTTCAGCGACAGAGGCAAGTTTAGGCCAAGTTGCGATTTCGGCGGCCGTCTGCAGGATTGGAGGTCAGTTCTGCATCCGGAGTGGAATCATCAGCCTCACCTCCTCGCTCTTATCATGCGCCATCACCACAGGCATCGGCCACCCGCCATCAATCGTCGCCGCCACGCCGGCAGCCTTGAAATCGGCAGCCTCGTCCTTTTTGTCCGACGCGAGCTTCTTCAGCTTGTGCACGTTGACCGTCTCGTTGTGCATGTCCATGACGGTGGTGACGCCGAACGCGAGGGACTGTGTCAGTGCGAGCGCCTGGCCCTTGTCGGCGTGCATGTGGGCGTCGATCAAGCCGGGGACGACGGTGTGGCCGGGCTTGGAGAGGATGGGGATATCAGTGTCGGCTGGTGGTGCACCAGCGGATACGGTGGCGATGAGGCCGTTTTTGATGGTGATGTGGCCGGATTCGATGGTGGAGGTGCCGGTGAAGATGCGGACGTTGGAGAGGATGAAGTTGGGGGGTGCCATTGTGGGGAAATGGGTTGGATGTGGTTGATATTGAGGGATTCTAAACTCTTGTAGGTGAGTAGGTGCTTCTTGTAATTCTGTACTCGATAAATTTGTATTCTAGATGGACAATCGCTTGTCTTATATCTATGAATGATATGCTAAGAGTATACAAGGGTTCCGTATATATGTACCAGTTTTATACCGCTTTAAGCTTAGCACCCGACAGTGTCCGACAAGTCCGACAGCTGTCTCTTCTCGCCACATTCTACTTCGAGTATCTATCTCCGGTCGTTCATTACGTATGGGAACGCTAGGTCCACGCAAGTCACAGGTTCGCAGAATGTATCGGCTGAGAAAAATTAGGATGGGAGGCCATGAGTTCATGCCTTACTAGGTCATAGGTATCGATGAACTGAAGCGTCACATCTCTCTACTTTTCACGCATTGATTCGTATTGTGTCCCGCAGGTGATGAAGGGAGGAGCTTCACAACATTTTATGCGAATAGTATTAACTATAAAGCCTAGTAAGGTGCGATATGGTCAGGATGGAATCCTTCTGTACTACTTCGATTCAATACTTCTCTGTGGTTTCTTTTGCTATCATCAACAAAGTCAAGCACTGCTCAAAAGCGAACGTCCGCCTTCAACTTATCCCCTTCCACGATTTCGTCTTTCTTAGATTCCAATTCCTCCACATCCCAAGCCACACTGACGAATCGGCCGCCCAGCCAGGTACGCGGCTGGCTGGTGAGCCAGACGAAGAAGCCACCAGCGAGGTTCGGACTATCGGTGAGAACTACAATAAAGGATTTAGTACGTACAAACAATACGAGAGAGAGAACACCAGACACAACGGTTAAGAAACCCTGGACATTGCGACCATGTAGCTTGGAGGACGATTTGTGAGTCGCATACTTTCCTCTCTGCCAAGAGTTTCTCCGGCCAGGCATACCCAGATTTCGACAAAGTAACAAGAAGAGACTGAACTCACACGGCTGAATCTCCTTGACGTTCCTCGACAATTCCGTCAAAACACCGCCAGGATGCACGCTCGTCGCCAGGACACCCTTGGCTCCATACTCGGTCTGCACAAACTGTGTCAACCGTACAACCGCCAGCTTACTAGTCTCATATGCGCTCGCGCCTGCTATGCAAACTATAGCACCAATCGACGACACATTCAGGACGTGCACCAACGCCCCCGTTTTCTCATGCGTCTCCGTCAGCAAAGGGAGGAAGGCGTGCAACACCAGATACACGCCCTTGAGATTGACCTCCCATGTACGCCAGTAGTCTTCCGGGTCCCCATCTGCGATCGGCGCCCACTCGGGACTGTAGCCGGCGTTGTTGATCAGGACGTCCAGGCGGCCGATGTCGTTCTTGATGGTTGAGGCGGCTCTGGCGACGGCTTTTCCATCAGTGACGTCCAGCACGAGCTTGACGATGGTCGGTGGGGACGTAAGGTTCAAGGCCAGGATCTCGGCTTCTGTGACATCGAGCTCGGATGAGGTGCGAGCGGCGAGGATGAGAGTGGAGGGAGAAGCTTCGGCGTAGCGAAGGGCGATACTGCGGCCAATGCCACGGCCGGCGCCAGTGACGAGGATGCTACGGCCGGAGTGGGAAAGAGAGGGCTGTATGGTTGGATTGATTGCGGGATAGATGTCCTTGTGGATTGTTGGGGTGAAGGTCAAGGCAGCGTTGCGAGTCATTGTTGTTGATGTGGTTGCGATTGAAGATGGGTTATTCGGAGGTGATAGAGGTTGTGAGAAAGGCTTGAAGGGCTTCGGAGAATGACAGGATTATAGGGCTTGATATCAACCAGGAGCCACGTGTTTTAAATATTTGTAAGACTTTATTTTTTACTAGATATCAATAATGCTCAGAAGATGTGGGGTAGCATCCGATTTTCCTAATGGTAACAGGGTCTTCTATTCCGGCTGCACGATGATATGATCCCCTTTGGCAAATCAGATTAGCGTTGTTATTCGAAATTATATCTTATATCAGCTTTATACCGTTTTAAGCTTAGCACCCGACAGTGTCCGCCAGGTCCGACACTCAAGTCCGACAGCATCGCCCGACAGCGCCCGACACCACCCGACACGGCTTCTAGGGAATCCACGACAAATGCCTCTAGAGTTGTGTTAGCCATCTCTAATTATCCCTAGGTGCATATATTCGAAACATTTCTACTACTCATGAGGCTAGCCTAGCGCTCCCCGACAATGGCGGCCGACGGTGGTCGACTGCGTACAGCTCAAGCCGCCCAGGCGTGTGTGATGTGTAAGACTCGAAAGAAAAGGTGTAACAAGTCGTTGCCGTCTTGCGGATATTGCACCCTGTTAGTCGCCCAAGCCGCCGTCCCCGGCAATTGGTAATGCTGACCAGCGTTGAAGGAAAGACCTGGACTGTGTGTATGCTGGAGTCCCACGCCCAGGGAATTATGTCGCCCCTACCGTCGAGAGCCCCTATGCTATGCCGAATTGGGGTGCACGATCGCCTATGAACATCGTCTCCTCTCGCATGGTCCTATCTGCAACGTCTTCGTCAGATCAGACAACGACTGAGGTCCACCAGTTTAGTTGTCCCTTTCTATATATCTGTGAAATTACTCTGTGGCTGTTCAGCTGTTTCGCTCGTTTTATCGTCTGTATGTACTAGTGGGTGGCTAACCTACAGAAACCAGACGTCAAGTGTATCTCGAGGTTCATAGTATTATTCGTGCAACGGGACAGTTTGTGGACGACATCAGCGCCCGCTATTTCCAGGGTTTTCACCGCCACCTGCCCATCATCTCCCGTATACGCTTCTACAACAACCTCATCACGTTAGGGGCAGCCCCGGCCGCCGACTTTTCCGTCTTGCTGCTGACTATCTGTCTGATCACGCACGCTCCTGCACTGGGATATCAATCGGGACATGGGGCCCCTCGATCCGTCGAACAGCAATCACTCTATCTCACTGCGAGGTCTCTCTTTGCCCAGGTTCAGGTATCTTGCTCACCCTCCGTCCTTTTAATCCAATCTGGTCTCTTGCTAGCCGTGTATGAGTACACACATGGCCGGCCGGACGATGCATTCGTAACCATCGCAGGCAGCGCGCGAATGGCCTACGCCGCCCGCATCCACGCTCGCGACCGCCATCAGCCACAGATGACACCGACAGCCGGCCACAGTGCGGATACCGACTTCCTACTGCGGACTGAAGAAGCAGCAAATACGTGGTGGGGAATTGTTATCTATGAGCGGTATGTTCCTTTTAGCATGCTTGGCAAATCATCCACGCAAATGAAACTAAGGCCGTGCTGGCGACAGGACCTTCTTCAGCGAGGTGGCAGTCTTCGACCAACCGCTGGTTACTGTATTTCCTGGTCAAGATGCTCGCCTGCCGATCGAACCCCAAGTCCTCGACCAGCTCGACATTTTAGACCTGGAGTCCCTACCCAACATCCCTGTGTCCTGTCTGACGTCGCCAAAAGTTGGAGGATTCGGTCGGACAGCCCAAGCAACTTGTCTTCTAGATCAAGTTCTCAAAGGTTTTGACACACCAGATATTGATTCTAGACTGCTCCAGCTTGAAAGGCTAGATAGCAATATCCAGGCCTTCCTGTCGTTGGTTATGTCGCAGTGCCAGGGACCACCGGGCGTCTTATATTGTGCAGCAATAAATATCGCCATCAAGTCAGTTCATCGCTCTCTTCCCATTCTTTCGTATTTTCATCCTTCTTTTTATAGACCGCCACACCAGCCTAGCCTAACCTCTCTCAAACAGGGCGCTATTCACATTACATTGGCACATTCTCGGCCAGCACCCACAGGTTGTCAGAGCCAACTCCAAACCACTGGACGAATGGCAAAAGAGGTCGCAAGAGGCGCTTGGCACCGTTGCGAAGATGGTCGTCGAGATTGCCGAGGCCCTCATCGCCGTGTCTCCCGCAAACACGGCGACGCAAAGAATTGACGCCATGCCTCCAATGTATCCATACATCGCTCGCGCCGCGCTGAAACATATCCATAGTAGTACCCAGAGGGAAGATGTAGGTTGGCTGAGGAGTGCCGAGGACGTGCTTCAGGCATCCCTTGACAAATATTTCCAACGTTGGAGCGTGAGTGGTGACTGGACTCGGGTTGACTTAGATGCGGAAAAGAGATGTGATAATCCGCCGATATGATTTACGCTCACTTCTCTACGCCCGTCTTTTCATCCTCAGTACTACAGTGCCTTGTCATAAGTCTCTGCACACTCATCTACGGCTGCTTGAGGTGCCCCCGTAGGCTTTGAAAAGTCCAGACGCGATGGAACACACGATGCACTGGGAATCCGGTAATTCTTGACATGCTAGTCGCCTGGCAGCTACTCCAAACTGTGGTGTCGCGCGAGCAAGAGGAAAGCCTTGGCGAAGGCGATTGGAAGTGCTGGAACTTCCAACGTCGATGTTGATGCTAGAGTTGAGGCAGCAGGACTCGGGCTGCCTCTTGAATGATTTTTTATCTCCTAGCCGGCCTACTCCTGACAGTCGTGTCGATCTTATAAAATAGAGCTCAAGTCGTGGTACATCCGTGTGTCTAGACCAACCCAGAATCAACCATGCGACCATTTGATAATGACTCATACACTCACAGTTTATACAGAGCCCTTGAAAATAAGTCGACATAGAGAAATCGGTCGTAAAACCCTACCTACGCACAGAGCAGTCAGCCCGCGAAAATGGGAAAAGTATCAGTACCAAGAGCTAGATATAGAAAAATTCCAACACACCTCCGTTTTTCCCACCCACCTACACAACGATCGAGTAACCCCTCCTTCAACAACTCGAATACCCGCCCAGCCACCAAAGACGATCCCCCATCTAGTTCAAAAAATCTGTCGTGGGGAGCACAAACCCCGAGCAAAATGGTACCACCCCCAATAGCCTCCAAACCCGAACTCCCGAAGCCCGATCACCAGAACGATGTCGATATAGAGGACCCAATCCAAGACTCGCTCGAGATCGCAGTGCGAGAAGAAGTCCACGAATTCAACAGTGCAAACTTGCTCTACCATCTCCACCAGATAAAAGCGACACCCGTCACCCCCACATGGCGCGACACAACCCACCGCTTCTTCAAACTCGAGCTCGCACTCGAAGAACTCCCGTGGTACAGGCCAAAGCCGCAAAAACGATGGTCAAGAACCCCGTCGTTACGAACTTGTCGGCAACGGCAGCGTCGAAGGTCGTGAGGGGGGGAAGATGGATCCCGCTCCGCCAGATCTTGCAGAGCCAGCCTATAGCTAAGCGGCCCACAGGAGCGATAGGCTATGAAGAGTTGAGGAAATGGTGGATTGCGAGGGGCGAAAGGTTCGATTTCCTCGCACTACCTGGCGAGTTGAGGAATGAGGTTTATCAGTACCTCGTTTGCACCTTCGTCTACCTGTACTTGTGCCGCGGGCGTAACACCCGGGATAGGCTAACGGAATGGGGAGGGATCTTTTCGACTGGGCTGTTGGAGAGTGAATATGGCCCAACGGGAACCCACGTGCGAACGAAATCCCGTGCCGGCATTAGCGTCAGGCAAGGGGTGCTGAATGGCGCCCAGGCGCTTGGTGGACTGCTATTGAGTAGCAAGCATATGCACTATGAAGTAAGCGGCTTGTTGTGGAAGGGAATGGGGTTTCCCTTCCAAGAGCGTTGGTATGGGGATATCAAGCTGGAGCGGTTCGCGTAGACAATCTCGAGAGTTAATTGCGATGCCATCCGCCGCATCACCCTTCAAGGCAGTCCAGCGCGTCTTAAGAGATGGTTTGATGATATAGATGCGAATCGCCCCAACAACTCTCGGTGTCAGGCGCTGCTACTCTTCTCCCCTTCAGTACGACTGGAAATCAAGCTGCCGCATTGGTCAGAATGTGATGAGAGCCCTTTTCTTTACTCGTGCTGGCGGGAGCTTGTTTGGGGAGTCCTTTGGAAGGGAAGGTTCATCCTGGCGCATTTCGATAAGGTTGAGGTAACTGGCTGCAATAGTCCACAAGTCCGTACCACGTATCTCTAACTACTATAGGATATTAGAGACGGGCAGCAATCTTCAATCGCGAAGCATCACATAATGGGACGGTGCCTACAAATTGGGCTGATGCCGTGTACCGCGTTTTGCAGAGGAGCTTGTCAAGAGGGCTGGTGCGTTTGTCAGGGTGTTTTGGAGCCTGTGACTGCTGAGTAGGATCTGGTTCTGAGGGTCGTACCGTAAAGTTTGTGCATATAGAGACACATCACTTGGCACACTAATTGATCACTTAAACCTGTCCGAGTATTTGTGAGTCTGAAAGGGGCTGCCAGGCGCCCGGCCGACCCACATTCAGCTCGCTGACGTTGAGATGATACGATGAAACTCGTAGGCATAAGATAGCGCGCCAGGTGATGTGTCCCTATATGCAGAAACTATACGGTACATGGCTGGTGGCCTAAAACTAGGCCCGTTCGTGTTGGATTTGGTGCTGTTTAAAGCTTGCTGTTGATACCTCAAGTTCGTGAGTTAGCAACGTCTTGGCGTCGACGTAGTTCCAACCACGGTTCTAGAGTTCTAGCAATGCGATTGAGGCATTCGAGCCGAAAACGAAACGGAAACGAATGTTCATCGTCAACTTTATGGTACAACTCAAAAGGAATAAAAATCTACAGAGAAGGCGATAGGTCTCCCTATACGCATCTATAGAGGTAATTAGTCACTAGTAGCTACTATATATTCCTCGGGCATGGAACCAAGAACTCCACATAAGAGTCTATGATGGTAGTTAGATCGAGTACTTGTGAAAATGTATTAATGGACGCTCTCGGCACAATGCGTCCCCATATGTCTGCGTACTTTGTGTTGCCACTGCGTCTGGGCCGTCGAGGTAGTGTCAAAAGGTTGAACCAATAGAGCTTGGTGATGTGGAACGATTCGCTGAGTTATCTCGGACGCCCGGTGTACCTCACTCGCCGCCACCAGCGAGATACTCTCCAATCTCGAAATCTACGCTCCTACCGAGTTTGGAAACATACTCAAACCCATAGTTGACCCTCCACTTGCATCCTGGATCCAGCACATCTGCTCCTACAGCTCCCGTTCTTACGAGCAATCGAATGGAAGACAAGGTCGCAATCTGAGTGTATATATCCGCCGTCTGTGCGAGGTCGTGTGGTAAAATTGCACGTAGAATGCCCAGTAGCCTATCCAGGGAGAACGGCGAGGGCATCAGCAAGTGTCGAGATATCTTCCGATTCTTCGCAGTCCAGCCCGTGTTGTTTTTCCTCCGCCGCCGCTTCTTGTCGCTAGCCTTCATGAAGTAGACATTGTCCTGCCGAGCCGGATTGAAAGAGGCGAGATATGCGGCACATAGGAGGTATTTGGAGTAACATGGCAAATCGTGGGTCGATGCTGCGCTTGCAACGGTAGTAGACTTTGGCACGATTCGCGATAGCAACGCGTCTTCGCCTTGGAAAATAGTACGTCGGTGGACCATTAGGCGAGAGAAGTCTCGAGTGCCGAATGTACCGTCCACGATCGGAGCTACGAATGGTCGCCACAGTTTTGTACACACGACGCGATAACTGACCAAATCTCGCGCAGCGCCTTTGGCTAATGAATCCCAGACTGCAGCGAGAAAACGTCCCCAAACCCAGGCATTGTCCTCAGCCGCAAGATCGTCTGTGTATTCCAATTCGGGATCGGATAGTTCGAGGAAGATAGGTGGTGGATTGCGAGACAGAATAGTGATGCTTTCATCGCGGGTGTAGGGTGGGAAATGGACGTGAGGTATGCCGGTCTGGTGAAGGGCGCTGGGATGGGGTACGGTTATTATCATGACGATGCTGAAGTTTGGAATCTAACGACCTCGTTTAGCTTTTGCCAAATAATCAAGATCCCATAGTTTTGCTCACCGATTCCCCAAATCGCGCAAGAGCTGTGAGTAGGGTGGGCGGAGCCTCGCGCTGCTTATCTATCCCATCAAAGACCAGTGTGAACTTCTCTCTGCCTTCAAACAGTCGCTGGAGATGTGTGGATAGAGCGCTGATATTCTCGCACCGAGCGTAAGGTTTTCTATCGAGTTTCTCCTCCGAAGAAGCCTCGACTACATCGAGGCATGCAACAAGCGTGCGCTCCAGAAGGTGTCGGCCTGTGATGCATTCTCGGGAATTGACTATCGCGTGTGAGATACTGTTCTCTTCGAGCACGGCTTTGACAATTGAGGATTTTCCCGTGGCATCGAGGCCATGAACAACGAGGGTTGGAGGACTAGGGAGGAAAGGCTGGGAGAGGTCAGCGGGGCTTTTACGCGTTTGCACGGTCTACGAACCGAAAATAAGCTCAAAAGCTGTCTTATCTGAAGCTCTCTGCATGGAAATTGTGAGTTTAAAGTCGTTAGAACAAGCTCGTCGGGCAACATCGTGGATTGGATGATTTAGGGTATCTGAAGTGGTGAGGTTGACGCGCCTTTGAGGTTGAAGTTTGGTGCGCGATCATGTGATATTATACCCTACGAGAACCTCACAGTTTGCAAATCGGCAGTGAATATCTGTCCAGTGAGTCAAATGCATATAAATAGGTGGTTGTATTCACAGTTCGTTGGCATCTGAGCAAGGTCACGTGGGCTATATTTTCGGCGTTAGACCTTTAGCTCCAAGACGCATCCCTTTCATATTCTTACTAGCCCATCTCAGTTTGCAAACATAGATACTTATTCAGTATAGTACTCATATGTGCTTTTATATCGTACACTCATGTCGCTGCGCTGAATCTACGAGCTACAGCTACACTGCATCATACCCTTATACTTCGGCACGTCTCCGCAAAGCCGCTCCTCTTCACTCTCGTTCCACCCCCAGCTCTCTTCGAAGGGATTCAGCGTCATCTTCATAACACCCTGCAGAATGTCGCGCTCTTCTTTCTTTTCCACACGCTCTATGAGTTCGTCTAAGACCCAAGAGCGAGGGATGAACTACGCAAACGTTAGTGAACGCGTCACACAAAGTATGATCCAAGACACATAAGACGAACCTTCGGATTAACCTTCGCCATCTCTGTCTCTCGCTCACCGTCTTTGCCCTCTCCCCAATCCTCCCTCACCCTCTCCCCCCATTTCTTCAGCCACTTCGCGACTCTTTCTCTGGCCGGGGTCTCATCCCGCGGCGGTTCTTTCGCAAAGAATCTCCCTGCAACATCTTTCCTAGCTTCGTCGCTCTCCAAGTCCTGCAGCTTAACTCCACTCATTCGCCGAAAGCAGTGATGAAAGTCGAGCTCGTGCGCCTCCATCAGGTCCAACCACTCGCTGAACAACTCCTCAAAATCGCTGTCCTTGAATGTCTTCAGGCCTAGTCGCAGCGTCATGAGCCGTTTATACTCCCCCATAAACACGGCCTTGTACTCCTCCCCAGCCTTCTCAATCAAGTTCTCCGCGCGTTCAACTAACTCTTTCGCCTCGTCCTCCTGTATGCCCTTCTCAACGAACTGCTCTTTGTCCACGCCCGCACCTGATCCTATTAGCTCTCCCAACGCTTCGCCAAAACGGACCAGATTCCACCAGATGATAGTAGGTTGGTTGCGGTACGAGTACCGCAAGCTATGATCGTCGTGATTTGGCGTGTAGGTAGGATCAAACGTATCCAAAAACGCAAAAGGGCCGAAATCAATACTCAACCCCATGAGCGACGTATTATCCGTATTTAGCACCCCGTTCATAAATCCGTATGCCTGCCACGCCGCTACCGTTTTCGCATTTCTTCTAACCACTTCTCGGTATAGCCGCGCGTATCGGTTCTCGATGTCTTTGCCAGAGCCTTCGAGCGTGTCGCGGGGAATACCTGTGGTGGTTTCGGTGTTGAGAGGGCTGTCAGGGGATGGGTCGCTCAGTTTTGCGGGAAGTGCTTCCCATCCCCCAAGTACGTTCTCGGCGGAATAGTCGGCTAGTTGGCGCATGAGGGGGCGGTCGCCCCGCATGCGGATCAGATCAAATGTGCCGAGACGGAGCCAGGAGGGTGCGAAACGCGTTACGATGGCGCCAGGTTCGACTCGCTCGCGGACGACGCGAGAGCGGGGGCAGAGAGTCAAGGCGAGAGCGCGGGTGGAGGGGATAGAGATGGCATTGAGGTCTAGGTTTGGGAGGCGTTATTATTGTGAAGTAGGAAATGGAAGCGAGGTGGACATACACTCCGAGACTACGAATTCGCGGATGCTGGAGCGCAAAACTGCCTTTCCATCAGCGAAGCGAGAATAGGGTGTCTTTCCGGCGCCTTTGAGCTGGATCTCGTAGCGGTTATTGGTCGCAGGATTGGTGGTTTCGAAAAGGGATATTGCGCGCTGGGCCTGTCAGCTTCATAACACTTTGAGAGTAAAACATGCAGAACTGCGTACGCCATCCCCTAGTTGTCCAGCCCATTGGCCACTGGTCTCGTCAATACTGCTTAGGAAGAGCGAGGTGTACATCAAGCATACAATTGGTAGCCTTTGAGCATCAGTATTTGGTTGTATTTCCAAATCGAGAGGTGGAGTCTCACCCCCATAACACTGTGCCCATGGATACACGCCCTCTTCGTTCTCATCATCCCATCCTATCATGTTGTTCCCGGCAACCACGCTCTTGAAATCGTCGCTCTTCTCTTCCCCCTCGGCTAGCCCTAGGTCCTTCATCGCCCGCGCGCTGACAGCGAGGAGCTCCGGTGAGTGTGTTATTTCCGGTCGTACATATGTATATAGAGCTCCCTTCACTAGTCTAGGTCCTAGTGTCTCTCGCGGCGCCTTATGCGAGTCGGCGGGGGTAGGAAACGCGGGGTCTGGTGGGAGCTTCGAGGTGAAGACGTTAGATTTGGGGAGCGTTCGCATGGTGTAGGCGGAGGCAGTGCTGCCATTGCTGAGGTGGGCGGCCATTTGGGCGAGTCGCATGAGATGTGGGCTCGGTCTTTTGAGGAACATTAAAGGAGGAAATAAGATTGAATCACAGAATGATGGAGTAAAGAGAGGGGCGAGATATATCTGAGTGACGATGGCCTCTGGCGTCATAGCAAGTTTTACCGAGGCACTACCTTTGCAGGGGGTCCAGTTGTGTCTAAGCCCTTTTCATCGTCAACCGAACTCACCACCACAACACGACCATCCACACTTCATCATGGACGGCCAAGAGATCCCGGGCTTCTACTGGGGTAAGTTCCAGGATCCCTTCATCCATATGTGCATGTGTGCACTCTTCTGCCTCTACCTTTGGCGGTTCGATACTTCAAAAATTTCAGCGATGCACCACACATCCATCTATGTACTCGTATATGCCGTCCCTGAGGTCGGGCTGCTTATCTTTCGGCTACTCAAATGGCATTCTCTTCGTCCCATTCCAATTCTCTCAGAACATGCGAGGCACTCTAAGCAGTTGCGAACCAGGAACTAACTTTGTCTACCTAGACCCCGACAAGAAGAAATACTTCGCAATCCTTGCAACGCACAAAGGCCCACGGCCTGAGTCGCAATACTCCAAGGACAACATCGAAAATGTCACCAAAAAGTCAAAAGTAGTCTCTACTCAACCACCTAATATGAAATAAGACGAGCACTTCAGCTAACCAGTACGCTAGATCCAAATACGACGTGAGGATTGGGAAAAGAGAATGAAAACAGAGCGCGTTGAACGATCCAAAACACATCAGTCTCCCCTCAACGCTGTCTGCTTGAAGCGAGAACTTGGGCTTCAACGACCTCTCGTGCGACACAAGGACCCAGAAGCCGATGCTTTTGTTGGAGGCCTTGAGGCTACCGTACTCGGGCTTCCTTCCCATAGCACGAGCAGGATCCTCTTCTTCGACGTGGATCCTATCACGAAAACAGTTTATACGGCCAAAGCCGACCGAACTATCGAGTGTTTCGGTCTGAAATCCGAGTCGGCACCCAATACGAACCATCCACGTTTTGCTCAAACAGCAAAATTACCACATGGCACAGATTTGGGAACCTGGATCTTGGCTGATTTCGAGCGACTTGTTCACAGCTCTACGCAAAACACTACAGAACTTCCAGATGTGGAGCATCCTTACAGGCGATACCATAAGGGCCATCGTCTCCACTGCCTTACATCCGAAGTCTCGTCCATGAGCATCTGCCACCACGCTCGAACCCTCGTAACAACCTCTATGGGATCTGATCGCAACGCCTGTATTCATCTCTCTTCCCTCGACCACGCTGTAGGAATCTCCGAGACGTTTACCCCCAGAGAATCCCGAACTATCTGGACAGCCGCCCCATCGCCGTCATCCTCCGACAACCATCCACCGATCGTCGCCGTCGCCGAGTCAAACGCAGTTCGAATATTGACACTGTCGCCAGCCGGCGGATGGCAATCCTCTCTCGGCTTTGAAACCTCTACCGACGCCCGTGCGCTTGCGTGGCTTTCACCTACAACGCTTGCCGTGGGTCTCCGTGACGGCACCGTTCACCTGTATGATCCTCGCAGCGGACGTACCGGCCTATGCCTGAATCACCCACGCAGTATCCAGAACTTGCGCCGCGCGGATGACCCCACGCGCATTGTTGTTTCAGGCGGCCAATTGCTTCTCTATGACCTCCGTATGACGATGGGGCGTGCTGATATTAGGACAAGGAGGAAGAGGAAGCGACAGAATAGGGGCCTTTACACTGTGCGTGTACCATCTGTGCCCGTACTCAAATTCGACCATAGCTTTCCGCCGACCGACAGGCAGGCTTTAGACGTACACAGCGAGCTCGGTCTTGTGGCTGCTGGGCGAGACGATGCATCCATATGTCTTTATTCTCTCAAAACAGGCGACTTGATCAAGTCTTTTACTCCTGCTCGCACGGATTTCCACCACGATAGCTTCCTACGCTTTATGGACGATGAGCGCGGCGTGCCAAAGATCATGTCTACAAGAGGGCAGGACATCGTTGAGTTGGCTTGGTAATGATGTTGCCTGGGTACCACGAAAAATTCGGAGGGCATATCACGGAGTCATGGGGATGGTGTGGACGATACCCTGGGTAATTAGATTTGATAACTGTGAGTCTGTATACCTACTAATTTGTACTGCTGGACTCCTTCGCAGTGCCGTGACAAGAGTTTGCGTACATTTTGAATGATTTGTAAGCTCGCCAGGTCCTTTTTCGCGGCGCCATCGCCGATAAAGAGTATTCCACACGATGGGAGGCTATGCTAGCTTTGAACGCGCAATTGGCGCTACTGAGTCCCATATACCAAAACACCCCTTCCGCTAAAAACGAAAAACGGATTTGTAGACGTAGTTGCGTATTTGCATTTCAGGGGATTCGTTTGAGCTAAATCACCGAAACCGTTATTGATCAACGAGTGTTAATATTGCGTAATTATTGCCGTTAGATGTACTCCGACTTCGCAATTTGGCTTTACTACTCATCAGTACCACCCACCCCCTTCTTCATTCCTCTCCGCGCCCTCAGGGTTCAAATTTAAAATCCTCTGACCCGGAATACTTCCACTAATCTCCGCCTCAAAAATCCCACTCAACGCCCTGCCCCCAATAATCCCAAAAGAATCATACGCCTTACCGTGTAGCTTCACCCCATTCATCGCCCCCCACTCTCCCCCTTCCACCTCCCTCCCGTCCCCCAAATCCGCCCACCTCGTCACCGTAATCGCATGCTTAAACCTCACCACCTTATCCCGCTCATCCTCCACCATTTTCACCTCAACCAGATACTCACTCGCACAATCCTTACACCGCCGCATGGGCCCACACACCCCACACCCCCTCACCATCATCCCCTGCCCTGCCCCACCCTGCATCCCTCTCAGCGCGGCAGCCGCAGTTCCTTTCGGCCCAGAAGCCAGCACCTCCCGCACGCCTGCCTTCGGCCGCTCCGGGATGTGGCTGAGCGCGCACTTACACACGTCCATCAGCACGCCATCGCGCCAGTGCGCGCAGACGGAGAAGTAGGGCTCGTACTCCTCGCGGGAATAGAGGAGCATTCGCTCGCCCGTGGGCGTGAGTTTCGGCTCCGCGATGCACTGCGAGACCACGCGCATGAGGAGGTGGTCGCGGTGCACCATGTAGCGCGTCGCGTGGCGCCAGTTGCTGTGGGGACAGTTCCAGCGGCGGGAGAGGGTGGCGGTGGGGATGCCGTAGGTGGGGCCGTAGCAGTGGGCGCGGAGAACGAGTTGGACGAAGGCGAGGGGGAGGGCGCGGGCGTGGGTCAGGCGGGTGCGGGGAAGGACGGAGCTGTGGACTTTTGGGCAGAGGAAGAGGGGGGTGGAGGTGTAGTCGGCTGTTAGGCGCTCTTGGCCTGGGTTGAGGCGGAGGTGGTAGGTTGCGCAGGGGAAGCAGAGGAGGTGGAGGGGGAGGGTGGGATCGAGGTATTGGAGGAAGCGGAGGCGGGAGGGGCGGTTTTGGGGTGCGTTTAGAGTGGCTAGAGAGGACGTGCCTAGTTTTAAGAACAGAGTCTTGCTGGCGATGGTGAGCGCAGCAGCAGAAACAAGATCGAGGTGGGAGAGGATGTGTTTCCAAAGGTCAGGGGGGAGGGATGCTATCATGCGCTCTCGTTGGGCGATAAGGCGGGGATCGATGAGAGAGGCAAGGATGTCGGTGTCTCCTATACGTCTAGCTATGTCGAGGGTGTCGGTGATGGAATTAAGTGCGCCATGCTCGACGAGGCTGTGGAGGAGCTCTGTGCTGTCGACCGGCCTGGAGTCCCCAACCAGGGTAGATGCTTGACTGAAGATGGAGTATTGGCGCTCTCCGAGTTGCGGGTCAATGGACTGGCTTCGGTCAAGACGGATCTGACGGTTTGATTCCCATATTTCTCCTAGAGTCTGAAAGTTTGGCCGGTTTTGAGGGTTGAGATTGGTGGATGCATTTTGTTGGGCGTTTTTCTGAAGGGCCTTCTTGCGGAGTTTTACCACTAGATAGATAGTTACATTACTGCGCTGCACTGTAGGAGTGTGTTAGGAGTTACTCTTGTACTGCTTCTGTATCTTTCGATGCAAATGAAAGCGAACTATTGTATGTCAAAGGTTAAGCAGGCAAGTTAAGGATGTTAGTGCTTTCGGGAGCCCCCGGAAGTATGACGCCAGCGCAACTCTAATCCAACGTCGCAGCTCTTCGTCCCTCTCCTCTACCAGCAATACTTTTAGATACTCAAGATTCACGTAGAAAAGCTCGTATGCACCCGTTATCTCATAGACTATCATAACTGTTGAGTCTCTTCATCATCAGCTTTCCGATTTGTCCTTCCTGGCAATGCAGGGGCACGCACGGAATCGCCAATCATAATACGAAGATCTGTTCACCACTTCATAGTTCCTCATAGCTTGTCGATTTCTTTTGATTTAGAGGCTGCGTGTCTCTTGTCTCCCATAGCCTTCTGCTCGTATCAGTCTGTGTGTTCATCCTTGGGATGCCGATTTGCTAATATCAAAGGTAAAAGAAACCCAAAGCCGTAGCATCCAGGTGTATATGCCGACCTCAGCCTCGCAGTATTGATCTAGATGTCATGTTTCCATGTCCACAGATGTGGAGCAGAGAACTAGTCATCTAATACAGGAGCCTCCCTTTGCTCCAGTGTCCACTCTCAGCCTGTCTCTGGCGGTGGATCTCCCCGGTAAACACACCAGTTATCTACGCAACCCTTCAACGAGCGGAGGCTTCCGCCAAAACACATCTTCTCGTCGAGCCCGATCTGTACACATATACGGCATATGTCAGCTTCTGAGATATTAGAATCGCCTCGAAGCTTAACATCCTCTACGAGCTGAAGATAAAGATTATGCTGCGCTAGCGTGATGCATCCCGTTATATGAACCCTTCCCATGTCGAAATGTGCAAGAGCTCCCTTGACGGGCCACAAAATCTTCCCTGAAACCTCTCGCCAGCATACCCGCCTATCTCCATACTCGATGTTTAGGCTTTCCAGGGGCCCGCAATGCCAGTGCGGTAACCGGATTTCCAGACGGATGAAAGTTCCGAAGACGCGGACAACCCTTGCGGAAAAGATTGAACATACTGTTCCGGGGGGGGGGGGAGGGGGGGGGTGAAATGTCATCCGACGCATTGCCTGGAGATTGATCGTGGGCAATGTGCTGTCAAATCGTTCGAATAGTTTCAAGTTGGAAAAACGAAACTCCATCCCTTTCCACAAGATCTCATGCACTTCCTGGTGTACTTGCTTGTTTGTAAGAAGAAGGCCCATTGGGCTGCCCGCGCCGTTTAGTATCCCAACTCTGGTTTTACCGGTGAACTTTGCTGTTCGCACCAACGTGCCCGCCGATCCGATCTCGCTCCCGCTAAGCAAACCCGACTTTGAATGGGAGGTACAGCAGTACGGCAGATATCCGTTGAGGAGCCATCGATAGGGGTAAGCTTGTGCGCAGAGTAATTGCTCGTAGATGATTAGGCGTAGCTCCTTTGAAAGACGTAAGAGGTCGAAAACCTTGCCGCTGCCGTACCACTATTCTCGTTGCAGCTGAGATCCCTCCAAGCCACCGACAGAAACTTCAGCGTTTAACAAGGGTCTTGTCTCGAGAACCTCTCGTAGTGGGGTCCATTTCCCACCAAGTCGCACCTCGACAGCACGCCGGCGAGTAGTAGAAGTATTGAGGAGCCGCATATGGGCACACATGCCCCAACCATAGATTGCCTTTATCTTCTCGAAACGCTATCTGTGGACCATGGACCGTTGTCAAGGGCACGAGCACGATCGGCGCGGGCGCGGGTGAGGGCGCAGTTGAGAGGTGGTAGGCAAGATGTGGGTGTTGCGGGCGTTGTGGACGTGAGGAAAGAGAGGGAGCTTTTACGCAGGCGCAGGTGGGTCTTATATACCGCGGCACTATACCTGGCTAAGTGCTGATTGCCAACAGTTCGGAGGCTAAAACTTCACATGGTAAATCGGGGCCACATAAATGAGCCAGCAATAGCACTGGTTGCCTAACATCCAGTTTCCAAGGCACGTGATGCTCGAGGAACCTTGTCTGCGCCTTTCCTGATACCTTCTCATTTTCTAGTACTTATTCTCGAGCCCAGCACTTCAGATTAAACTTACCCGTTCGTATTCCAAAGCTCCACTGTGGATCGTAGTCGTATCGATTATTTGGTTTGGACAGTATAGTGTTTGGGACGCCCGAACGGAAGAGAAGCATCGAACAAATTCAAATTCTGTGGAATTGACTTAAATTCATCTCTAATGCGTTGCTGCCAACTCTACCTTCATACATAACTCTACTTATGGCAACGAAACTGCAGAAAGGGTGACACCACTGTCTATAGTACAATATTGAAAGAAGAAAAACCACCAGCCCCTACAGAAGCATGCTCGCTCAACTCTCGTCAAGAAGTACCAGCACTTGGGAGCTTCTCAGACTCCGCAAAGGAAAAAGAGTAAGATGACCGAGGGCGCGTTTTCCAATCGCAGCTGACCGTAGTCGCTCTCTATTCAGCCGTGTGATCGTAGTCTTCTGGAAGCGGGACTCCCTGGCACATACACCAATTATCCACACATGCTCGCGTGTCCTCCTCAACACATAAACTAGTCGAAACCCCAATCTCTCCGCATTTCCTATAAACTTGCAAGGCCGAGATCTTGGGTCCGCGTCCATGCTTAACATCTCCCACGTACTGGAGAGACTTTGTGCGGACGTCCGGACTGATGCAGCCCGCCAGCTTCACATGGCCAGTGTCGAAATGAGCAAGCGCGTCCTCCATCCCAACCAACATCATTCCGATCGTCTCTCGCCAGCACGTTGATCGAAAATCCCAATCGGTTCCGTTATCCCAATGATGGCCATACTTGCGCCGGTGCGGCAGTCGAATCTCCAGCCGCATAGACATATTGAACCGCGGAAGAGCGTGGCGAGCATCCTCGAGCACCATCTCCATGCTCTTGGGGTAGCCATGAATAGTCATATTCTGAAGCGCATTACGATGGATCGAAGATATGGAGCTCGTGAATCGAGCTAAACTGCTCTTCTTGCAATTGAATCGGAACTCGGTGCTCTTCCACAGTATATCGTTAAGCTCGCGGTTGACTTGTTTGTTGGCGAGAAGTAGTCCGGTTGGGCTGCCGACTCCATTCAGCACTTCGTATCCGTGGCGCAATGTGCCGTTTTCAAAGAATTCATTTTTCCCACACCGCACTATCGTCCCTGTCGGACCCCGCTCGCTGTCTTTGAGCAAGCCCTTGGATTCTCTGTCTTCCTCCCATGATGGCATGAATCCCTTGTGTAACCACGTATACGGGTAAGCCGGCCCGCAAACCAGTTCCTCGTAGATTGCATTTCGGAGTTCACCAGGGAGAGCCAAGAAGTCAAACTTCTTGCCGTTCTTATCCCACCATTCTGACATTTGGCGATATCCTTCCATGCCGGGACGTAGCTCGGTGTTTATAACGGGTCGGCTCTTGAGAATCTCCTGGAGCGGATTCCACTTCCCCCCTAGGCGGGCCTCGACGATACGTTGACCGGTAACCGAAGCGTCGGTGAGCCGCAGGTGAACAGTCTTATTCCAAGATTCCGTAGGCTTTGCACTCATGTATTTCCTTCGCCTCCTCTCTACCGCCGCCTTTTCATAATTTGAGTACTTACGGGGGTCAGGTGGCTGTGCATCCTTCTTCGGACCCTCGAGGTGAAAGAACGTTTTCCCAGCAGCTTGGATAGCGTTTAGGACTTGGCAAACTGTGACCTTGTTGATGGAATGTGTGAAGCTCTGCCAGTTGAAGGCGTCGAGCTCGTCCTCGATAGCCTTCTTCAAGCCGGCATCGTCGTCTTTCTGAGCCTCCTTCTTTGTTGATACTGGTGCCTTTCCTCTCAGGACTTGTGCAAATGTCAGCTGGGTCTGGCGATTGCCCCAAGCGCTTGGTGTGGAGGCTGCCATGGTGGGCGCTTCCTGCGGGCACTTGTAGTTGCTGGGAGCGGAGCTGTTGTGGGCGGTGGGTGGGGGTGGTGTCGACGTTTGGTGTGCAGGCGAAGAAAGGCGGTGGATGTTATACGCACGCATGCAAGTAGGTATTTATACGTTACCGTAATATCGTCGTGGTGAATTGCCGACTGCAGCCTTTTCCCCAGATCAGTGCCACTTGATCATCCGCTAGTAAGCGTACTGGAATCTACACGGACCAGATCTGTTTGGTGAATCGGACAACAGATAAGCACGAGCTGGTTGTGGGCCATCTCGTATCACCATTTTTTGATAGAATAGCGTAGATCTCAAATTGAAAAAGGATCGACTTTTGCCAACAAGTAGCTATGACAGGTAGTGGTATCCCAAGGAAAACAATTCGAGAGTCGGAGACTTAGAGCCACTTGCATTCTCATCTAAACGCCCGTTTATATACCTATAGCGTGAGAAGCGGCCAGGATGAAGCGTGCCAATGAGGAGCAGGTTCCAGGCAAGCTTATATCAATCCAGGGACCGAACGAGATGCCCCTTGGGGCTGATCATTAGCTTGACACCGCAACACATACCAATCGGTTTGGTGGCAATTTTGCTGGATCTCTTTGCCTTCGGGTTTACTCCACGACAAGCGTCGGCAATACGGTAGTCGCAACATTACACCGTTCCCGCTTTCTCAAAGCCATTGCAACCTTAACAACCCAGAAACCTGTAGGTCAAACCCAAGGCTGCTTTCCATCATCTCGGACATCTCCGCTGCATACGTGCAGATTTCAAATCATTGCATTTGTAAGGGCATCAATAATGGAGCATTTGTCGAACACCAACGACGAGAACTGGGACAGAGGAAGAGATCCCCTTAACTAATATTCGTGTAAAGGTGAATGTAATTATGGAGCTGTGACTCTGACATGGAAGCGTGTCATTTGAAGGAATTCTCGTCTCTAAAATGGCATCGAATGACCACTAGAAATGGCTGGACCGTCCTTCGGTTTATGCACTTATGGTCTTCCTGGATAGAAAGTCTGGTAGAGTTAGGAAACAAGTCCAGGAAGATTTAAAGATGGAGCGAGGTGCTTACTAAATCTGTGGAACAATAGTCTTTTGCTCTTCTTGGGTTCCTCAGGTTGCTCAACCGAGAGCAATCCGTGGACGGAGATCCACTCATCTATTTCCTGAAGAACATCCTTCCTAACGGCCTCATTATTGACGGCCGCTCTCTCTCTTATATGGTGTATGACTATTTTCTTTTTGTATAACTCGCCAGGATCTGCGCCATGCTGAAGGAGGAATCGCACAATCTTTAGGTTCACGTCCTTCTCAAAGTTGGCGAACACTGGAGACCTGACTGCAGCCTCGAGGAGTAACGGGACGAGATCCTTTTTTTGGGTCAAAGGCTTCGCTTCCTCCGTTTTTTCTTCCAAATACCAGAGAAATCCACATGCCACTATGTAATTAAGGAACGTCCCTGGTCCATAGAGGGTGCAGTCCTTAGGAATAAAGGATTTGATGTGTGTCCAGTGTGGCTCGGCATTGCCATGATGATCAGCGTCAGCGTGATATTCCAAGAGAGATCCTCGTCTTTCCCTTTGGCTGGACGTTAACTGCACCAGCGTGCTGTTGAGCTGATCCAGTGCTCTGATTGGAGTATCTAGATGATCGGTAAGCGTCGCAGACATATGGTATGCAAAGTCTTTAGTCAATGTTCCCATGTAGTCGAGCTCAAGATGTTTAGTCGTCTTCAGAGACATCAGATGCGACATGTATAATGGTGTGTGTGGGTCAAATGTGGGTGCCATAGCCTTGATACTTTTCCATGTAGACTCCTTTTCCATGAAGTCTCTGACAGTCCGGTGGAGATACTCAACTTTCTGGTAATACGAAATATAGCGTTTCGGGACATCGAGTAAACCTTTACACCGACTGTTCAGTCGACGTCGCATCCTATCAATCTTAGATGCAAGCGCCTCTTCTCCCACATCCCATACGGGATGATTGAATATGTAGTCGACATCTTGATCGGCGTAGGTGAGGCTCAATACCGATATTGGAGTTCTGGAAGCCCAGAAAATTTGAAACAGCTGGGAGGCGTGCTCTTTGTGCCTCGGCTCTTGACTGTCCAAGATCTTTTGAAAAAAATTCTCGAGATCGGGAGGAAGCATATCAACCTTATTTTGTAGATCACGGACGTTGTCGCCATCACTGAGGCCATCCAGTAGTACATGAACGACCAGAGAGACCCAGAGAAAGACACCAGAAGCCTTTTGCACGATGTCTTCGGTCAATTTTGCCGCATATCTGGGATCCTCAATTTTCAGGGCACCATATCCTGCGTTTTCTTCGAAGCTTGTTGATATGAACTGTCTCAGGTCAGGAAGAGTCAATTCGTGAATCTGAAGACTGGGGCTCGTTTCAAACTCGTCTTCGAACACCGGCCAGGGACGACTTGACACACACATCTTGATCTTCGAGTTTGGCAGCGATAGAAGCTGTTTCAGGAAAGTGATGAGCTCACGCTTTTCACCCTCATACTCATCCAGTCCATCGATTAGGAAAATGAACTGCTTAGAAGACCCAATGTGGTCAATAAAGCGGAGAAATCCTCGGAGTAATTCATTCCAAGTAAAACGGCCAATAGGCGATCCTAGAAGACTGAAACTCTCCCAATGGTCTGGAAAGACAACTGTGGCGGTCTCTCGGCATTGATCAATCATTTGGTATAGCAACGATTGAATAAGCCCATGTTGAGACATTTGTATTTCCTCTCCAGAGTTCCAAAAGTAGAAGCTAGCCTTCACGACTGGGAGATCCGATAATAGTTGTTGCTTCGTGCGGGGGTCGTCGTCTAAGAACTTCATGAGCGTGGATTTGCCAGCACCGGGTTTGCCTGTGATCCAATAGAGTTGGGAAGAGGCCTTCAACCATTTAGAGAAGCTGTCCCACGATATAGCTGGAGTAGGGTCGGGTCCGTCTTCATGGAATATCCATTCAAAAGTTTGTCGATACCGACTAGTGATTCGGTCATGTCGGTCTTCCATTTCTTTATAGTTCAGACTTCGGAGGAGGAGCTGTGAAAACTTCCTCGTGTGCGCTCGAAGTCCTCCTGTTATGATTTCAGGCCACGAGGAATCAGGAGCGTCGTAGTCAAGATCCGGTCTGCTTTGCTCGCGAATTATTTTGACAAGGTCTTCATCTCTTTGCTTTTGCTCGATGATTTGTTCGCGAAATATCGTCATCATGGTGTCGAGTCGACTGTTCATATCAGAGCTCGATGAGCATACTTCTTCTCTGTGCTGCGTTAGAGTCTAGGCTTTCTGGCTAAGACACTGTAATGTACCTCAATATGACTACAATATGTAGTGTGATGTGTCGGCGGCAATCCTCTAGTCTCCCCGCAAGGCGGGTGATCTGTCCCCCTTTCATCTTGCTCTCCAATGCTTGCTTGCAACTGCTCCATCGTCGGTTCCTTATGCTGACGTTCTGGATGGAGTCCAACACTTTGATAAGCTCAGTTGCAACTTCGTTGGCACTATCGCAAAGTTTCCTAAGTTCGGGTGCGCTTTTGGAGGATTTGTCGGCATTCAAAGGCCGTCGGAGATCTTTGCTAAGTTCCTCAAGCGTAGAACTAATTTGACGAAGGTCTGCGTGTTCCTCAAACCGCCCATCATCCGACTTGTAGATCTCCCGGCTTCCTGAGACTAGTTTACTTGCGAAGTCTACGAAAGTGACTACACCAGTTGCCACGGCAAGGGCTGAGAAGGGCTCCATTTGCCCATTTCAGGGCAAAAAGATGGGCAACGGCCGGTTGTTACGAAATTGATGCGATCTGAAGCGTAGGATGTCTTTCGGGAAGGAGAATGGTGAAAAGAAGAGAAAAAACTTGAACAACACGGCTGGAAAAGGTGGGATGGTAGTGGCGGGATGAGGCGTAGCAGGTGCTAAGACACAGCCTAGAATTGTGCATCGTGCATGAGGGGCTATGTTGCATTTGGACGAGGCTGAGTGGCATCCAGGGCCAATACACGCCTGTAGCGAGGCTGTCAGGTTTCGAGGCAGACCAAAACGAATCATACCTACTTGCGGTGTAGGGGTTGAAACGATGTTTAAGAGGGCGAAGGGAGAAGCATTGGTAATAAGGCAGACTACTTCATGGAAAGAGAGTGGAGACAGTGGCAGAAGGCGTAACAAATCGCGATAGAATAGCTGACTAGATAGTTTTAGAGCGGTGTTATAACCTTCCCTAGTACAGCTCACGACCTACCTACTATTCTCTTTACAAGACATACCTCCTTCGATCGCTACACAGAATGAAACATAGAGACATTACTCACACTACACCCGATACTTCAAATACTGAAGACCCTTTGCTCTTCCTAGTTAGGAAAAGAATGGAGCTCTTAAGGTCTATCCGCCTCCAAATCGCGCCAAGCCTAGTTCTAGAGTACGTTTTCAACGGTATTCTATCGGTCCTACTCTAGTGTCCATGCTAGACCATCCAACGCGTCTCCCAACAACAACGCGTCTTCCTATATTCTATGCGCACCCCTGTGTTTCAGATCCCCGGAAACGTGTTCATCCATTTGCAACTATGCCGAAAAGAAGGGCAAAAACAGCAAACGATTTACCGCCCCGCCCTATTCTAATTGATACTAAGACGAAAGCAAGGTATATGAATTGCCGCACCGCCGCGCAAAAGCAGCTAATTCGCAACGTTCATTTGCACATGTTGCTCGTGCGCTATCCCGCTATCGGTATTTACAAACCGAACACGTCACTGTTCGAGTGGAACCACGCGTTATCATTGCCCGCTATCCCAACACTCAGCAAACCACGAAACCTCCACGTCGTCATCTAGAACAGCAGAGGCATCGCGTACGAAGCCATGGATCGTCGATAGAGACATCTCAGCTTCCGGGAACTACGGCAAATCAGATTTTGTCCGCTGCGAGATGTCAAAATCATCTATAAAAGCGGCCACGCGAATGCAGCAAGCTACTCTAAGTGGAGCCATGCGGTCCGTGTCGAATGGTCCAGTTACTTCGTCAACGACCCCCTCGACCCGCACGCGGCAGAGAAGTGGCAGGCCGAGAGAGACGGGAAAAGGAGCCGACATGCGGACCGAGCAGATCGGCAGAAAGTGCCAAAGATCTGAAAGGACCAGTCCATGCGCTGTAACGCAGGCACGAAGATTGAGTGCGACGAACGGCAGCGAAGAATGAGGGAAGAGGGCCGAAATCCCAGTGAGTGTTTTGCGAAGCATGTGTGTGGCGAGTGTGGGAAGTGGCCAGAGGCTTGTGCTTGCGATACAGCGGTGGTTGATATGGACTCAAAACCAGCTTAGCAGTGTTTGGGATAGTTGAGTAGTACGGCCTCGTAGATACCAATTTCCCATTATTTGGCCGCCCACTTGAGTAGCATGGGCTAGTCTTTTTGTGTGTAGGATGTGCACATGGAGTAAAAGTCAGACTTGGAGTTCAGGGGAAACGGAGAAGACTTTTTAGGATGGTACTGTCAGAGATATTCATTCAATCAGTATTTCAATAAACCACCTACAACGCTCATCCACACAAATCCCCCGAGTTCAGCAATCATTTGACATAAGATATATCCCGCCGTGGTACTGATATTGGTACTAACTTTCGCATCTTGCGCAAAAGCCACAGACCACGATGCTCCACAGACATGCTCGCCCATGATCCATTTTGATACGCCGAAAAATGTTCCATGCGCGCCGTTTCCGTCTCGCCATTGAGAAAAGGAGATGGAAGACCATGACAAGATACTCGCGTAGCACCTAGTAGGATCCGTAGCATATCCCATGCACACAAACACAAAACGCCATATAACACCTACACATGGTTTGGTATCATCGAAAATCGCACTGGCGTCAAAATGTCCTCAGTGGCCTCTCAAGTCCTCGGGTAAGCTCTCTCTCAACTCTTCAATCTCCCTCCGGATCGCTGCAGCCTCCTGCCCATTCCCTCGCTTTTCCAGCAGCGTCGCCAACATCCCGTTAGCCGTGCACTCCCACAGTTTGCTTCTCGCGCGGACTGCGAGCTTCGGGAAGGCTTCATGAGCTCTCACAGCGTCTCCATCCAGTCTACCAGTGGCAAAATGGAGTGTAAATGCGGCAAAAGCCATGCATGTAAGCTGCTGGTTCGATATCGTTTTGGCGGTATGCATGGCTGTTTGGATGTAGGTTGTAGAGTTCACGGTTCTGTCGTTATCGATGCAGCCCTTGATCAATTGGAATGCTGCAACAATACCTCTTGATCTGTGAGAAGTACAGAAAGGTCCGAGCTGGGCCATGAGGAGCCCGAACTGGAAGTGCTGAGGATGCGAGGGCTCTCGGATGATAAGAAGAGTGTTCAGGGCGGCGAGTATGGCGACGTCGGTGCTTGGGTCGTTGACAAGGGCAGTGTCAGGGAGAGCCAGAATATCTGATTGGTATGACCGCAGAGCAGAGTCAAGCCGACCAGCGCCCTGATCGATTGCACCGCCTAGATAAGTCGCTAAACGCTCACGATGTATCGCATCTCCCAAGGAGCAATGGCTGGCAGTTAGCTGCAAGAATATCTGGGTATTTCTCGCGGCTGGCCAGTCCGCTCGAGAGCAGAAATAGAAGGCCAATTGCAACCTAAGGTACCAGTCGATCAGGGTTCGCCAGTTCGTAAGACTTGACATCCCGGATATCGACTCGGGGTGTGCCTCATGCTGTACCAAGCTCTCTAAAATGTGATCAGTGACAGGGAGGTGCTGACAACTGCTGGGAAGGTACACACCCCGAATCAGCTTAATTGCTTCCTGAAGGTAGGTAATAGGCTGCCTTTCGTAGTACAGGCTCGTCGCTACACCGGATAAGTAGTAGCCAAGGCAATAGACATCCCGGCGACAGACCCAGGCGAAGACGAGCTGGTCTCGTCCGTCGGCGGTCTTTCTAAAGATCCCCCCGGATGATATGTGAAGTTGACCGCTAGAGCTGCGCTCGATTGGTACACCCAGGAAACCTTCGTCTTTCCTCTGTTCCGCAAGATCCGGCTTATCTAGGAACTGGTGCATGGCCATTGTCTTTTCAAGAATTTCTTCTTTTCTGTGGCTCTGAAGGCTACAAACAACATCCAAGAGACTGAGAAGCGTCATAATTTGCGTCAATCCCAGCACCGACTGGTCAAGCTGGTATTGTCGCGCGTCAGCAATCGCGCGCTGAGCCTCCACCATGCTCTCTGTTCCTGGGGTTCGCAGGTGCAGGAGAGCCTTGAACGCAGCAGAGACGACATATACTGCCATGTCCCTATGGTCGTCCGAGATTTTTGATATCGCCTCCAGATGATGAAGCGAAGTCGAATAACCACGCTGCGAGGGCATTTGTTGGGATAGTGAGACGCACAGAAACCGAAGCGCGTATACCCAGGCAACATGTCCATAGTCTTCGGCCTCCTTTATGACCTTGTCCAAGGTCTTGATCGCGGCGCCTGGATTTTTTTTCGCCAGGGCACGTGCTTGAAGATGCTGCATGCTATACTTCAAGTCGAGAAGTCGGTGCCTTTGACATAGCATGATCCCGTGATTTAGTACTTGATCTGTCTTTGCATCGTTGTTCGTTTCATTATGTAATAGAGTAGCAAAGCGAAGCCGTATTTGCCCTTCTGTGGCCGGATGCAGTTTGTAATTGAGCAGTACAGCATCCATGCATCCCATTCCCGTTGACATAAGCTTGTAGTAGGTCTCCTGATCCTGATGGGTCAGGGACACCGTCGGGCCCATCCCGTGCGCAGCTTCTATGTATTCCTCTGCGAGCAAGAGAAGCAATGGATTGTAATCGGTCGCTCCGCCTGGACTTGGGGAGGCTTGTGGCGTCGTCGATAGCACAGAGGCAGATCTTGAGGGAGTATGAATCACGACTTGGGGGTGCCGGATTTGACCAGGTCGTGTGGCCTGTTGTTGAGACCCTGGCGTCTTCTGTTGCGGCTGTGGTGTCTGCTGCTGAGGCCGGGGTGTCTGTTGGTGTTGCTGAAGCGACTGTCGATGTTTTTGTGCTGGCGGCTGCTGTCGCAGGGGTGTCTGCTGCTGCCTCTGTAGCCCCCCCTCTTGCTGCCGCTGCTGTGCCTGATGTACATTGGGAGTCTGTTGCTGTTGGGGCTGGTATTGTATTTGATGTTGGGACCGTGGAATCTGCTGAGGTTGTGGTCTTTGCTGGGGTACATAACTATTCCGCGGCTGGACATTGATGGAATCCAAAGCGGAAGCATGAGGGTGCGAGAGGTACTGATGCGAGGGTCGACTTGGAGTCTGATACTGGTTGTATTGTCGACTAGGCGGATTGACATATTGCATAGGTGTTTGTGGGGGCATTTGCGAAGCCTGGTTCTGGGCTGGATACCCGTTCGGCGCATATCCGTTTGGTGGAGCTTGTGGTTGTCGCTGAGGTGGGTGTGGAGGGCCAGGCTGGCCCGGGGGCGAGTACTGGTAGGGGTAGCTCATGACGGCGCTGTGATGATAGTCCGAAGGGCCGGTAGACCATCTTGCTGCGTCACAGACTCATGGTGGTGAAAGGACGGTTGGTGAATGAAGCATCATGAAGTTGCGACATCTTGAAGTTGCCGCGTCAAGCTGCGCGTCTGCCCAGCCAATCACGGGCCGGTAGTGATAGTGGAGTACCTCATGCTTCCTTAATCTCTAGACCGAGGCATCTTGACAAACTTTAGACACAAACTCCTTTTTTTCTCTTCTTGTCGTTCAAGCTATCCAAGGCTCGATCAATCTAAAGGGCCTTCCACGGGATGTCAAGGCTAAGGCCGAATTCCAAGTACTCCACTGGCCTTCTATCACGATCCAGAAAACGTATGGAAATGCCCCACCAATGGTAAACATATCTAGCAATGAACAATCTGATCCCAAACGATAGGATCTCAAGACAAACCATGGTGAACCTCTCCTGGATCTACGGCCATGCAAAAACTACCTGGGCGCATCCAACTAGCCCCATCCAACTAACTACAAAATCTGGCGACGAAGTTTCCCTGTCCGAATTCTGCAAAGCCACAGTACCAGAATGCCACCTAAACCCCCTCCTCTTCAACGGCCATCTCCAAACCTGCTACACAGCTATCAAAGAAGAAGGACCAGCACTCACCTACAAGCGCAAGACTTTTGAATCCGACGATGTCAACTACCCAGGCCAGTTCACCGTGGATTTCGTGGCCCGTGAATCAAGTCCGAAGGATGACACGCTGCCAAAGCGTACAACGTACTACTCTGAGAAAGAGCTAGAGCAAATTGGGTCTTTGGACAGCAAACCTATGATTATAGCTCTCCACGGACTTAGTGGGGGCTCGCATGAGCTTTATCTAAGACATGCAATAGCCCCGCTGTTAACGCCGGAAGCTGGTTGGGAGGGTTGTGTGATCAATGCAAGGGGGTGTGCCATGTCGAAGTTGACGACGGATAGGCTGTTCAATGCTCGAGCTTCTTGGGATGTTCGGCAATTAGTGAAATGGTTGCGGGTGAAGTTTCCGAATAGGCAGCTGTATGGGATTGGGTTTTCGCTAGGGGCGACTATCTTGACTAATGTAAGAGCATTTCTCATTATTCGATTCTCTTGTTGACTTTAGGGACGCGTAGTACGTTGCGGAAGAAGGCGCAAGTTGTGAGCTCAAAGCTGCAGTGGTCATATCGAGTCCCTGGAATCTGGAAGTGAGCAACATAGTGTTGCAATCGACATGGGTTGGCCTCAATCTGTATTGTAGAGTTTTAGGAGGCTCTGTCTTAAAGTTGTTTGAGATGTGAGTGCGCATTCTCTGCATGTTGCCTTCCGCTAATAGGATCAGTCACTCAGAACAGATCCTCAAGAATCCCTTGATCGACGAGAAGAAAGTAAGAAGCATACGTTTTTTGTACGAGTTCGACAGGTAACATTTATCTATGCCCCAATATCGTAATTGAACACTCACGAGTTGGGTATCTAGATACGTACAAGGACCAACCTGGGGCTACCCTACTGAAGGAGCATATTACCGCGATGCATCATCAGTGGATGCATTGAATAACGTCAGGATACCGCTCCTTGCCATCAACGCACAAGACGATCCGGTAAGATCGGAGACAATGGAGACCCTGAACCCACTGACACATATCTCCAGATTGCTTGCAACGAAGCCATACCATACGAAGAGTTCAAGCTGAACCCGTACGCAGTGTTGTGTGCTACGTCGATGGGTGGCCATCTCGGATGGTTCCAGATCGGAGGCAAGAGATGGTTTGCTCAGGCGGTAAGATTCATTCGAATACCCTTTTCGATCGATGGGCTAAACCCAGTAGGCAACCGATTTCCTGAAAAGGTTCGAGACCGATGTCGATACAGCTGCAACTGCAACAAAAAACCCCGCGCTAAATAGCAATGCTGTGACCTTGGGGAAAGGCCCTCGTTTTGATCCCTTACGCCGAAGGTTGCATGACCCAGCAATAGAGCCATGATGGCACTTGCGGACTCCCAAACACCCATATAGACTAGGTATCTTTTCAACCAAAAGACACCTTCTTCATCTTCCCTTTTGCCTTTGGCGGGGCACTAAAGGCACTCTCATCATCTTTTTTAGGAGCTGATTTCTTGTTTCGCTTCTTGCGGAGCGAATCCTTGGTTTCCTCCTAGGCATAACATTAGCATTAGAAAGACCATCAATGCACATGAACCACTCACTAAGACGGCCTGCTTTTGCTCGCTCCTAGCCTCTGCCTCCTTCCTCCTCGCTTCCCGAATCTCTTCCAATTGCCTCTGCCACACGTTAGCTAAGCCCACGCAGTCCTAGTATGCCTGCACTAACCGCCCGCATCATTTTCGACTCGATCTGACCATCTTTGTCCGCATTCACCATAGCTAAAATGGTCATCATGCTCTCGGTATCATCCACGAAGACCTTGCCCTTCTTCTGGCCTTTGACTTTCTGCACGCCCGCCGGCGTAATCATATTGAGTGTCGGGATTCCCAGCTCTTTCTCGCTGTACATCCGCCTCTTTTTCTTCAACACCGCGGCCGGCTTAGTCTTCTGTGCCCCGCCAGGTTTTGCGAGCGAAAGGCCCTTCTGTTTCCGTTTCGAAATGCCGCTGTCGGCGGAAGGTTTGCGGGATTTAGAGCTCTGCGTTGCACCAGTGTTGCCCTTAGGCCTTGACGAGCCTTTCGAGGACGTTTTCGAGGATTTCGTGGGCGCCATGGTAGTTTGCGGTTTTTGCAGATGTCGATCGCAAAAAAGTTCGAAGATGGAGCTTTGCGAGAGACGGGCCGATTCAGGGCACTTGGCACGCTAGTATAATCCTGGCACCTGCAAGCTGATCTCCAGCAACGACGACAGCAGCTCCACAGCCTCGCGCAAGGCACTGAACTCAACACGACAGCATCCAGCTCCCCACAACCAACCTCGCAGCAAAGCCATCTACATGCTCGAAATGTCCTCCCACCGCCTCTTCCGCTTCCCAAAGCCGCAATGGCTCAACAACGCCAACGCGCGCACCTTCGGCGTTTACACCGCAGGCGCCCTCGTACGTGCCCCGTTCCCCTCACCTCCCCCAACTACCCCCTCACTAACCTGTATCACGCAGTTCTCCCTCGGCTTCTACATCCTCATCGACGCGGCCGCCTACTCCAGGTCCCCGCTCAACGGCTCCGACCCCGCCGTGCACATCACCTTCGTCGACTGGATCCCAGGCATCTGCAGCGCACTGGGCATGCTGGTCATAAACTCGATCGACAAATCTAGACTGTCCGCCGACTCCTTCAGCTACAGCGGGAACGGGGTGGCGTGGAAGGCGCGGCTGGTGCTGTTCCTAGGGTTCGCGCTGATGGCGGGCGGGCTCGCGGGCGCGGTTACGGTGCTTGTGCTGAAGTACGTCGTGCCGGAGTACGTGTGGCCGACGCTGTGGATGGGGACGGCGAATGTGGTCGCGAATGGGTGTGTGATGTTGAGGTGAGTGATGAGTGGAGTGGCTTATGCTGCCCTGTTAATTTCGAGTCTTGATGGGAATATGCTAATGAGGATGCAGTTCGGTGGTCCTGTGGGTCGCGCAGAACATGGAAGACGAGTATACATACAATCTGGCGCTTTGAGGACGAGCATGGCTTACATGCACAGGGACGACGAGCAGTGAGCTGGATGGGGTGCGATTGGATCTGCCTACTTGGGACCGGATGGATTTCCGGGTGAGGTTATTGCTGTATAAATATCTAACAGGCGTATATGGGTTGTCTTTTGCTCACATTAGTCATAGTTTGATTGTAGCGTTGCGATATCAAGTCCGTCAATTCGGTGAGCACGTGTCTACTACGAGAAGCTGAGCGACGTCATGCATCGTGAGAAAGTTGGCAGCTGGTTCTTTCGAGCCTGTCAGTACTATTCTAATTAGTAGAAATATGGAGACCTTTTTTTTGACGAAAGGACCCTTTGTTACAAGGTCGTGCTGGTCTATGACGGATGGATATTCAGTACGCAGCAGGGATGATAGCAATCAATGAAGCCTCATGAGATGTTCTTGACTTAATGATACAAAACGCTTCCAAGTGCGATCTCCAAACGTCCAAAATCACTGCACGCCAATCCTGATACCTAACCCAGTCCAGCCTCGCTGCCCAAGCCGGATTTACTGTACACAATCCACATAAAATGACACCCTCGGACCCTGCTATCAACCATTCCAAACACAGAGCTTAGAACTCCGCCTCCTCTTGAAAGAAGAGGCCGAAGCTAATGATAGTGCCGTAAATCAACAAGCCGCCGATAATCGACATGACCATAGCCGGGATCTGGATAATGGCGCAGTGAGCGAGGAGCGCTGGTAGAGCTGCCATATAACGAGTTAGCCACGGTTCTCTCAATGTACACACTTGTCAGAAAGCTCCGCTCTGGATACCAGAGGCAGCCAGCCTCTCTTCCAACTCCCTCCTCTTGCTTATAGAACAGGTTCCACGTACCAATCCCCATCACCACCAAGAAGCCGGTCAAGAACCGTCCGAAATCAACAATCCCGCTCCCGTTGCTCTCCATAAAGTCGTCAGGGTTCGCGGCGTGCCCGCAGAGCCAGTTGGGCAAGGGCGCTACGACGTAGGTTGCGACGACGAGCAGCGGGAAGTAGTTGTGCCATAGCGCGGAGGAGAGGATCACGAGGAGGAAGCCGATGGCGAGGACCTAGAGTATAGCGGTGTCAGACGCATGAGAGTACGGTGGTGGGAGGCAGGTGAGCCGTGGGAGCGTACGAAGGAGAGGGCGATGATGGTCTTGAGGCCTGCCATCTTTGCGGGGGCCTGGTGGAGTTGAGGGGAGGTTGGCGGCGGAATCAAAAGTAAAGTGAGGATGTGTCGGAGCGCGTGCACTGAGTTGTTGTTTCGTAGTAGAGATCTGGTCGTAAAGCAGTGAAGAGCTGGGGCTGCCAGGTTGCGGTGCGATCGACTTTGGCGCCGCGATGAGGCTGGAGAAGGAGCGGGCCTAGCGCGACAGCTTGAGCTCCAGGGCATTCGTAACGAGACATCTGCCTTGCACCTCAACACCACGAATATACATCACCACTTTCCTCCACCGCTCCTCTCACTCTTCTCTCGAACTTGGTACCTCCAACACTCGCCCATCATGTTCAGGAACAACTACGACAACGACTCGGTGACCTTGTGAGCCACAACAATTCCGTCTATGTATTTCTCTAGCTAACAACTCCAGCTCACCCCAAGGCCGCATCTTCCAAGTCGAGTACGCATCAGAAGCCGTGAAGCAGGGCTCCGTCGTCGTGGGCATAGTGAGCAAGACACATGCCGTGCTTGCGGCCATTAAGGTACACCAATACCCTCATTCACGATATCCACATCCATATCAATTCGAAACACACATCTACCGCTACAATATGGACAACGCTAACTCCCTCCCTCCCAGCGCAACGCCGAAGAACTCTCCTCCTACCAAAAAAAGATCATCCCAATAGACTCCCACTATGGCGTCGCCCTCGCCGGCCTCGCCTCCGACGCCCGCGTCCTCTCCAATTTCATGAAGCAGCAATCTCTCGCCTCCCGCCTGACGTACGACCGCGCGATCCCCCTGGCCGAAATCACCCTCCGCATCGCCGACCGCGCGCAGAGTAACACGCAGAACTACGGCAAGCGGCCCTACGGCGTCGGCCTCCTCATCGCCGGCGTCGACGCCCGCGGCCCGCACCTCTTCGAGTTCCAGCCGAGCGGCGTCACGCAGGAGATGCAGGCGTGTGGGATTGGGGCGCGTAGCCAGATGGCGCGGACGTATCTGGAGCGGAACTTGGAGGAGTTTGAGGGCGCCAGTAGGGAGGAGCTGGTCAAGCATGCGTTGAGGGCGTTGAAAGAGAGTTTGGCGCAGGATAAGGAGCTGACAATTGAGAATACGAGTGTGGGACTTTGCGGAGTAGACGAGAACTTCAAGCTTTATGAGCATGCGGAGGTTCAGGAGTGGTTGGAGACGACGTTTGAGAATCGGGAGGCGCCGGCTGAGGAGGAGGGCATGGAGGTGGATTCGGATTCATGAGGGGTGCTTGAGTGAGCGGGTATGCCTAAGGGGTCGTAAAACCTAGATGAAATGCTGGTTCGGGGATGAAGGCTATCTTGGAGCGGCTTGCGTAGATATGACCGCTTCTGAGATCTGTATTCTACAGAGAATATTACGATTCCAACACCACCACTTCCTGAACTCCACAAAACCCTCTCATTATGGTGAAATCAATATCCCTAAACTCTCGTAGAATCTAAATTCACCTACTCTGTGAATGCGTGCACGTGATACTGCTCCCCGCCAAAACAACCGCGTCCGAGCATCATATCAACACCTCCAAACAACAACCACTCCGCCATACCAAAACCCAACCACCCACCATGGCCCCAGCATCCGGATCCTCCCTCTACCCCCGCAACACCCTGAAGCGCATAATCCGCGCCCACGCAAACCGCACCCTGAGCAAGAACGTAGATATCCTCGTACGCCAAACACCCCCCCTCTCCCAAAACTACCTCACGCTAACAACCCCCCAGATATTCCTCGACTACACCCTCTTCCTACAAGAGTCCGTCCCCCCTCGCCCTTCCTCCCCTCCCCTCCCCTCCCTCCACCAGCGCGCGCAGCATAGCCAACGGCGCAACTCAGAAGACTATAGTTACTAACCGATGCCAGCTTGATCCGCGAAGCATCAATCCGCTCGAAACGCGATGGCGAGAGGGGCATTTCGGCGCGGAGTGTGCGCCGGGTGCGAGATGTAGGTTTCCCTGCGCCTTACAATCGGTTTTGCGGGCAGGAGCGTGAGCTAATTGGAATTGGAATAGATGAGCTTGAGGAAGTTTAAGGGATAGGGAAGTTTAAGGGATAGTGCGGATACTTCGTACGTGGGAACGGGTCAATTCGGTTATGGTTACAAGGGGGCGTTTAGGATAGGGCAGGGCGGTTTAGGAGGGGGATACCCACTGGGATCGTGTTGTGGGCTCTAGAAGGGCTTTGACCATTTTTTGGGGCGGCGTTTAGGGTTGGCTTCGTGTCTGCATTGGGGATATCAGACGTATGAGATTGCGTTTAGCAGCCTGGCTTAATCCAGCTTAAACATACACAAGCAGGATATGAATATGGCTACGCGATTTATCCATTTTGTCCCGACTTACGAAGAGGGTGCTGAAGCGCCACAAGCAGCGGCAAGTAGGCCGACTGTCAGCTTGCTGACACTCTCTAATATAAGCTTTGAGGGGCTTTGCATCTTCTAAAAGCTTTGAGAATGCGCCGAAGCAATCTCCAACGGTAGTAAGCAACTGTGCCTAGATTTTGGCAAAGTACTGTATGTTGGGTGAGAGAAGTATTTGATTTTGTTTCTATGGATTTCGTTCATTCTACATCAAAGCCATCCACGACAGCAAGCCCAATCAGCTCGCCATATCAACCAACCCTCCGCCATCACTCCCCTACCTATTCAACCACCTATAGCTTCACTACCTTAGGCACAATCCACCACTCATGATACCGCTTCCCCTCCCCCTCGCCCTCCGCCACTCCCTCCACCCTCAACTTCCCCTCCGCATCCGCCGTACTTACCAATTCCCCAGCCATGCCCCTCAATCCTGCCACCGCAACGCCCGCAGCCACACAACTAAACAAACGCCCCTGAACCCTACCGCTCCACTGCTCCTTCACCCCCTCCGCGCTCGCCGCCTTCGGTCCCAACTTCTTCAGTTTTGCAAACGCGTCTTTCGCGCGCTTGACACTCGCGTCGATGGGTTGGTAGGTGGTCGCTTGCTGGAGATGTTTGACAATGGACTCAGAGGGAGATGTTGGGGCGGCGTGCGGGCCGAAGGGATGGATATGCGTGGTTAAGGTATCGAAGGGGATAATTTCGACAGGCTGTAGGAGAGCGAATGGTTTGGTGCGGAGGTCGTAGCGCAACTCTGGAGAGGAGAAGGGGCGCGGTGGTTGCGGGAGGAGGTGGAGGTAGGAGAGGAGGGTGTAGAGCTGTTCGATGAAATTAGTATAATTTCAAGGTAAGGGTGCGCGGATGGTGTTGATATGGAGGAGGGAAAAGGGAGAACTTACACTACTCAACGCTGCACTTAGCTCTTCTGTGCCGACCGCTTCAGCGAGGAGGGCCTCGATGTATGCCTTGCCTTCTTGAACTTTAGCGGCCTTTTCAACGTCCACTTTCTTGCCTTTTTCTAGCCGCTTTTGCCGCTGCTCCCAGAACTCGAGGAGAGTGCTGAGTAGCCGGTTGCGGGTTTCGGCGACTTTGGCGAGGAAGAGATACATGCCTGCAAGCTCATCGGGGAGGTAGATGTCTTGTTCGAAGCCGAGCTGGATGATCCATTCGATTTGGCGGAGTTTCAGGTGGTAGACCCATGTCGTGAGAGGGTATTGTTGGAGGTCGGATGTTAGGGCTTGTAGTTCGTCATCGAGGATACTAGCCTGGGATGTGTAAGTATACGGAACGATCACTGAAGTTTGTACCGTTCTAGAACGACTTTACGTACATCAGACTGTAGCTGGTCAAATGCAAGTAGGCTGTGACAGAGCATTCGTCGCATTCGACACCGGTTTTGGCACAGAGCTGTCCAAAGCTCCACATAATTCTAAAGCGTGGATTAGTAAAAGTATGATGGAATGCTTTCTGTTAGTTGAAAAGACATACCTGAACTGCCCTGTTCGTGAAATCGTCAATGATGCTAGCCATTTGGAGCCGCTTATCTTTCGGGAAGAGCGGGTTTCGAGGAGCGTCAATAGTCCAGTTGATAGGATCAAGGACCTGATCTTCTGGGAATACCATAGCAGCAAGATCATCCCGTAATAGGCCTTCGAAGATCTCGTTATCTCCAGCAAAAACGAAGCCTGCTAGGTAGGATCGTGCGTAGGCTGATGGCTGAACTTTGCGAGAAGCGAAGGCCCATAGAAATGACTAGTGAAGGCTTTTGATTAGAATCGTTGATTTACAAAAGAGAAGATTGCGTAGACACTTACCTGATACTCCTCGGGAGCAGGATCTAGGAACGTATACTTCGTCGCCTCAGCACAGTCTTCACATAGCTGTTTCAGCTTTGCAAAGGCGTCTTTGAACTCTAATTCAACAATGGGCCGTGGTGGCACAGTACTGGTCAGCCTCCGCTGGATCTTGGTACTGAAAGCATCTGGCACTACACGAGCTAACTCATGAGAGGACTCGATCGCCGGAAGTAAAGCAGACACTGGCGGCCAGTATTTGTCCAAGAAGTTGATAGAATAGTCGGGCGAGAGCGCTACTAGGAAGTTTCGGCGGAACTCTAGGCGGCAATTTATAGCGGCTTTCACTGTTTCGTCGATGTCGTCTACACTAAGAAAAATTTAGTCTGATATTCAAGTACGAAAAAAGAGTCTATATCAAGTTGTTGGCACGCTTTGTGTGAACAAAAAGTGGCACACTCATCAAGCACTCTGTATCGTGCGTACACGTGTCTGCCACTACCTGGGGCGCTTCAAGGAGTTTCCATATAGGTCAAGGTGCTTCCATCTTGTTCAAATTCCTGGAAATGCATTGAAGAACCCCAAGCAGTGGCAGACAGGTGTACACACGAGACAGTTTGTTGTACAATTAGAGCGCCACCTTTTCCATGCCCCACGTGATCGGACAGGTAGACTTACTCGGTCGCTAATATTTCCTCCGCAATTTCCAACTCATGCAACACAAAATCATGAGGTACTTTGCTGAAAAGAGATCGGTTGTAAGTATGAGTGCAGAAGTCTTCCTCCTCGAAGTAGTCTCTCGAGGTGATCTTGCCAATAACGAAATCGCAGGACTTGATAATACCTAAACAGTATGCCCGGAGGACATCTTGCAGAGCATCCGTGACACGGCCTGGGTTACCACGATAAAACTGGGCTTCTTCGAGTGATCGAGGTTCCGGCCATAGCAGTCTATCGATATACACAGACGTGAACAGAGTCTGGGATAGTGGGTATCCTTGATGCCACGCCATTTCGTAGCATAGAAGCTGGTCCATGATGCCCAGAACTTCTTCCGGGAGAAGGGTCCGTAACGCGTCGTAGTTTTCCTCTAGAGTCTCGCCGGGCTGAAGAAATCCGCTGTCCATCTTGGGGTCCATGATCTAGAGAGTCAACATGACGATACAAAAGTGGGCTGACATGACCAACCTCGAGAGCCCCGATGGACTCGAAGAGCGTGAAGTACTCATCTTTCACGAGCTGACCGATCTTGAGAGCTGGAAAAAGTCAATCAAATATTCATAAATGCTCGAAAATGCTCGAAAATATTCAAGCTCTGCATAGCAGAATGATATGGCCGAACTCGGACGCAAAATAAAAGATCTCGGGCTGAAGGAAAGAGTATGGAAGGACGTGACATACCTTGAGAAGCCTGAGTAAACCTCTCAGTGATATCCCAAACTTTAGAGCCACCGTTGACGATTGGCTGCGGGACCTGTCTCAACGGCAGCTGCGCCTGTTTCGGCGATGCAGAGTCACGGTCGAGGCCACAGTCGGCAGCACCTGGACATATTAGCTTTATTTGAGACACCTGTAGCTAGGAACGCACTCCCGATAGTAACTTTGATCTCACCATCGCCCTCCGTTGACGATTCATTTGTTGATGTGTCTGCCATGGTTGGGTATCAGAAGCAGGCGGGAGGGGAGAGTTTTGTACGACAGGCCGCCGCTGAAAACCACCAGAAGGGCTTCACCTCGCCAGACACAAGTCACTTCAGCTTTAGTCACAGGAATGGTATTACATTTTCACCAAGTCAGAGATATAGAACACATAGAAGAGACAGATAGAAGTTCAGAATAAAGAGCACATCGATAGTATTCGTCTTCATTTCGACCCATCAGAGGTTTGATAGTACAGAATATACAGCCCTCTCCCCCGTCCATCCCGCTCGGCATTTCAATCGCCCATCCCCCATCTATCCACCCCAGAAATCACCAATTGGCCTGGTAGACTCTTTTTACGACTTCTCCGCGTGCGACACGAAGCTCGCCGCGTTCGCTTCGCCCAAGTTCTTGTTCTCGCCCTGCTTGCCATTCTACCCTCGGCCATCAGCTCCCGTCCTTGCTAACATGCCCAATGGCTCCGGGATGTATCAGACTCACCTCCCACTTGGCGAACCGGAGGTCCATCTCGCCGCGGCGCTCGGCGGCTACGCGCATGTCTTCCTTGAGGGAGCGGCGGACCGTACGGGATGCGACCGCGAGGAAGCGGTTGTAGCTGGCGATTGTCAGTGAGGCGGCGGGTGTAGAGGGAAGGTAGACGCGTACGTGAGCCCTGCGGTTTTCCAGGCGAAAGTCATTGTGGCGGTAGGAGTGGTTGGGGGAGTTTGTGGAGGATTTGCTGGTCGGGTTGGAGGAGCTTGCGGGAAGCTCGAAGCCGGAGATGTGAGGGTGCCAAGGGTTTTTGAGAGATCACGTGATGATGGACGACGACGTCGCATCACACTTCCAAGATGTAGTGTTCATCCGTCGAATCAATTCACGATATCGAGACCAGACCATCCTGTGATCTCTCAAGGCTCCACTGAGGCAGTATATTGGCCAGTCTTCTCATACGGCTGAAGCAGAATAGCATTTCCCATGGCTCCAAAAGTTCTCTTCCATATTTTACGTAGGTAGCGTTCGAATTAATGCAACTAGATTCCCCTTAGCTCCATCAAGGATTATGATACTCATCTCAGTAGCTATAGGTCAGACCTGTAACAAAGATGGTGATTGATCATCAACTAATAGAGTCCACGGTATCGGCACGCCCTTCAATAATCATGTTGAGTCATCATCCGTAGAAATTTAGGGTCTAGAGTATAGTTCCCGCATCTGTCCCCATCTATATAAATAAGCTCCAATTCTCAACACCCTGCACCCTCGTATAAACGAGAATGTCTCAAACCACCGAGACCATAGCAATTGAACTACGAGGCCAAGGACAGCCCGAGAGGTCCAACACCTCCATCCGGCCCCTCCGCTCCAATTCACCACCTCCAACCGACGCCGTTGAGTCTCTCCTCGCCGATGCCACAGTCCCGGATGGCGGCTACGGCTGGGTAATCGTCTTTGCGTCTGCAATCATCTGTTTCTGGTTCGTCGGGACGTCTTACAGCTGGGGCGTTATCCAAAAGGCGCTTGTCGATGGCGGCCTTTCTAGTGCCTCCACATTGAGTTTCGTGGGCGGACTGACGCCGATGTGCATTGCCGTTCTAGCGATCTTCAATGCCAGAATCATTCGAGCCGTTGGTGCGAGATGGACTGCCCTTCTAGGCGTCCTGTTGCTGGGGTTGGGTGAGGTGATGGCGGGCTTTGCTGTGAAGAATGTTGCAGCCCTTTTCGGGACTATTGGAGTTATATCAGGGGTTGGGACCAGGTGAGTTAATCTTTCAATACCCTCCGCTCAGTTTCAATATCTTCCCGGATTCATACAAAGACTGCTCGTTCTGACAAGCTTCCCAGCCTCTGCTTCATCGTCGTCTCCACCACCCCAACCCAATACTTTGCCCGCCGCCGCGGCCTCGCCAACGGCATCGTCTACGCCGGCGGCGGCATCGGCGGCGCCGCCACCTCTCTCGCCATGGAGAAGCTCATCCAAGGCACCTCCCTCGCCTGGACGTTCCGCATCATCGGCCTCCTGACCCTCGCCACGGGCTTACCCGCCGCCTACCTCCTCAAAGAGCGCGCACCTACCCGCCGTAAGACGTTCATCGAATGGAAGCTCTTCCGCGACCTGAAGTTCTGCCTCCTCTTCGCCGCGGGCGCGATCGCCACGTTCCCGCTCTTTGTCCCACCGTTCTTCTTGCCGCTGTATGCGCATTCAATAGGGCTGTCGGCGTCGGCCGGCGCGGCCTTGGTGGCGGGGTTCAACCTCTCCTCTGCGTTTGGCAGGATTGGTTTGGGGTTGTTGTGCGATCTCATCGGCCCCTTGCATGCCCTTCTCCTCAGCCTCCTCCTCAGCGGGTTTAGTATGCTGGCAATTTGGCCGCTGAGCAGGGAGCTCGGGCCGTTGATTCTTTTTGTGGTTATCAATGGCGCGGCGAACGGGGGGTTCTTCGCTACAATGCCGACGGTGGTGGGGAGTTTGTTCGGGAGCACGCGGGTGGCGGTTGCAATGGGGATGGTCGTGACGGGGTGGGCTGGAGGCTATTTGCTCGGCGGGCCGATCGCTGGATACATTCTGAGCGCATTCGGAGGCGCAGAGGCAGGCTTTAAGGCGTATAGACCAGCGATGTATTACGCAGGAAGCATGTCTTTAGCCGCAGCAGGGCTAGTCGGGGTGTTGCGATGGAAGACGGATAGAAAGTGGAAAAAGAAGGTATGAAAATGACGAAGTGGCGGAGAAATCACGGGACTGCAGCTCTGCGTTTCTTGTGATATTAAATCTTAGGGTCCAATCCTCGATTACACCTTACATACCTATTGTTTTTGACCTCTACTCATACTAATCGAACAGAGACAGATTCGGCCACTCAGCGACCCCGTAAAAAATTGCGACTCTATTGTATAGTAGCGCAGTGGTAGCTGGGTGGCCTAACTGTTTTGCTGTTTTTGATGTTTAGGAGTTCGAACCGCGGTTGGGAAATCCTTGCTTTTTCCTTTTTTTCAACTCGTTGTTCGCACATACCTACAGCGCCTTGTCATGGATATCCGTACACTCTCCTGCCGTTGTTTTTAGGACTCCAACGTACTAATAGAAACCGAGAGCAGCATATACGCTTCCAGTCTGCATACACCCTAGTGATGATGCTGTTAGGGGAAGCCTCGTGCGTTAACTAGTTGACCAAAATGCCCAACTTCTCTCTTATTTGAAATGCGAAAAGCACTATGAGGCTCCTCACGCAGCGATAAACGAGTTTACAGATGTCTCTAATGAGGCATTGTACCCCAATCGGTCCTCCTCAAGCCCTAACAAGAACCGGCCAAATATCGGAACCCGCAGAAGGCCACATACGCAAAGCCCACAAAGCAAAATCGCACACAAAACCCGTGAAGCAACAAACGAATTATCAAATCGCAAAGGCGTATAACATCTCGCACGCACAAACATCACAGCGCAGAAAACCCTCGGCATGGGTAGAGAACTCATTACATTTCAATGCGAGGAAAACCCTTCTCGGGTCAAAAACCTCCAAAATATCCAGCCAAATCCACAAGAATCTCATTCCACCTGACGAAATCTCAGTTTTCCACCTAAGTATCTGTGTGAACACGCTGCCCCGAAGGAGTGACAAAAGGGTGGGAATACATGGCCGGGGAAGGCGTCGAGATAGCATAGTCTACAAGGGCCGGGTTTGTGCCCTGCATATACAAAAGATATGATGATACATGGAGTGAGACCTTGATTTTTGGAAGTGGAAGGGAGAGTTGGTGCCCGAAGGCGAAGAAGAGAAGAGGGACGTGGGGACGGCGAGGTTAAGTAGTTTTTCGCAGCTTGCCAAGTCGGCCAAGGCTTAGGAGAACCAGATCTCACGCACGAATACAAATTCAGGAGGGTGGGAGCGGGATCGGAGTAAATTTTTTTCGTATACCCATGGTACGTTCAGGGAAGACGTAATCCAGCTATGCCCAACCAACATATCAATCGTGATCACGCGCCTATCGTATCCAGTGCCCAAAGCCGCCTTCTGAACGCCGTCAGATGCCCAAATCTATGCAGCGAATAAATAATACATCGTGGGAATGTGAAAGGTATCCCCTATGTCACAGCAACACCCTTGCCAGGGGCTGGACCGAGGCCGTTGGCCCGCCAGGTATCCTCCTGCTTCGTGCCCGGCGGCAACCACCTTCCACTCATGCCACGCGGTCGCCCGCCCGCGTCATCGTTGCGTTTCTCGTCCCGTGATGAAAAATCAGGGGTACCGTTTGGTCCAGGGCCAGCGCTCATTACCACGGGAGAAGCGCTATAAGCGGGGGTAAGTTTGTCCGTCGTAATGGGCAGCAAGGTACCGATTTGTCGCGATTGGAGTAACCGCGCCTTTCGATCGGCTTTATCTCCATCCGACATCCTGTCGTATAGGTAGAGCCCGAGAAATGTAAGGGCAAAGCCAAATCCTTGAGTCGGAGACATATTTTTGCCGAACCAGAGGATCGCGAAAACGATGACGAAAACCCGCTTGATGAGACTGGCTACAGAGTATGTAACAGGTGAGACCATGGAGAGGAGGATAAAGGCGACAATGTTCTGGCCGAAGTGGAACAAGCCGTTGAAAATGAATTCCATGGTAAGCTGCCCGTGATCTAGCCGGCCCTCGCGATTGGAAAGATCGATAGACGCGTCTTGCAGGAAGTCGGAGAGGAGCCCGAATCCCTCAGACCAGACCCAAATAGGGAGCGTGAAAATGAATGCGAGGCCGCTGGAATAGCAGAGCAAGTTAAGCTTATCCGGCTTAGAAAATCTTGTGGGAGCTATGCCTTCTGCTTCGGCCGCCGCTGCCTCGTTGAATATTTTCTTTGAGACAATATTCTGTGTGACGAATAGTATGGTGCTGCCAAACGCGTAGACGAGCCCTAGGAAATTTGCGTTGAAATCGGCCGAGCATGCCAGAACGACGCCCAAGGTGAGAGGGATCAGAGAGAGATACGTAGGGGTCGAATACTCGATGTTGAGAAAGATTCGATATGCAAGCACCGTGAGAAGAGGGGAGAGCCCCTTGATGGTATGGACGAGCGAGACGGGAATGCGGGACATCGCGTCGGAGCTCAAAATGTGGCCACCGATTTGGAAGAGAGTTAGAGGAAGGGTGGTCATGATGAGCTCCTTCGTCGGGGGTCTTATCCCAAATTTCAAAACAGGTATATAAACTTTCAATCGAGGCCACCTTTTCGCCAGTGCCGCCAGGAATATACACCAGGACGACACAAATGCGAATTGTATGATCGTGAGAGTGACGGGTTTCGGAAGCGCTGTGAGGATGGCTTTTGACGAAGTATTGGAGAGGATAGAGGTCATGTACCATATTCCGCACAGCATCTACTTCAGTCAGTAGTTGACCCAGGATCTCATCCCAAGAAGTTCGAGACATCTTACAATGAGCCTAGGGGAGACAGGCGCCTTCAATGCATCTGCAATCTCATGCGCGTTCTGGCTCACGCTCCCCCGTCTTGTTCGTATTGTCCTAAAGGCCTCACCCAAGCTCTTCTGCCTGCCATGGCCATGCCTCGACGCCGCCGCCGCAGAGTTGGCATTAGACCAGTATGGATTTGACCCCTTCCGCGCCTGCCAACGGTCTGCAGTCACGTTCCCGTTCGGCCTGGAGGCATAGCTGGGATTGGGGCTCGGGGATCTCGAGGAGCTCTGGCCGAACGGCTCCTCGTCGTGGGTCGGGAGGTGGTCGGGCTGGAACGCGGGAAACTTGAACGTCTGGTGGGAGGTCGGCGACAGAGGCGTTGCGGACGCCATTCGGGACTAGTGAAATAATTCAAACGCGCGTTTTGTTCACGCCATGAGAGTGGGGGGCGCGAGTGTCGATGTAGCCAGGTGGATGAGCGGGAGGGCGAGAGGGAGGGCGAGAGGGAGAGCGAGACGGGTGTAACGCGCCGTCGAGACAGCTCTCATGAGACGTTTGGACGGCTTGGTGCAGGCGGGAGAGGTTTTGTGGTGTTGAAGACGGAGCAGGGTCGACAGATGCGGCTTAACAGCTCTCCTAATTTAAGATGCAACGGCGTTCCGCTGACGTGACGCCGTATCGAATCTTATTCCAACCACCAGTGCCCCCCACGTGCCTCAAGACACCCGTTGACCGAGATGAGCAACGGCAGACGCGTTGAAATTGTCTGAAATGCGGCCGAAAGGTTGTCGTGCTGGGAACAGAGCATTGCAATTATTGCCGGATCAGACTAGATCGGACCGGATTTGACAACGCCCTTGGATGGCATGCCAGCAAAAGGGCGGTGCATAGCTTTACGAAGGGCCGAGCATTTGTAGGATAAAGGCGCCTTCCCCCACTGAGGGAGGAGGCGAGCGGTTCGTTGGAGACACTAGAACTCCCAACCTTGCCGTTATATTGCCTGGCTCTCACCTATCGCTATACCCTTCTTCATTTTTAACACATGGTGCCATTGGCTCAGGAGGGGAATCCTCCTTTCTCAGTCAGCTTCAGCTCAGCATGGCAGATGCTGGGGCCATTCCAGATTGGAACAAGAGGTACGCGCCTTGAGAAACAGTTGATTCTTTGCTAACAGATGCACAGAAGCAACGTGGGGAGCGGATCCTCTAGAATTCTTCGGCGGGTTCCGAAATCTACAATACGACCAAGAAGCTCGATTCCGAAGCTCCCTCGCCATAAGTGGGACCGTGGGATGGTCTTTGCTTGAGGGAGAGACTGTGAATTCCAACGCTTTCGGCTCATCTGTCTCCCTGGCAGTCAATTTTGGGACCGCCGGAGTACCGCTTCAAAGCATATATGGATGGGCTGCCCTGCAGTATCAAGCATGGGCTCGGGGCCAATTTTCTACCGATACCGAACAGGATTGGCCCCTGATTGTGTACTCCGACTCCATCCTCGAGTTCTGGATTGATGGTGTGCATTACTTCGGCGGAGACTTCTACTCTTTTCGCAAGGCACCTCCTGTGATTCGTCTCGGCCCTGGCGAGCACACTATCGATGTCCGCCTCGTGTATGATGTGAGAGTTGGAGAGGCGAACTTCAACATCGCGATTGAGCTGGCGAGTGGGTCGTTGGAGGTCGTTTCCAAAGGTATTGTAATGGCGGATGTATTAGACGGGTCACTCGCAAGTTCGTTGGCATCAGTCACTGTCCGAAACAACAAAGCTCAGGATCTTGAGATCTTGAGTGTAGAGCCAGCTCTGAATGTAAGTAGGTTGTTGTGCACTAGACTTAGATTATCTGCTGTATTCCCCTCTAGTTTCAAACCAGACCTAGCTAAAAGACCAGGACTCTGCTACAACCGTGATGCGGAAATCTAGCGTCGTCATATCCGCCGGACAAACCAGACCAATACTCTTCGATGTCACACTAGGTGACCCGAGTACTCCATCCATTGGAATTCGCATACAGTACCGCCAAGTCAAACCTGCCAGCTTTCCGTCTTTTCTAGAAGTCTCTCAGACACTCACTCATCGTTCAATCTATGAGCCACACAAGATTACCTACCTCCATCCAGGTTCTATTCTGTCCTATGCTATGTTAAGGCCACCCTCCAAAAAGGCGATTCAAGGTTCCAACAAGATATCAACCTTTCCCATACTTTTGGGACTGCATGGAGCTGGAGTCGAGGCAGATAATGATATGGTGGCGCATGCTCTTGACCCTGTTCCAGATCTCAAAACTTGGGTTCTCTTCCCTACTGGTGTGACGCCGTGGAGTGGGGATGATTGGCGTAAGCAATGAAAAAGTGCAGTTGAGAAGCAAAACTGATGACAAAATCATAGATAACTGGGGTTTTGCGGATGTAGAGGCTGCTGTCAACTACATCCCCAAATGGGTTGAAGCTGTGGAATGGCAAGGCCCTGGTGCTGATATTGATCGTTGGCTTGTCATGGGGCACTCGAATGGTGGTAAGTCTTTCCGAGCTTGGCGTAAAGGCGTATGTATGTGTCCATACTAATTCGTATAAGGCCAAGGGGCCTGGTATACATTGACTCATCGACCAAGCAAAGTCATCGCCGCTGCCGCTCTCTCCGGATATTCATCTATACAAAGTAACGAGACCAGCCTTTCGCCAAAGTGTGTAATGTTGCTGACATTATCTAGACTACGCCCCATATGTTCTTTGGCAGCCCATGGACCCGCAACGCTCTGCCATTCGCGACGGCACCTTGAATAGCTACCGCCACGAACTGCTCATGGAAAACTGCAAAGGCATCCCAATCTTGCAGCAGCACGGTGCACTGGATGACAACGTACCAACGTATCATTCTAGGCTTCTCAGCCAGCTTCTACTCCAAGCTAACGGAACTTCTCGATACTACGAGCTGCCAGACAAGGGTCATTGGTTTGATGGCATTATGACCACTCCACCCCTAATCGATTTCTATAACGAGCAAACAGGTAAGACGCTTGGGGATCAAGAATTGCAATCATTCAGCCTGGTCGTGGGAAGTCCCGCGGACACAGGCTCGAAAGGAGGCTTTCGGGTGACCCAACTTGAGACGCCTGGTCAGTATGGCAAAGTAGACGTCGTGTTCGATGAAGCAACGGCAACATACCGAGTGACTACCTCGAATGTGTTGAGCCTGGAAGTTGACGACCGGCGGTTTCCTTCTGGGCTTTTTCTGATCATAGACGGTCAAGACTATCATGAGCTTGGTGGACCGTTACGGCTTCAGGAAGATAAAGTCGATCTTTGGAGAGCTACAGACGGGCAATGGAAGGTTAGTCAATGGTCTTTATTACTGTGCTTAGTTATGAGTTCCCGTGCGCTCTTTCACCGCTCCTCGAGGGACTTCGACGTTCTCTTGAACACATGAGTATCGTATTACTCAATACCGCAATCAGTATTCCAAGGAGCTCAAGCAATAGCAAGAGAGTGTACAGGGATCTATGACGAGGCGCTGTAGATGGATATATTCTAATGAGTCTAGGTCGATAATAAACAGCCCAATCTCCTGCTCCGCAGCGGCCGGCAACTTGGGGCTATGGACGCCATACTACGAACGTCTGGCCACTTTTCCATCCGATACCAGCGCAGTGAGGCCTCGGGTATAGCACTTCAGATCTCCCGCAACCTCTACCAATACTTCTCTGCCGACGCCGCCATTGTGGAAACTAGAAAGCAAACGGATCACGCTCCGGGCAATGTCATCACTGTTGGCATTGGCGGCGATGTGCATGCTGGCGCCCATCCCTTCTTCCCCATTGAACTGTCATCGTCTGGCCTGTCGATTCGAGAGCCTGGCGGCCGGATGAGGGAGCATGGCGGTGGAGGGGGGCTGTCGGCCATCTTCTTGCGTCCTCTACCCGACGAGCGGCTCGAGCTAGTGGTGTGGGGAGTGAATAAGGCGAGCCTGGCCGTTGCGGCTCGGCTCGTCCCGATGCTGACCGGCGTCGGGCAGCCGGATTTTGTGGTGATGCGGCAGGACTGTCTGTGGAAGGGGGTCGAAGGTGCAGTGGCGATGGGCTTCTTCGACCACGAGTGGAATGTCACGAAGACGGCCGTCTTGCGCTGAGGGCCCTGTAGGTTGGTGAAGTGGAATAGCTGCCCGTAGACATAATCAATTACACGGTAAGGGTGCAGCGAGCCCGTGGTGACGTCGTTGGCCGCCCGCACGGCGCGTCTTGTTGTTCCGGATGGAGGATAAATATCGCGTCTCGCCCTCCACCTGCTTCCTTCCGCACCCACAACACACACGCTCCTTCATCGCCCACACTCCTTGACTCTCTCGATTTTGCCTTCATCTTGGGTCTGCTACTTAGTCCAGTTCTGCTGTAATCTAGTGCGCTGCTTACTGCGCGACGGCGCCTGTCGCATCTACTTGCCAGTTCCAAGGACGCAGTTCGTCCAGAAGGCGGACCTGCCTCTCGTCAACATCGTCGGCCTTGCCTCCCCCACGCTGCCCTCAATCCTTTCCTAGCTCACTCAGCGGGCGGCCGGCAGCAGCTGCTGACGCCGACTGCATTGCGGAGGAACATATCTGCCATCTGGTCTTCTCGTCTTGTCTGCCCTCTTCTCTTCTCCATCCATCTGCTTTGGCAATCTACCGCCACAGCCTTGTTCTCCATCACATTGCATAGCTTCACCACCGGGTCAGGTAAAGTAAGTTGGTGTTTGCCTACTGTTGTCTGATTGTATCTTACAACGCAACCCCAAGGGCTTATCTCGTCGGCACCTCCGTCATCAACCCCATCTCTCACATCTTTCGCCAACTCAACGCCTGTGAGGGAAATTCGCCATGAGCAACGCAAATATTTCATCCGAGGGATCTCCCACCCCGCGCAAGACGTCCCGCTTCAGCGTCCACGAGGACTTGAAGATCGACACCTCTGCGGAGACGCTTGCTACGGTGGTAGGCGCTGATACCTTCCGTGCCATCTACTCCGACAGCCCACCCCGCATGCAATCTTATTACCAGTTGACATCCAACATGCAGGGTGTCAAGCGTCCTGGTTCTACCATTCCAGAGGGTCTTCTCCCGCTGACGACTTCAAAGCTCGGCAATCAGGGTAGAGCTCCTCTCCGCAACGCCCCGCTCAAGGTCAGTCACGCACTCCGAGCTTACTTTAGCAACTCACTAACTCTTCTAGAAGCAGAAAGTCGAGACCGAAGCCGTCCCCGCTGAGCAACAGGAGACTATGTACGACAGTCTGTTGGCTCGCCTGAACGACCACCAGAACACCAAGCCGCCGACCATGGCTTCCTCTGAGTTGGATAACAGCTTGAACATTCCTGTCCGCGGTGGGGAGTACGACACCTCATCTCGAACCTCGAGCGGCTCCATCCCGATCACTCCGGCCAGCGACAGGTTCGTTACCACGCCGACCACGGACCCAGACATGGACACTACCCACAACCCTAACTCTTCCGAGTTCATTCGTCTCCGCAAGGAGCTTGAGGCAACACGAAGCAAACTTGCCCGCGTGGACCAAGAACTCCATGCTACCCGTCTCACCGCGTCTACCTTCAACCAGGCCCTGGGAACGCCATCCGAGGCCGACTTTCCGCAGCACTACAAGGGAGACATTACGGAGCACACGATCAGCAAGCTACAGAATGCACTGAACGCAGCCACCCGCCCAGTGGCTCGTCAGGAGAGCTGGCCGATTCAAGACGATGCCCGCTCTGAGACGAGCGAGGCCATGTCAGCCGGGGCGTTCAACCGTGGCCAGGCTATCTGGGGCAATGGCATGCGGCCAGCCTTGGGCATTAATGGTCCTCATGCTGGTCAACAGCAGCAATACCCGGCACCCACTCCAATCGGCAACAACTGGGGCAACGGGAACGGCGTTCGACCCTCCTACAACACCAACGTCAATCTTGGCATGACTGCACAGCCGTACAGCGCCATGCCCGCTCATCAGCATCGCCCATCAAGTGGCCCTCGCATGGACAACTATCGCGGCAACCAGTTTCTAAACGAGCCCACACATTTCCCCTTGGATCGTAACAATCGAGGGGCTATTGGAGGCATGAACCCTCCCAGCCGTCCAAACTCCGCATTTGACGCACGCTATGGTGGTCAATACGCCCAGTATTCTCCGTCCTCGATGGCCACCGCTGGAAGCTTGAGCCCCACCACCCTAGGTCAGATGGGAATGCCTCCCATGGGCGTTCCCGGCATGTATCCGCCTGTCAACAACCCGCACGCTTTCGCGTACCAGCAGCCGATCGGAACCATGGGTACTAGGCTGTCTCCTGAAGCAGCGGAGTTCAGTGTGGATGCAATGGCACCGACTCCATGGAATGCTCAGGTGAACGTGGCCCACAATTTGGCGAGAGTTCTGACTGACCTCAGCCTCGATCAGCCCGTTTCTAATGCCGGCAGCGGCTGGATGAACCCGCAAGAGCCCATGAATTATCGTCGTCTTCTCGACCGCAACATGAACTGCGACTGGAAGTATATTGTCGACAAGATCGTCGGAAACAATGACCAGCAGGCCTCAATTTTCCTCCAGCAGAAGCTCAAGGTAGGCACGGCAGAGCAGAAGTTCGAGATCGTGGAAGCCATCATTGCACAGGCGTATCCCTTGATGGTCAACCGCTTCGGCAACTTCTTAGTTCAGCGCTGCTTCGAGCACGGCACAGCCGAGCAGGTGATTGCCATTGCCAACGCCATCCGTGGCAACACTCTCACGCTCAGTATGGATGCCTTTGGCTGCCATGTCATCCAGAAGGCCTTTGATGCCGTCCCTGAGGAGTACAAGGCTATCATGGTCCACGAATTGCTCCGCCGAATCCCCGAAACTGTCATCCACCGCTATGCCTGCCACGTCTGGCAGAAGCTGTTCGAGCTTCGCTGGAGCGACTCCCCTCCACAGATCATGAAGTATGTCAACGAGGCTCTTCGTGGTATGTGGCACGAAGTTGCCTTGGGCGAAACTGGTAGTCTCGTGGTCCAGAACATCTTTGAGAACTGCCTCGAAGAAGACAAGGTTAGTTGCTTCTGACACTCTTACTGAACGCTGCTAATCTGATCAACAGCGCCCCTGCATCAACGAAGTCCTCGCTAGTATTGATGTTATCTCTCATGGCCAGTTCGGTAACTGGTGCATTCAGCACATCTGCGAACACGGAGCCCCAGCTGACCGAAACCGCGCCATCGATCACATTCTGCGCTTCGCCACTGAGTACAGCATGGACCAGTACGCTTCCAAGGTCATTGAGAAGTGCCTCAAGATTGGTGGCAACGAATTCCTCGATCGCTATCTCGAGCGAGTCTGCGAAGGTCGTGCTGATCGTCCTCGAATGCCACTCATTGACATCGCTGGAGACCAGTTTGGCAACTACCTGATCCAGTACATCTTGACCCATTGCGGCACACAGCACCGTGAGATTGTTTCCAATCACGTTCGCAAGCACATGGTCTCTCTCCGCGGCTCCAAGTATGGCTCTCGTGTTGCCATGCTCTGCTGCAACCCCGCCTTCACCACTCGTCCCGGTCCTCCTGCTGGCATGCAGCTGAACCGCTACAACTCCGGCACTTCCAACCGTGGTGGATCAGCCTATGGCGCCTTCCGTGCCAGCTAGGCGCATCGTCTATCCTTTGGTCTACCGTCTGGAAACTTGTCTACCCGCTTGGCGCCCACTCGTTCCCCGATCTCCCGAAAAGCGGACCATTAATTTCGACCACTTACGATCCGATGTCCACTGGCTTAACTCGATTTTGTTTCTTAGTCGTCTCTTCATCTCGAGAGGCTGTCTTGGTATACGAACTCGACGTTCGCCTCGTAGCGCATTTACCATGCTCGAGAATCCTCATCTCATGGTTGGGATATGGTAAAAGCGTGTACTTTCTATGGTCACAAGTTGGTTGACGGTATCTTTCTGGAAACACTGTTACACTCAGCAGCTTTCAAGTCTATGTTGCATTTCCTTTTACCAACTCAAAACCTTCTCCTTCGCCATCTGATAGGCATGGAGCTGAGGTTTCTCTCTCACTCTGTGGCTGTTTGGATTCCGAATCACAATCTGGAGGTTCGACCTAACCGGAATCTTACGGCTTAACGGTTTCTGGACTCATTCGTGGATCCATTCATGTGGGGGTTCTCTTTTTGACAACATGTCTTATTGTTCTGCTTGCTGAGTTGGAGCCAACGGTGTCGAGGGCACACGTAATGCGGTGGTGTGCGGGACAGGTTCATTTGCTTTACTGGAGTTTGCTTAATCATAAAACCCCAAAAAAACATTGATAGAAAAACCAGGAGGCTAGTCACCCGCTGACGGAATATATGCAATCCTCATGCTGCTGTCTTCTGCAAAGTGACTGTTTAGACTCGAGAATATGATGAGAGAACTTTGAGGTTCTTGCTGAATTCTAATTTCGTGCCGAATGGAGAGGCTACGTCCCTAGGATAGTGAACAATGACCGGCTGATAGTGGTTCCATGATGCTGTGCCGTGTCCCAAGGAATGACCTGATGGCTTCCCTAAGCGAGACGGCGTGGGCGAATGAAGACACACCCCCGACTTGGGACCGAACGCCTTCACCGCAGACCGCATGACATCAACGCCCTCCCCCCAACAATTTATTCACTAAGGCCAGCGAGCTTCCCGTGTATCGTCATGGCATCCTCTCTGCACGTCAACGGGGACCGGCGGCCCAGCAACACCAGACACCCCACCGCGCCTCCCACCATGATGAACTCTCACTTCGCCCCTGTAGGAGAGAACCCCAGCCGGGAGCAGTACGAGCATGGCATCCAGGTCATCGACGAGGACAAGGAGTTCAAGTGAGTGTCTTCCAGCGCGCTGTCCGGGCTCTTCACAATGGCATTTACAGACGTAGAAGCTAACATCGGGGCACTGCAGCCAGCACCTCTCCACATACCTCAGCATCGAGAAAATCATACCCGCCGGCTTCAACTACCACCTGATCTCCGTCTTCGGCTCGCAGTCGACCGGCAAGTCGACGCTCCTAAACTACCTCTTCGGCACCGAGTTTGGCGTCATGTCGGAGCAGGAGCGGCGGCAGACTACGAAGGGCATCTGGATGAGCAAGAACAAGCGCGTGAGCGCGGTCAAGGACGCGAACAGCATGGCGGATAATATTCTCGTCATGGACGTGGAGGGCACGGATGGGCGGGAGCGCGGCGAGGACCAGGATTTCGAGCGCAAGAGCGCGTTGTTCGCGCTTGCGACGAGTGAGGTGCTCATTGTGAATATTTGGGAGCATCAGGTCGGCTTGTATCAGGGGGCCAATATGGGGCTGTTGAAGACGGTGTTTGAGGTCAATTTGCAGCTGTTTATCAAGGATAGCAAGTATGCGCTTTGCCTTTCTTATTCTTGTTTCGAGGTTTCTATGCATTTGGGTTTGGACACGTAATGCTAATACGGTTACAGGACTATTGCGAAGACGCTTCTGTTTTTCGTTATTCGAGATCACATTGGTACGACGCCCATGTCTAACCTGCGGAACACCCTCCTCCAAGACCTGTCTCGGATATGGTCGACGCTCTCGAAGCCTAAGGGCCTCGAGAACTCGCGGATAGAAGATTACTTTGATTTTGCCTTCTGCGCGCTACCACACAAGATCCTACAACCGGAGAAATTTGAGGAGGAGGTGGAGAAGCTCAGCCATCGGTTCAGAGAAGGCTATAATGATCCTAAGAAGAGCGGGTTGCTGGACGAGGGATCGCTCCCCGTTTTCCTACCCCAGTACCACCGGCGGATTCCCGCCGACGGCTTTCCGGTATATGCGGAGGGCATCTGGGATCAGATTGTGAATAACAAGGACCTGGACCTACCAACGCAGCAGGAGCTGCTCGCACAGTTCCGATGCGACGAGATTTCCCGAGAGGTTCTCGTTGCTTTTGACGAGACTATCACGCCGCTAGAGGATAAGCAGGCTGAAGGTGTGAGGCTAGGACAGCCGACTGTGCTTGCGGGGCTTGGTCCTGCTATGAACGTAGCCCGATCGACTATACTAAAGGACTTCGAGACCAATGCGAGCAGATACCACAAGGGCGTGTATACTCGAAAGCGAGCGGAACTGGAGAGCAAAGTCGATACTCGACTCAAAGCACTATTCCAAAAGCAACTCAGTGCGGCTAACAAAGCCGGAGTGGAACAATTCAGCAGTGCCGTCAGTGCGGCGGTCAAGAGTGGGCAGAAAAAAGGAAACAACTACGACTTTGCGCACATCGTGGACTCAGAGAAGGCCAAGGCCCTGGCGAAGTTCGAGGAGGATGCACAGGCTGTACTGGTCCAGGGCGCGTCTTGGAGCACGTACCAGGCCGATCTGACTCTCTACAAGAAAGACTTGGAAGAGGTCTCCGCGCGGTTGCGGAAAGATGAGATGCGGCGCCTTGCTACGCGAGTTGAGCGATGGGTCCGGTCGAGGCTGGGCGAGTCGGTTGGTTTGGAGTTCAATAAGCTGGGCACTGGCCGGGGAGGATCTGGCGCTCCAGAGCATGGAGATAGACCAGCGACGGAAAAGGACCTTTGGGACCGGATATGGGCCGTCTTCACCGAGACTGTTGAGAGTGCTGAGGGCCGGTTCACAGATCGGGCACGCAGCTTCGATGCAAGCCCTGATGAAGTCGAAGTCGGGCTTTGGCGACTGCGGCGGAAGTCGTGGGGTGTATTGAGGGCGAAGATTGACGAGGAGGTCATGGAAGGCAATATCCTCCTCAAGCTTCGGGAGAAGTATGATTACCTGAAACTGCTCAACGACATATGCTAACGCTGAACTCCAGCTTCGAGGACAAATTTCGCTACGATGAGTCCGGCGTCCCCCGCATCTGGCGCCCAACCGACGACATCGAGGGTCTCTACACCAAAGCGCGTGAATCAACTGTCACCATCATCCCGCTCCTCGCCCGGTTCAAGCTTGCAGCTACCTCCGCGCCACCACCTCTCGACGCTTGGATCGGCAGCGCACCCGCCTCTACTTCCTCGGCCGACGAAGAGGACCTCGCGCCTATCGGCGGCGTTGACGAAGACGAAGGGAAGAGCCTCGAGGAAGAGATGACCGTCCTTAATGACACCAAGATGCAGGATCTGCTAGTAAGATTCAAGAAGACGGCAGATGGCGTCTACGTTGAGGCAAAGCGCAGTGCGATCGGGGGTATGACACAGGTGCCGCTCTATTTCTATGGTTTGCTTCTTGCGCTGGGTTGGAACGAGATCGTTGCTGGTACGCCTAATTTCCCTTCTTTGCGCCTTCATTTCAGCAATGCTAATGTGGACAGTCCTACGAAACCCTCTCTACTTCGTCTTCCTCATTCTCATTGGTGTCGGTGCCTACGTCACCTACACACTCAACCTTTGGGGTCCCATGGCGCGCATGACCAACGCCGCGAGCAACCAAGCACTCGAAATTGGAAAGGAAAAGCTGCGCGAGTTCTTAGCAAACACGGAGACGGGGAGGCAGGCGGTGGCGATGAGTGGGAGGGGGGAGAGTATTGGGATGGAGAGGTTAGATCGGCAGGGAAAGAAGAAGGTGGAGAGTGAGGATGAAGATGAAATATGAAACATACGGTCAGTACTTGGATGGGTAGGGTCAGGGATAGCTGTAACAGTCAATGTGGGTATGGTCTTCATCACGGACATGGGATTAGGCATTCATTCTACTCGAGGCGTGGCTTTTCTGATGATTGTACTGTGTGATATTGGATCCCTCTTACTTAGTGTATAACTGCTGTGTCACGTTGCAGGAGGGCGAGTTTCGGGTCGATCAAACGGTGTGGAAAGCTTCATCTGCATTTGTCCTTCATCTACGCAGGTACGTAGATTCGAACTGTGGTAGTGGGCTGGACCTGCTTCCCAACTTCACCTCACGCCCCTCGCGCAGGTCCAATATAAACCAATTCTAATTTGGGATATAGCTCATTTCAGCGCAATCTGAATGGTGGAGGCCGGGGCTGACGCCGCCCGTCTCCCGGCCCCAGAAGAACTATCCCTCACTACTCCATGGAACTTGTTTCCTCTATCAGAGGAAAATATCAGAACGAATCCCTAGACGCTGAACCGGGATATCCCCCGCCCCCACGATAACTAGGTAGGAGGAGGGGTGGGGTACAGCACCACGGTTCCGTCTGCAGCTGTCGTCCTACGCCACCCGATCCAGTACGACTGCAAGCCCGGAAAATAGTGGAACTGACGACGCTGCTTCCTTGATCGTGCTTTATTGACATGTGGGTGAGAGGCGGTTAAGTCCATCCCTTGCTGTTCTGCGCTGCGACGTTCGAAGCCGGGGCGTTAATTCTTGTGATATGTTCCTTCAAGACCACGAGACCGGCCGGCTTCGAAAGGCCTCGGGAATGACTCCAATTCAGCTCCTACGTAGGATAAGGCGGTGAGTCTGGTCACGCTTGCCGACAGCGCAGAGCCACGCTGGAGGAAGCGCTTTCTGACGATACGTGTGGTGCGTGGTCACGGCATGGCGTCTCATTTCTCACTTCACCAAAGTCGCGGTGACGTTTTAAACTCTGCGAGATAGCTCCGATCTCTTCGCACTCACTCCCTACTGGCGACATTTTCTGCCTGGCATACTTCAACCCTACATCACCTCTTCCTTCAGTCTACGTCGATCCACCTCGTCAATACAATCACCGCCAATTCACCGGACCTCCTCGCTAGCCAAGCCGACCGCGCGCCAACCCAATCCCCCCAGACTCTCTTCATCATGAAGCTCGTTCCCCTCGGCGTCTTCGCCGTCGTTCAGCTGCTCTTGGGCCAGGCCTCTGTCGACGCCGTCGAGTTCGACCCCCAAGTGCAGCTAGTCGACGTTTCCGGCACGCATCAATTCCAGCCGCCGGGAGTGGGCGATCTTCGTGGGCCCTGCCCGGCTCTGAATGCATTGGCGAACCAGTGAGTGTTTTTGGATCGTAGAAATTTGGGGTATGGTGGCTAATGACTTTCAGTGGCTTCATTCCGCACAACGGCATCGCTACTATTGACGAGCTGGTCAATGCATCTATGAATGGTAAGTTGAATTCGTGGCGGGGTAAAAGGCGGCTCAGACGATCTCTTCTTGGGGATTGGGATTAGATCATAGCGCTTTCAATAGTGGCAAAAGATGTGCATCTAGCTTAGTCTCCTGAATTTTCTTTCTGGTCTGCTTGTTCATCTGGCTAACCTCTTAGTCTTCGGCCTGGGATACGATCTAGCTCACCTTGCTTCCATCTATGGCACGGCAATGTCAGTCTCTACAGATCTCTACCACATGTCCATCGGCGGCCCGGCTCCCCGAGGTTCTACTCCAGCCGATGCGGACGTCACCCTGCTGGTCAATCCCGGGGGCCTTAGCACAACCCATGTCGCCTTTGAACACGATAGTTCTGTAACACGAATCGATAAATACATCGCCCCCGATGGTGACGCTTCTACTATGTCTCTGGACCTATTCAAAAAACTATATTATAGACAGCAGGGGCTTCCAGCCGACCAGGTCGACTACAACCTCGCGATCCTCAATGACCACCGAATGCAGCGGACTTTCGACAGCCTACATCAGAACCCGAACTTTTTCCTCTCGCCGTTCGCTGGCTTGATGCACGTGGGAGCTACGCATGCCCTCATTTGGCAATGTTTCGCGAACCGGAGCGCCGAGTATCCTGAGGGCAGGCTGAATCGCGAGACGCTCCTGTCCTTCTATGGCGTTGAGTGGAGCCATCACTTTACCGGGAAACACCTGGTCTACGTAAGTGCACTCCCTATAGTCTGGATCTGAGAAGCCCTCTTGCATCCGCTGGCTCAGTCTACAATGCCTCGGATGCAACCCAATGCGCCTCTTAATCCGTTGTTCCCTAAAACCCGTCCATCTAATACCTCCCCCACAGACACCAGGCTGGGAGCGCATCCCTGCCTCCTGGTACCGCCGCGCCCTCAGCGACCCCTACACGGCCCTCCACACCAGCGACGACCTCCTCGCCGCAGCCTCTCAGCACCCGGACCTCATCGACAAGTACAGCATGGGCGGCAACGTCAACGGCGTGGACACCTTCATCGTCCTCGAAGCCGACAGCCTCACCAACGGCGTCTACAAGCGCTCCGAGCTCCGCAACGACCACAACCTCGTCTGCCTCGGCCTCATCGCTGGGCTGCTGCTCAGCCCGGAGTACCTCAGAGAGTACTACCAGGACTACGAGCTCAATGTGTGGCCGACGCTGATGATGCGCCTGCCGCCGCTGTTTACGGATCTGAACTGTAAAGGCCTGGATAGTGTGGAGGAGAGGTTGTTGGAGATGTATCCGGGGTATAATCTGAGTCTGGGTCGTGATATCTGGTGAGGTTGATGGGTGGGTATGCTGGCCTTCTCTTCTTCTGACTATCGGCTGTAGAGGCGGGTTAGGCGGGGCTTGCTGGCGTTGCGGGCGTCTGATATCTGGGCGGGGTGGTTGAGGTGGCGGGATGGGTAGCTGCCTTCGTGCTATGTGGAGGAAGGCTGCGGCTGCTTCTAATGCGGCTGTTTCTGATGCGGTCGAGTTGATAGGAGGGATAGACTGGATGAAACACGGTTCCTCTATTATGAAAGATTGCTTCAAATGGTGAACAACGTGATTCCCTTGACACATGCCCTGGCTATATTCCTAAGGGTCCTCGCCGGTCGATTAGTACTACCAGAAGCACGCGGTGAGGCGGCATAGGGAGGAACTAAACCCTCGGAGGCTTATTAGGCGGTTAAGCTAGGATTGCGAAGGCGATATAAAGAAAGGGGAGGGTGAGGGAACAGGAGGATAGAATTTGGACTTCTACTACCAGCTCCAGTGAATTCTAAGGACTTTTGATTAGCTTTGCTGTATATAATTGGGGAAGGGTTTAAGAATAGATTAATGCTTAGGGGGGAAGAGGCAAGATTACTATAGCATGTAGGCGCGTGCATGCGGTGGTCTAGCGCAGATAGCAAGGCCAACTAATTCAGCGATTAAAAAAGTGTAGTACAGAGTGTAATTATAATAGAAGAAAATTGGCGCTTACTATAAGAAATACTTTTGTCCATGTATGCTGCGAAAGCATAGCTACAAACAGCTTCTCGGTTAAATTGAAGAGTGGTAGATATTTAACCCGGAAACAGTCCTTTGCGTCTAGTGTTTTAAGTTTTCCTCGGTGTCCAATTAGCGCTGCCTTTAGTGTTGCCGGTTCCTGGAATAGTTGTCTGAGTCGCCATTGTGATTGCGATTCTGAATTCTGCGATTACTTCTAGTAGTCTCTGGCGAATAGGGCCGGGTCTCAGGCTCCGATGCATGTACAAACTCATGTGCGTATGGCTTGGAATCAGCTTGTTATCTCTCCTGTGCACATCGCCCGAAATCCGGCGATACCAAAACGCCGCTTTGCTGATGTCGATCTGGAGCGGCTAGCCAACGCATCTGTCAGCGCTGTCCTTTGAACGCCTTGACAAGAATGAGGATCACGTCGCACACAAGAGCTAAGAAGAGCTTTGTGTTTGCTTGGACGGTGTCAATGACGATGGCTGGTGCTGAACAAGGATCGAATATAGAAAGAGTAGTAAGGAAAGCTTTCGAGACTGCGTCGGCAACAGCCAGAGTACTTGAGACGGGAGCTTTCCAAAGCTTGAAGCTGATGATGTGTTCTACCGTTGATGCATTGATTGTAGGAAGGCCGAAAGAGGCGACGACCGCGGTGCAGACTTCAGCTGCCAGGGTACCTTTAGTAGGGGATAAAACCGGTATGAAATCAGCGCCGTGATTGGAAAGCGTTGCCCGGGTGACGATTCTCTTGTATATCTGTAGCGCATCTAGAATGGCTTTCTCCACTTTCATATCAATATTGATGACTTGGGTGGCGATAAAAGATATTCGGACCTTTTCATCGTCAAAACACCTTCTGGTTGCATCTGAGAGCGCTCTGAGAGACTCCGGATCACCTGCAGCTCTACGATCAGCGAGTTGTGAGTAGACACTTGGGATGTGACCATCCGACTATCGCATCAAACCTTCCGTCCTTGACTGATAGTAGCTCGTTCTCTATCAACATCATTCGTTCGCGAAACCGATCTTCGGCATAGTCGTCCATGATAGCAGAGATCTCGGCTTCGGCTGGAGACCTTCCACTCTTCTTCAGCTCTCGCCACTTCTTTCATGCTTGCTCGTTCTTGAATACATCCTTTTTCGTCGCTACAACGACGATAGGAACGTCTTTTGCAAACCTCGATACAGTCTTGAAGAGCTCAATAGTTGCTCTGTGTTGTACGGACGGTACCAAGGTCTAAACAAAACCTGGATATTTATTCATTAGACCTACACAGCATAAGAGTGTTCAAAGACGCACCAGGTGGCATGAAGGCGATTGTAGATTTCGGTGTATCAGAGCACTTTTTGACAAACTTCTCGACCTCTTTTGTACCGCCAGCTTCAAATCCTCCTGAATCGTGGATAAGCAAGTCGGGCCGATTGGGATTTGGTAAGGCACGTTCGACGTTATGAGCCCCCGGTTTCTGTCCGTAGTGGTGGTCTGTCTTCAGTTAGCGTTCATTCAGTTCTGTATTGTGAGATGCCATCTCGTACCACTTCCGCTCCAAAGACAGCATTAATCAATGAGAATTTCCCCACGCCGGTATTTCCATAAACAAGAATGCGTAGGGGACCTGGTTGTTCGAGCTTTGAAGTTTGGCGGTCGTCCTAGAACTCGCATTGCCATTCCAGAGCAAGGATGTGCCTCTTCCAATTGTAGATGTTCTGCTAGTCCTCAAACGTAAAATTGTCGCTGTCTAAAAGCATATAGGGGAAGGTATCAAGGATCATGTAGACCGAAGGATGCAGGATAGTACCTTGAGGAGCTACTTGTGTAATTAGCAGAGTGCCTATAAAGCCAGAATTGACTTCCACATGACGCGCCGAATAAACAATAACCCCGTAATTCCCCGTTCAAAGCAAACATCTGTCTCAAGTTCCTGATCCATTACACCGCGTTGTCGCGATTGAGATGAACAGAATATCGGTTGCTATACTTCGCTAGCTCGTGAACTTTTCGGAGGCCTTGCATTTCAGCCACAACCCCGTTGTCGGCGGTGCAAGACCACATGTCCTTACCCTTTCCATCAACATCGTTGTCCGGAAAGAGAACGGCAATAGGGTCGTCGATGGGAGCCTGGCCACCAAAGGTTCCGTCAAAACGCAGCTCTAGGCCTTTAGCTTTACTCTTAAGTAACATCTACTGTAGAGGATACAGAGATAGCCCATCCTTAGCAGCGGACTCTCCTACATCGAGGTGAGCACCAAGGAACCTAGAAGATGTTAAGAAGGCTCTTCGCGATAGAACTGAACTGGTGCTAACTTGGCTTGAATAAGGCTGCGGTCACATGGTATGGCTCTATTGAGTTCGGAGGAGAGGCACTCAGGAGAGAGATCCTTTCTACCCTCGCTTAGAGCATGCGATTGACGGAAGTGCTGAATTGAGTCGTTGAAGCTGATATCATACAAGAAATGATCATTGACGGCCTTGACAGTATCGAAAACTCCTATAAAACGGATTATAGGAGCCGGCCGTGTCTTTTCTGCGAGATACTCGTGAGCTTGACCAGCTCCTTGCGCTGATCTTCTTTGGAGATCTTTGTACCTCCTCAAGCCACCAGCAAAGTCTGATTTGAAGGCCGGTGTTCCGGCAGACGTCAGTGCCCTAAGATGGTGCAACAGGCCAGCAACCGCTCGGACGACGTATGCACCTCGGCTAAACCCATAGAGCCAGATCTCATTTCCTGGATGCCCTGAAGCCGTTCGTATACAGCAATACTCGTAGACTTCACTGATTTGGTTCACACAATCTTTGCCGGAGATATTAGCAGCCAGACGGGAGAGCGGGTGCATCTTCTCGTCAGAGCCGATCCCGGGGAAGTATTTTTTCTTTTGGACGAATTGTCGATTGACACTATCGACGGACATGCCGTCCTTAGCGCTCGAGCAAATCCGATAGACTTTGCTGATGTTGTTGAAATGCCGGCCATGTGGACCATCCGGAGTGCATGATGTCCCATCAACACCAATAATCAGCCGAGTCGGCAGCAAATTCGCGTTGAAGTAATGACCGCTTGCATCCAAGGGAGTCGCGTTCGCGTTTGTGTTCGATGCCTCGGAACCCATCGTGTTGGATCAAAGAGAATCATAGCGGGGATGGTCTAGACGCACTACCGACCTGATAGAGTATAACGTGGGTAAACAATTTAGTGCGAGAAGTTGATTAGAAAAATTGAAAATCCTCCTGAAGGATTACCGTCGTATCCTACAGGGACATTTTGATCTTATATTGACTTCGATTTGCCGCCTTCCTGCTCTATCGTTTCCGTCTCTCCGCCTCTTTGACGCGCACCATGGCGCGTGTGGGGGAAAGTAGGATGCATTACCTGTTTCTGAAAAGTTCAGTCGGGAGTTAACGCATTCATACGATCGCTATACCAATCAAATATAAGAACCCTCCTAGACTGATTTCGGCAACAGCGTAGAAGAAACTCAACTATCAGTTGCCATAGAAGATCTTTAAGACAGATGGAATAGGCCTGATTCTAGAGCGGTATACTATCTTGTGCAAAAGCACTTAGCATCTGATGTGTCAAGTTTGGGGCTGAGGTCTACATTCTCGTGGTTGAAACATGTTGTTATGATGGGACTGTTCATAGAGCCACCGCAGTGGTGCAAATACCGTGTGGTCAGGTTGAGGGATCTAGATCTTCGTCGAACTCTCTATTCTTGACGATTCGATGCCTGCGCTGTCTTAATAAATGAGAGCGAATGCGGAAATACCAGTAGCCTAGCCTGGCTTCACCAATCCATATGGTGGGTAACCAATCGGGGAGGCCGTCGTGGCTGAACGGATGCGTTCCTGCTTTAGGTACTATGGCCGCATAGTTTCCATGAATTAGAGCGGCGCTTCGAGAGTAGATGGTTGAGGAGAAGAGGGATGAGAGTTGGAAGCAGAGACAAACGGGTACTCCTGGTCCGTGCACGAGGCGTTCGCTAAGCCACACTCTCCACTTCAGCCCCAGCCTTCCAATTTCCTACCCATTCTAACATCCAACTCGACGTTGTCCATGTCATCTCATGGACGATAAAGATGAGTCAGTAGTATATTACCAAAGAGGGGAGTCTAGATATCTTGAGTCTCTACGCGCAAGCTCAGCACATGTCTATATCGCTTCGCTGTCATCATCCACCGCGACGCATACTGGAAGAAGAAAGAGAACGCTATGGCTTTGGATTCTATCAGAAATTTGATGACATTACCATCTACCATCTCCAATGTAACAAGCAAACCTCACGGGGATCTTGCTTCCATTCACGGCTCACCTGATCCACACGATGGACAACAACGTTGCGACTGGTGTAAACGGTTGCATATGCTCTGGTTTAAAAACTGGCCTCAGCTTCCCCATCTGGAAGAACAGGGGGAAATTCACAAGATGACACACAAAAGAAAACTCGCTGATTTGTTATCAGAGGCTGATTGTCCCCTATGCCAACTCGTCAAAGCCGTGTTTTCGCAGGAGCTGGGATTTCCGATTGAAGAAATGTTAGGAGTTCCAAGCGCCTCATCTTCAGAGAATCAGGGCCTAGAGTATGAGGAAGCCCCTTGGTTTCATCCAAGTCACAAGGCATGGAGTCCCAACTACACAGCTACGCTACAGGTGACGCTCGAGCCCGGATCACCAAGAAGGCGAGTAATATCAATTCGGAGATATCCAAGTGATGAATCGGGTTATGCTCGACAAAAGCCAAATCACAAGCCCAGAGAGATTCCGCCTATGGTCGACATCACCCTCATCAAACAATGGTTGAATCTATGCAATACGGGTTGCTTTACCGTATGTGCTCCGGACCCGATCGTTCCGAAACCCAATTGTCCGATCTTCATGATTAACGTCAATTCGAGGAATGTGGTACCCGCTTTCCAAGGAAGCAACAGAACCATAACAGACTATGCGGCCTTATCGTACGTGTGGGGCACCCCACAAGTGCCGCAGCTGAGGAACACCCTTAAAGGAGGCGTAAGATCTCGATTGATGAAGCCAGGCGGTCTTGCAGATTTGTATGATGACATACCCACGACTTTGAAGGATGCCATGCAGCTCTGTCAATCACTAAAAATAGCCTATTTATGGGTCGATGCGCTATGTCTAGACCAAGACGATAGCGGGCATGACTACGGGCAGTTCGACTTTATGAACGAAATTTACAAAGGCGCTCACTTGACAATAATCGCGGGAGCCGGACAAGATTCTTGGGCTGGATTACCAGGCGTGAGAGAAGGAAGTCGAGTTAAAAGACAACATCTTGCGACTGTCGAGGGCATGATCCTGGGTAATAAAAAGATATCAGCTAAGAGCCACTTGTTATCGAGTACGTGGAAGACTCGCGGCTGGACACTACAAGAAATGGTGCTGTCAAAACGAGTCTTGATCTTCACTGAAGACGAAGTTGTCTTTGATTGCAGAGCTGGAAGCGGTAGATGCGAAAGTAAGCACCTAGAGCATCTTCCGCCCTGCGGTGTCCCGGACACGGGGGTAAGAGAATGGGATCGCAACTATATGGAGCTGGGTGCAACGAATAATGCGTACAACGCATTCCGTCAATTGCTGATGCAATACCGATACCGAAGAGTGACCAATGACTCTGATATATTGAGAGCTTTTTTAGGGATCCTCAGCGATCTGAGCACGAAGTGGGGATTAACGTTCTTCGCTGGACTTCCACTTCAGTACTTCGATTGCGCGATTGGATTTACCGTGACCAGCCAGAGCTATAACCCTGATTTTCCGAGCTGGAGTTGGACCGCGTGGGGGCTCGCATCTGCATTCCCACTTCCCTCTTTAGAGGACACAAATCAAATGGTGCTTTGGTACAGGTTCATTCATCGGTCTCCATCTGGAGCCTTGGTATTCCAAGCCATTCACCCGTCGAAACTAGAAGCTGCGCAAGCATTCACGAGTGCTGGCAACCTAGAACTTGAGATCGATGCGCCTCCTACTTGGATACCAAAGGCCGAAAACATGCTCCTTTTCGAAGCCGAAAGCATATCATTACCGATAACCAGAAGCAACCTGTCACCACTATGCCAGGCTCAGTGGCCAGGGCCAGAGCGAGATGATATGGGCCGTGCTTGGGCTATTGGCTTAGACAATCTCCCGAGAACAGAGCACCCTGATGTGCTAGAGTTTGTGTGTATTGCGCGCTCGAAGAGATATGATATGACGGGCGATGTAGTCATCCTCCTTGTATTGAAAACTCACCTGGACGGAATATCCTATCGTGTAGGGCGTACCACATTTGACGCTAAGCTGTGGGATAAGGCAAAATTGCCTCGAAAACGATTCTTTCTCTGCTGAAAGGGGTTTTTAGCCTGTCCAAAGTGGATTTAAGTAATATTCTTACAACCTGGATAGTTTCGAACGCCACTCAAGAGAATCGCGTGATGAAGGAACTCTATTCTACACACGTTGGACCGGAGGCGCAAGGCGTGTTGGAAGTTCTCGATCTGAAGGTCACTGGCACGTGATGGTCATGTGCACCACTATTTCCATAGTATGAATGAGCTCTGTCTCTCGAGTTGAATGCAACCGAGGAACCATTCAACAACTTAGGAGCCCGGGCGCTTTATATCTCTACCTCCTACTTATCAGCTCGTAGGAGGCTCTCACGTACTCCCTTACGAAAACTTTACACGATAGAATATAATACTGAGCGAAAGCTAAAAGCTGAAAATTCTGCTCAGTACACCATATATTTTACAACGCCCTCTCTACTTCCATTTTCTCTAAATAGCCTCATCACTACCAGACAGAAAGCAAAGTCGCGCTCAGCTCATGTTCCCCCCTTTGCAGATCTAGCCTCGGAGTTCTTGACCGTGAAGCTGCTTATCGTTTGACTGCTCACTATAGTCGATACAGGAGCTATTATTAGGCTAGTGCCCCCTCCTAATAACTGTAGTTTATGCTAGTAAAGAGCACCGTTAAGCTGGTATCCCCTTCGAACCTCGCCGCTCTATCGACATAGTAAGAGGCCAATTAACAACTAATCTTACAGTTAAACGCAGGTTTCTAGTAAATACCTCTCCGAAAATGGACTTGTATAACGCCGTTTTGTGGTGTCCTGTTCTAATGGTCTTGTGATGGTATGAATTGGGAGAAGTTGGCGTAAGTTCTCCTCATTCGGTTAGACGTTTTACCAAAATACAGTATGATCAATGAGAAATGGGTGTGGATTCATCGTTAATGAACCCGGGCATAGATTTATGTACTCGTATAGCAAGCTCCTAGAGCTTCTGGAGCTCATAGAGTCAACTGGCGAGCGAGTAGGAGCGGAGTGGATGATATCTCACATTTAATCTAGTCTCGTCCAGCTGCTCTTCTACCTCCAGGAGTTCTCGAAGTCTCAGTAGCTTGATCACGACACGGCAGATCTCCTCCATGACACGAGCTCAGTCTTTTGGGTCAATGTAAACGACGCTTTGAAGTTAAATGCAGTATAGGCCTATCGCTTTGCTACTCAGAGTGATTGATGCAGCAGTCATTGCTGCGGCGCTGACGGGATTGTCATTGACCTCAAAGATTTCGTGGTCCACGGCTATTCCACGGCTATATTTATAATCTCGTGGAGAAGCTCGTCTGGTACATGAAGCGAATGCGAATCACCATATGATTGGGTTGAAGGCATGCTCATAACGAAGTGTGATTTGCAACAGCCTTTATCTAACATGGTCCGTGTTCACAAACAAAGGCAACCAGACCATGGGTAAAAGAGTACTGACTACGGCTGTGATAATGGAAGCATTCTGCAGGTCTCCAGGATGCTTCCAGACGAAAAGCCAGCACATCCAGAACACTAGTGATGAGAATAGCAAAAGGAAGTTATAGAGAGCAACCACAAAGAAGGAAATTTGCTCGCGAGCATGCAAGCCCCAGAAGTGGCCTCGTTTTGGAATTCCAACTGCAAGCCCCTTGATGCGCTTCGGAATCCGCTCAAGGGCGTCGTCATCAGGTCGACAGATTTTGTTGTTGCAAGAAAGAAAAATATGTTTATGGCGTTTACCACCTCCGTAGCAAGAATAAAACCTTGTCTCAAATTCATGAGGGTCGATCGGAGGCATCGGGTCTGATAAACGTCGAGGCTTTGGTACGTACAGGTATTCTGGATCGTTCTCAGGCATACCCTCGACTCTGGGGACGCTGCAATCATAGTCAAACTTTTCAAACTATCCAAACAATATTAGTGAAAGTGCTGTGTTAAATGAAGTACGCTAGAGGACTTTTTTACCTTAAAAAAATCGCAGTGCTTGAACTTCCAGATACTGAAAAGGCGCCAAAGGTACCCTTTCATTGTGTAGTACTCAGCTTTAAGCTCTTTAAAGAACTGGTCATCACCAAGTCCATGCACGTTAATCTCTGCAACTTTGTACTCATCTCCACGCCTAACACCAAGGAAGACATAGCCAGTCATCCTTGAAGAAGTGTTGTTTGCAGTTCCAGGGCTCTGCCGTGGAACTGGCGTGCTGTAGAGATAGAGCCGGAAGAAAGAGATCAGCATCCGTAAGCCTTACCCTTTTCCTCTGCGGGCATCCAAGTCCAAATGCTCTCGATCTATGAGATAAACTTAGAGTTCGATCGGTGGAATGAAATGAGATCATCCTCTAGGTAGGTACGAGGACTTTATCAGATAGCTAATGCCATCCCCTAGCAGACCGACACCACAGGCGTCTAACACCCCCACGTTTGTCTTACCACCAGCTCCACACCGACACACACCTTGGCAGAAATGTGCTTTGACAGCTCCCAAGATTGCCGACCTCTGCAAGGCTTTGAAGGGCCATACGCAGGACATGTTTTGTCTCGGAATCCTGAGCGATGCTGCCATACAACATCACATTCACTCAATTACGCTACCAATACCAAGTAGAGTGACTGGGAAACCTGTCTCTCTCGAAGAGGTACTTCATGACCGATCTCGAAGTGGACTTCAGATCAAAGAGAAGTAGGTGTAGCAAGTTTCGCTTTGTCGATCGCTCACTGAGATCACAACAGGTGCAGAATTGCGCTCACACTCGCCACCGCCGTCCTCCAACTCCACGGAACACCCTGGCTAAGCGAAACATGGAGCATGAAGGATATTTATTTTGTTGAGAACTCCAAGAATGCAATGCTCTCCGATCAGCCGTATGTATCAAAAAACTTCACACCTACGCCAGGCTTCACGACTCCGCGCCATAAGAGACCACGTCTTGTAAAGAACAGCATCATATTCGCCCTTGGTGTAGCTCTATTGGAGGTCTCCTATGGCAAGCCTATTTCCTCGTTCAAAACTGCTGAAGACTGGGACCATGATGGAAAACGCACCGTTTGGACAGAGTTCTCCGTCGCCGATCGCCTTGCGGATGCACTTCGCGACTGCGAGCTCGCTAATTACTTCAACGCAGTCTACAGATGTGTCCACTACAACTTCGAAAGCTCATCATATAGCCTCACGGATGATGGTTTCCGAGAACGGTTCTACCAGGGTGTTGTGGTGCCGCTTCAGCAGGATTACGACTACGCAACGCGGCAATGAGAAGTGGCCCGGATGTCAGTAGGTCTGGAACTGACCTGCGAATAACGGCCCTTTAGGAAATGCATTCTTTGAATTATGGCTCAAAAGAAGCTGCAAAAAATACATGGGGGTATTCTCAAGAGCTAGGATGGATGATGCTTCTGGTGGTGAAACTCAAAGCAGGCTCCTAATTCTCTTACTATCGGGTTATCGCACACACAGAGCACCTCCAAAGGGGTTTCCTAGTGACTGTTCTTACGATACATATAGGGATCGCTGCGATTGAGCATAATGACAGGATGAGGTTGCGCAAGCAGAAGGCAGCAGAAGTGTCACGTACGATTGTATGGTACATAGGTACATCAGACAGAGATACCCCCTAAGCAGCTGCATTCATGACACAACTTACGGAGAGCTCTTTCTTAGCATGACATATCACATTAGGTGCCCTCAACTCAATGCTCACATGTGCAAAGTTCAATTCACGTGACAGTCTTACTTGCAAGGTTCCGGGCTCCAATCTTTCGCTGCCCAAACCCAACCCAATATCATCCATGACCACAACAACCACCACGTTTGGCCTCCAATAAATCTTCGAGTACGCCCTGAAAAGTCGGTATTCCTCTTGGAGAAAAGGCCGCGTGATCCTCTGCAATCTGGCTGTCCTCCGTGCCGCGCGCGGTCTCCATTCTGCCGTGTCGCCGTCGTCGAACCAAGAAACCTTTTCCGACATTGACAACGAATTGCGCCATCTATTACTCACCGTGCTACCGCATAGAGCAAAGGCAGAAGTACAGGAGCGCCCGGTGCTTTGCGGTGCCTCAATACGGACTGGCTCCTTGCACACTTGGGCACGCCTGCATAGATCGAGCTAAACGGTGAGAGCCTGACCAAGAAAGCTCACAGCAGCAACTCCAGTCGGACCAGATGCAGAAAGGCATGTGGCACCGTCAGCGCTCTCGGGGAAGGATTCGTGCATGAAGCGTCTTATCGGTGTCCAATTGGGGCAATTAATTACGAATGTACGAGTCCGCCTTGTTGCCTTGCGGCCTGGTTCGCATTCTGACCGCGTCAAGGAGGTCATCTCTACTCCCCCTACCTCGCCCCTCTTTTCTTCTATCATCTTCGTTTTGCCAGTTTCTATACTTCACGAGCGTTCTCGTTTTGGTTTGTCGTTTTAGACACTTTTGGGATTTTTATTGGTGCTGTGATCACAGTGGCCTAACCAATTTTGGTCACATAGCAAGATTTTTGTTGTATGCAGTGTTGGCTTCTTTTGAATAAACTTCATATTGCCACTTCTACAACCGATCACTTTTGTATCGTTGAATCGTATTGCTGGGCCTTTGAGGCTTACCAAGATTTGGCAGCTATCCAACGTGAGTTTAAATTCCTTAAGGTTAGCCTTTGTAAGCTTACACGAACCAGGTGTTTGACTGCTTGAGAAATATGCTGTGACTCTTCAGTACTAGGCATTCTCCTTGACGGTGGTTTTACTCTGAGAAGACGGCTGGGCTCAATATGCCTCTTGTCGGTTACCGGATTTACCGTGACGGAAGGTTTAGCATCGACCCCAACAATCCCTCTGCCGGACTCATGTTCTCTCCACCTGCCGACTCCGATGAACTATTCGATGAGCTACGAACGACGTATCCGGACCTGAAGAACCATGCACAGCGGAAAATTCGGGCAATAATAGACTATCTATCAACTGAGCTGGAGGGTGCCGTGGAAGGTCCTGCCACTGCCCGGAGCCATGCCACCAAGCGAAGCATTCCGACTCCGAGCTTCACTGGGAAAACGGGCGTTGAACACCGCCGTACATCAGCTTCCAGCTCGGATGGCCAGTCTTCACCTGTCACCTCGCCAGAGTCTGATTCGTCACCGTCAATGCCAAAACCAACAACCGATAAGGGGGTCACGAAACACGTGCCGACGAACGCCAGCTCAATTCTGCTGAATCCTGCTGTCCCCGCCATGGAGGAGATGGTATCGATTTGGCGTACGTCCGATGGCAGTGCTCCAACACGGAAGAGACGGCGACAGATGAATGAGCGGGAACGTGGAGAATATAAACGACGGAGGCTAGCAGGTGCATGCGAGTCATGCAAGATGCATAAACGAAAAGTAATCTCCTACTCTCTGATATGTATTCATCTTAGCTAATGCTATGTACAGTGTACACATCAGAATAGGACTGACGACGACATTCCACAACCCGGGAAACGCCGAGGGCGACATACAAAGAAGAGGTATCTTTACCGGACGAGGATATCCGCCTTTATATCACTGACTTCTTGCTACTAGAAAAAGTCCACTAGCTACACCTGGTCCCGAACCTAAATCTCCCGCATCTAGCCAGACTGTTCAACATCGTCATTCGAATTCGCAAGTGGCACACCTTGCGCAAACACCAGATGTATCACCCACGTATTTGCAACAGGGCGATGGCGCCACTTCGAGTCAAGATCTGGCTGAGCAAGTCCTCACTGAAACGCCATTGACAGATGGTGGGAGCTTGGGCGCAGAAACAAATGGACAGATGTACGTACAGGCACCCATCACTTTGCTTCCTGAGGCGCCCCATCTAGCCGTTCATCCAAACGATGCATACTACTTGGCGCCTCACCCGAATGGAAGCTGGACCCCTCAGCCTTCGCCAATTGCACATGAACCAAGCAATGGGACGGAAGGTTTGCATCCCCACGGAGCCACGGATATTCCTTTCTCTTCTAGCCATCCTAGAAGCACTTTTCCAAATCCTCTTATTGTTCAAAATCAGATGTTGAGCAATGGTTTCAATTCTCAATATCCTCTGTTCTTCGAAGCGTTCTATGCTGGCCATGGAGTAGATCAAAGCCCCGGTAGCTTTGAATAAGGTAATAGCTATCCTCCGGAAACATGTCCAAATTGAGTGCGGACTCACTCATAAACCCCTTTATCATCTCTCAGTGGACCGTAAAACTGTCTTGGAGGAGCCAGCACTGTTACTCTGTCCATCCATTCCGGCCCACAAATCTTGGATTTTGGTTATTCTGCCCGTTCCCAGTGTACTTAGCTTTTGCGCTATCCTAAACCAAGTCCAATCGGAGGCTTCCAGGCTGTATTCCATTTTCACGTGGATCTCGCATGCGTTGGTTGGGATAGGAGTCGGGACAGTGACATTTGGTATCCGGATTTCAGCGTGCTTATCCTAGTGACCAGGTTGCTCTTTTCCATGTTCATTGATGGAAGGGAGAGGAAAGTAGCATTGGAGAGGCCTTTTCAATTACGATTACGGGACCGCTGATTCATCATTGTTTTTCGGATTTGGCCACCAACATTTACGTCATTTGGGATCTTATTTTGGCGCATCTTCACACCAGTTTCGATACCCAGGCCGTTGTGTCGCATTTCTTCAGCTTTGTACCATATATCACAAGATCTACGAGGGACCATGGATACATAGGTAATGCCCATTCGAGATGAATCAATATCAAAATTTTCCCCAGCGAATCTTCCTCATGGAAGATTCGCTTTTCTTTTCCTTGTACTATATAGATGAAATATAATGAAAGTGAACTTGGATTGGTACGACGCAGTCCCATTCCCAGCGTCGTATTGGGATCAGTTCCGGTTCCACTGCTGTCAAAAACGTCATCTCACCACAATGAACCCTCGGCAATGAATGCTCTCATGCTCTTCCCGCACCGGATCAACATCGCTTCGACGAATATATTTTGCAGCGTTTCATTGAGCTCATGCTGACAGCTCCAACGATGCAGGACTCCGCCATCCGATGATGAGAACGAGAACGATAGCGAGAACGAAGCGGAAGTGCAGTCGGACGATGCAAAGCAATCCGAGTACGAAATTGAACTGCAAGACGACAGATACGCAACGACGTCTTCGGAAGAAGAATAAAGCCACACAAAAGCTCAAACATACGGAGCTTTGGCAACCCATACGTTCAACCGTGCGAGAACGGTTACCAAAAAAAAAAAAGATTGACGGCCTTCATGATGGTTTCTTTGGTTTTGTCGCGTGTTGCTGCGTTTTGCGTGCTTGGAGGGTGCGATTCGGACTTTTGGTATTCAGATAGTTCTTGCATGTTGAGCTCTGTTGCTGATGGGGTGTTGATGCTCGTTCTCTTTGGATATATGATTTGCTTCGCGCCTGTTTAGGGGTGTCTCTTCCTTTCTTTCGTTCTTACGGAAATGATCTCTTGTCAACTTGCTCTTTGCTCACCTGGAGAAGCTCTTTACTCATAGTTATTAAGGTAGCTTTGGCTCTGCTTCAGCCTGAGCGCATGACTACATGGCATGGAAACTGCCAAAACTACGACGCATCTTACATGATGAGCTTGGTACCAAGGCCACTTTGATCGCATGGAAATTCTTCAGACCCATCCAGACAGCACCAAGGCATAAGGCTACTCTAGATGTGGATGGAGTTGGCGAAAGCTAATTTCATTGTTCCCCACGATAGTACGTGGCAATCTTGTAACATAAGATCGAGACCGGTCTCAACACACGTTCTGCCAGGTAGCTGGAACGGAACACGTACAGCGCCAGGTTATAAGTTTTGGCACTTTGGACATCTGCTTCAGGTATCGCAGTATCCTTTTATTGCTCTAAATATAATATAAAGGTTAATGCAGTCGGAATAGGGCTACCGTTTAACCGACTGAAGATATGCTAGATGGGTTACTCCTTACAGTGGTAAGGAGTGAGCAAAAGTAAAGCCGGACCGGCGAGATATCCGTGTGCCTAAACTTATGACCGAGCACTGTATGTTAATGTTCTCGTGATCGTCTGCAGATTAGCGTCTATTCTCTGCCCCGGGCATCCGAGTGATGCAATTGGCGGGCGCCTCAGCCTCATGCGATGCAAGACGCATCAAGACAGAAGCAGCTATTGAGGCGTTCGATAATCTGACAGAGCGAGTATATAATTATCAGCCTGGTCTTTTGTCCTCGATTTTGTTCATCCTTAAGCCTTGCAATCGTTTCGTGGTTAAGCCTTGGAAGCTATATTTCAGATTCGCGGTCTTGGTTCTGGCATCGCCAACTGATTCAAAAGGAGTTAAGTCCTGATACTCGTCTAGTTTCCCGGATATTATTGCTCGCACTTAGCCATGGCGACTTGGAGGAGTGGCAATGCTTCGAGCAGTCAGCCTAGCAGGTACGTTTTGAATTCCAGCTTGCGTTCATTATGCCATATCGCATCTAGACGGCCAGTCACTCATGTACGCTATTGCCAACAGTCAGCTCGGTGGAGAAAGCGATCTGAGATCACTCACATACCCTCATGAATGGACGGCATTAGAAGACTTGCGAACGGGACAAGTCTTCTGGGCTGCCCTCAAGAGCCTTCACTACTACCATGTGAGCAACCGGCTATACCTCGTAGTTTCCACCGCAGTCGAAGAAATTAGCGACCGATATGAGACCATCGCCATAGCCGTCATTGGTCTCGAAAGTAGCGGTGGGCTTGGCAAGACCTGCTATGGTCCAGATGAGCAGGCTTACCTCATGGGAATTAAAGTCCAAAGCAGTGAGGTGGCCTACGACAACGAAGATGGCCCGAGCTACTTCGAGCGTCACGAACAAGATCTCGACACCAAGGACAGGCGCAATCTCTATATCACGGACTGGAGTACACGGGACTGGACACCATTGCCTAACACAATTGCGGATCTCACATCGGTGCTCGTTATTAAAGGGTCAAAGCTACTCTGTCGCAAGTCTGGCAACCTATCCTTGCAAAGCCACTTCAAGATCGCGGAGGCATACACAAAATTGACACGATTCGATCCAGCCGTTCACGCCGATATCATGACTCGTCGGACCCCGAGGATCCCAGTTGACCGTGGGAACGTTTCCCCAAGGGCAGCGCCGAGGCGTTACCAGCACGATGTCAATCCGCAACCGACCGTCTATGACCCAAAGGATCAGCGATTCGCCCCCCTTTTCACGCTCGTCAGGTGGGATTCGGACAGCGACCCTGACATGGAGGAGATTAAGAAGAGTACCGATGCATGGGAAGCAGAACACAGGGAGAAGATGTTTCCTGCTCATCCACGGGTGCCACTTCCACCAACCTCTCCAGAACTTTAGCTTTAACGGATATGCCTCACCAATGCAAAAGATGTGGAGGCAGAGCCATGCAATTGGGAATGTCAGCAGCGGGACAAATGATGCTCTGCGGCTAGTGTTGACTGTTAGCTCGTTCTCTTTGGTAGGAAATAGAAGAACATTCAGTTGCTTGTAGTAAAGGTCACGTGGGCGATCTCACTAACCTGTCTTAGCATGAGCAAAGCAGCGGGATCAGCAACCAGATTGTACGACGGAAGGAAGGATACGTAGTCTGGAGGACTTCCTATCTGCTTTTGCTCCTTCGTTCTCAGTCCTTTGTTATCCATTTCCACACTGAACTTAACGACAATCAATCACGACCTAAGTATCTTGACTACTTTACACACCACCAATACTGCTGGAGCCTACCTCTCGTTCTAAGCAAAGCTTGTCGAAGGTCCAATCCTGGAATGATCCTGTTCTCCAAGAGGTCAAACAACTCATCGGAAAATCCGCTGCTGCATTGTCGTACAGCATAGCATCCAGGGAAACGGTGCCTGAAGCTCATGATGAGCCGCCACAATCAAATTACCATACGTTACCCTTGGGCGAATGGGAACCTGACCCCCCAGGTCTCCCTCTTACAACTCTCCAGGAGCGATATTGAGGTGAACTGGCAAGAGTCCCCGAAAGCTCTTCTCGGGCTTTTGAAGCGACATAAGCATAGCTACACTGGTACTGCCCCGGCAAGAGTATAATCTGGTGGAATATAAAGCCTTCTCTTGGTATGCTTGAGCTCCCACTCGGGGTCTTTTCCCTTCTTCAGACCGTGACTACTAGTCACGTGGAGCTCACGTGACAGCGAACTATAATAAACACGACCTATATACAATAGAGTAAGGAAGCGAATGAGCATCTTGGGGGAAGCGCGCTACTAAGACTTCGCAAAGCCGCGTCCGACATTGCGTCGATAATTATTCCAAAGGTACGTACCATTGCAGCATCCCCAGAAGGGTATATACAGAAGAAAGGCCACAGGCCCGCCAAACATCATAAATATTCTAAAAGCGCCTGAATCATTCTCTATCAAATCTCCGATCCATCTGCGAATAGCTAAATACATACAACGCCACACGCCCTTCCGTCCACATCCCATGAAAGTAGGGTTGATATGAACACGCAAACTCCTCCTTATGAAACTCTCACGGCGCCTCCAAATCGCTCCCCTCACTCTTCGACCCCTTCTCCACCACCCCTCCTCCCCCGGCCTTCGTCTCCCCCTCGACCCCCTCTCCCGCCGCCGCCACCGTCCCCGCATTATGCGACCCAAGCCCTGAGTCCATCCAGCCCCTGGGCAAGAACTGCTCGCGGAACGACTTCCCGCCGCCGTTCGGCGCGCTGAGCCCGATCCCGGAGTCCATGACATTTCGCGCGCGACGCCCGCCGGGCCGTGCGCGCTTCAGCAGCATCGGGATGCGTGCGCCTGGACGCGAGGTAGCCTTCCCTTGGGCACTTGGCTGCACGCGGCGGCGGTGTGGGAACAGGCGTAGGATGCGGGGGAGGAGCGGGCCGAGTTCGGGGAAGCAGACGCAGAGGTTGCCGCTGGAGAGCTCAGCCGCGCTGGGAGATGTTTAGTGTGCATTAGATGAGTGAGGAGAAGGACGGCAGGGTTGGTTGTTTGGTTGGTTGCTTACCCCCAAAGGAGAATCTCGGGTTGTCGCCACGACGTGTCTGGGTTTGCGCTGTTGTGGAGGCGCACGACGAAGCCGATGGTGGCGAAGATTGGGGCACTGTTGTGCCCATATAGGGCTGGTCAGTGGATGTTCGTGCTTCGTTTGACTCTCTCGTGTGACAGTGTGCTTCATACGTACCATAGCCCGAAAGTGAACACGAAGACCACAAGCGCCTTCTTCCGCCTGCCCATCTCTAGCTTCCAGACCGCGTGCACGGGAAGAAAGAGGATGAGGAAATCCGTGATGAAGTTGAAGGAGCCGCTCGTCTTCAGCACCGCTGCCAGATCGACGCAGTGGCCCGGGATGGAAGCATCAGCAATCTTAGCGCGCGGATTGCACTCGAAAATCTTGACGAAGGTAGTAATCCCGTAGAAGCCGATAAGTATCACGATTAGGACAGTGATGGCGATGTCGAAGGGGCTCCATCGCTTCGGCGAGAAGACGCGCCGGTATAGCCAGAGCACTGCGAGCTTGACTACGCATATCATCACGCCGTACTCTATGGCTGCAACGTTGAACCACTGGGCTAGAAATCAGACGCATGCTTTCAATGAAAGTGGAGATACCGCATAACGTACGTAGGCGGCCGAATGAGCTTCGCCGGAAGTGATATCCCAACCATGTTCTCCACCGTGATGCGTCATCGTAGCTTCCAAGATGCCAAAATATGCAATTGTGCCGGCCTAGAGAAGGTTAGCTATAGGTGGCGGAGCTTAGAGATAATGGTGGGGGTTACCCATGCTGCTGTTGTCAACACTGCTCGAAAGGTCAGCCATGATCTCAGACACTATGTAGACGCATCCATACCGTCCTCAAAGATCCAAACCCGCTTGACAAAAATGCGAACATAAGTCCGAAGCAAAAAGAAGATCGTGATGATTGGCACGCAGATCGCCGTAGTCAAATGACTATAGTGAGCCAAAGAAGCCGGATGCTCAGGGTTCGACGTGACACCTGGTGGAGGCCTGAGTGCAGGTATGAAGGTTGGGGTAGGGGAGGCTGAAATGGTAGCCAGCGCTGGTGGCATGATGGAAGCTAGATTGATCTGGGTCTTCTCTGCGTGCAGTACAGAGAAGGCTGGTCGCACCCGACGGTGCGGTTATCTATACTTCAACCTCATTGTGGCTGGGCTGGGGAGGCTGAGGACGGTGGATAACTCGTGTTCGACGGAACCGTTCTAGACGAAGTTTGCCTAATGAGCCGAGCAGCACAGCCTTACAGCTCTGAATGAGCAACAGCAATGTGTCAGCAAGCCCACGAAGACATATGAAGAAGGTGAGAAACTCCCGCGCGGGCGTTGCCATGCAGTCGAAATAAATCCCGCCGCTGGAGGCAGAGAGATGCAGATCGTGAGGCGGAGCAGCAAGGAACGATGTGATTAGCTACCCTGGAGCAACGCGAAGCGAAGATGCATGGTGACGAATATTGCGTTACGCTGCACAGCTGGAAACGAGGACAAGACGTGGGGCAGCTGGATGTCCTCCAGTTCTGTGGCGCTCCAGTCAAGGCCCCGAACGTTATCATTGCAGAATCATTATGTACCTGGTAACTTTTCTCGGTCACTCGTTTTTATTTGCCCTTCTAAAACCTCTAGTGAGAGGGACACGTCAGGGAGCGGGAGGAATGGCCCGCTGGATGACGCCCAGCTAAGTCTCACGGTATCAGCGCCTCGATGAACATGCCCTTCCCCATTGCCTGAATCCGGTTTGAGGCCCTGCTGAGTTCTGTCTTCAGCGTGCTCACGGAGTCTACTTGGACTCCACTCATCCATTGATCAGCGTCCTTCTCAATGGCCTTTGAAATGCTCCCTGAAGCCGCTTCTGCAAGAGCTGCATAATTCGGAGATGGCCGAAAGGATATATTCATCTCGTCATCAGTAGCCTTTTTATTCATACCATTGGGGTACACCAGCTCGGTGGAGTTTCGAGGAGCTTTAAAGCCTGGTTATTTTATCAGATTTTGATCTGCTTCTCGTAGTTTTAGTACAAGTACAAGACTTACCGCCGTTGTTGAGCACCACTGTGAGGATCGGGATATTATACTTGCGGGCAACCCACAACGCACTTGAAGGCGCTGCACACATGAAGCTTCCATCGCCCACGACTTGACAAACAAGACCTGGTGGGGGGGATGTTTCCTTCCCGGGGTTATTGGAAAGCGTGTCGTCCAATGCCATTTTGACGCCTAAGGCCGCGCCATTGCTCCACCCAATCCCGGTTGCGCCGCAGTTGATCCAGCTACCAGGCCGGTCAAGCTGCAATTGGTCGGAGAGGAGCTGAGCGCAAGTTACTGCCTCTATGACGAACACAGTTGACTCCGGAAGGATGTGTTTAAGAAGGTAACCGATATTGCTGGCATCTAGCGACTCATCATCGCCCAATCGACAACGAGTAGCGATATTACGGAGTCGCTCTTCGTGTACTTCCACCAGAGCTTTCTTACGATTTTGGTATGACGCTCCCTGTACAATCTCGAGGAGAGGAGACGTCGAAATATGGGTGACAAGCTGTTCCAAGGCTGTGTAGCAGTCAGCTGTCCAGCGACCATGTGCGGGAAAGAAAGAAACTGGGATTCGCTGGTTCAAAGGGTCGATATCGACGTGATAGATTCGAGTTTCCTTAGGCGGTGGGTTCTTCGAAGGGATCCAGGGTACATCGCAATCGAGCAGCAGAATCATGTCAGCATCTCGAGTGCAATCGTCGGTGCTAAGGCGAAAACCTTGTGAAGCCGGGTGTGAGAAAGGGAAGCATAGGTCACTTCCACCGGTGTCGTGGACGCGTAAGCCAGGCACAAGCTCAGCCAATGCGACAAGCAGCTCGGGGCAGCGACGGTCTCGTCCCGAATATCCTGTGATGACGAGAGGTCTTTCAGATCTCACCAATGCTTCAGCAACCTCATTCACAGCCTCAGCTGGTAAAGCACTTGGGCCTATTGGCTGCCATTGCTGCTGATCGAGCGAGTATGGCTCAATCTCTTCGGCCAGAGTCTCTCGTGCGCTAGCCAGATATACAGGGCCTTTCGGCGCACTACTTGCAAACTGTAGGGCACGAGAGATGGTCTGCTTGGCGTTGAGCCCGCTTCGAATCTCCCCAGTGTATCTGCAGTATTGACGAACGATGGCTTTCTGATCTGGTGCTTCTTGTAGCCAGTGCATGTATTCGGTTCGAGATCCGGTCATCTCGCCAGCCTCGGTGTAAGGACACAGTCCCGCGAAGATGAAGACAGGCGCACGTCCAACACTCGCGTTATGAAGGCCTTGGCCAAGCGCTTGCGTACCGACGTCGACGTGTACAATGACAGCTTGTGGTCGGCCAGAGACCCTAGAATAGCCGTCCGCCATGGATATGGCCGTTATTTCGGAGGGACATGTTATGAATCGAGGCCATCGATCTGGCCGCTCTCTCTTGCCTTTGATGATGGCTTCAATGATGGACGGGTGATCTGAGCCGACATTGACGAAACATGCGGTGATGCCAGCCTATTGCTAGCTTAGTGACACTTTCAGGGCCAAGTCAATCAATTCGATGGTCAGGTTAGGCGTACCTCCCACAATGCCTCAAAGAGCGCATACGCCGTGGTATAACTAGTCTTGATGAGTAAAATTGTTGGAAGATGGGAAAAGATGTTGCTTACGACGTCTTCGGCGGAGATGGATGAGGCATAAGGCCGAGAGGGAAATCGGGATGATACTGATATGAAGGGATGCGTGTTGCTGCCGGCCTCAATGCGGTCGCCAGTGGTGTGGTTTGCGCAGATGGAAGAGTGGCTTCAATGAGAAGGCTGGGAGGGTATTGATGTGAAGGTATGCTGGCTATCGTCGACACGCACCTCAGCCTTGTTGTTTGGGCCGAGGGCACTCTTATACTTCGCGCAAAGGACCCCACCGGGAGGCTGTACGAAGATGGAGAAGCTTGGCATATTTGCGTCCCACGGAGCACCGTACGCATTTTGGTATGATGATTTAGGATGCAAAGGTACGTTGTCGACGAGAGAACTGTGTACAGACATTGCAAAGCGGATGTGCGATCGGTGAGCTGCGGATTACGATGGGTGGGGCAGGCTAACACTGCAGGTGAGCTCGGGACGGGCCACTGGTGTCTTCCTTGGCGAGCGTGGTGGAGGCATGTGGACAGTTCTCGGGAAGCCTTCAGGGGTATACGACACAGGGCTCTGTGCACCCGACTGAAATACACGGGATCGGCAGCCCCAGACACGGCACATGCGGGGAGATGGACCCCCCACCCCCAACCGCCAACCTCACATCTACACCGTCCACCCCTGATCTTGCTGCTGCCTTGCCCGCCGTCTGCAGCGTGATTGAGCATCTTACTCGATTCGTCTCACCGGCACATTTATACGAGTCACCTCCTGCAAGAGAACGACGTATCATGCCTAGAGTTTGTATTTCGCCAAGAACCAATCTCACTCATGCTTCTCTGACCCCACGCGGCATTTGCCCCCCTCTCGAATTCAGAAACTCGCCCCCAGTCCATGTGACCCCGAAGCAGAGCCTCATCTTCACGCCGGGTCGGGAGCGTAGGAAGACTTCTCCTCTCGCGCCACGGCGAGCATAGCGTCCGCCTCGAAATTGCCACGCTTCTTTGCAGCATAGGACGACTCTGCGTCCCTGGCAACAGCCAGCATCGCGTCGGCTTCAAAGTTGGAGCGCTTCTCCTTCTCAGCGTAAGAGGACTCTGGCGCTCTGGCCACGGCCAGCATCGCGTCGGCTTCAAAGTTGGCACGCTTCTTCTTTTTCTCAGCGTAAGAGGACTCTGGCGCTCTGGCCACGGCCAGCATCGCGTCAGCCTCGAAGTGGGCGCGCTCGGCCAGCATAGCGTCTGCCTCGAAGTTAACACGCTTCTTTACAGCATAGGATGAGTCTGCTGCGCGATCGTCGCCTGGTGGGTGCCAGGGTGCGATGTGTCTTCCTTGAAGATAGATGTGAAGTCAGAGGCGCATGCCCCCTCTGATAACAAGAAGACAGTGGCTTACTGTCAGGCTGAGCCACGGGGGCAGCACTTGCGAGGGCGAGAAATGCCGGAATAAGAGCTAGGACCTTCATGATGTTGTTTTCTGATTGGCCGGATGAGATTATTTGGTGTCTCGTCTGAAAGGTAGTGGTTGAGGCAGTTGAGTCGAGGTCAAGTTCAAAGAGATGCCTGAGGAGACAAGCGCTCGTTTCATGACTGCCTCTTTGTATCCGTCCTGCCGTGGGCGGCACACCGATCGACAATGCAACAGGTTCTGTCGGTATACTGCTTCTATCCATCTGCGTCGTGGAGATGCAGTAGTGGCAGCCCTTGGGCAGCCAGAAAACTGCGGGCACATCCTCCATTGGCCCAGACGGGAGAGTAGGTTTCCTGGAGCACATGATACGAGCTGACATGGCGAAGATTGGTGACGTTGATTTATCACGCAGCTTGGGAGATGCAGACATATCGCCGGACAAGGAAAGGACATACCTGTTTGCAAACGCATGCTGGATACTCGCCTTATCATAGCGTTTGAGCCACTGAACTCAGACGGGTTGTCGTTGGTGCTTTCTAATTCCCCTCATTTACTCCAAGTGCTCCGAGTTGGGCTCAGGGCTCTTTTGATCTCAAGCAACGCCTTCTTGTTTTCTGACATCGACAATCAGCATAATGTTCTCGAAACCAATCTACATTCCTTTAGCGAACAAAGCTTCTCCCGACCTTGGGATAGAACTTGACCAAGGCTACACCTACCCCAGACCGCAGAAGAAACATGCAAGGCTTCACTGGGTTGCTCACGTGGTGAGTGTCGGATTGATACTAGTCCTGCTCTCGATCCTAAAACACCACGACCACGCCTCTTGGGCCTACTGCTGGAACCTACATAATTACTACTGTAAGAGCTCTTTCGCCATGAAGCATGCATGCAACTCATTGATATTCTCTCGAAAGCCCCCATCAACGAAGGCGTCGGCTCAATCCCCTACATTGAAACGCGCTTCCACGGCTCCCTCTGGCACCCCTCCCCCTTCAAAGGCCCACCCAGCCCCCAAACCGCCGAAGCCTGGCACTCCGTCATGCGCTACGGCATGATTGGCGTCCCAGCCTCCGACATCCTCGCCGTCGGCCACAACACCACCACGGCCGCCCGTTTCCCCGACGCCGCAGGCGGCGATTACGTTGCAGTCGCCGTGGGGACGCACCAGCTGCACTGCCTGCACTACCTCTGGCAAGACCACCACCAATCGCACTTCGAGGAAGTGCAGCAGAAGATCAAGGATATCCCGGAGATGTACGAGCGCCACTATGAGCACTGCGTCGATTACATAAGGCAGAGCCTCATGTGTAGCTTTGATACCACGCTCGTGACGTATGATTGGGTCCTCGATCACCAGAACCCGACGCCGAATTCGAATGCGATGCACAAGTGTGTAGACTGGGACCGCGTGCAGGACTGGTTGAAAGGGAGGGTCGTGGAAACGCCAGATGGGTTTCAGTGGGCGCAGCCGGAGGGCCAGGAGAGCTTGCCGTGGAATCCGTAGTGGTTGGTCTTCTCTACGACGGCTGGAGCGAATGCGAGGTGGTCGACGAAGGTCTTTCCGGGGTTTGATCTCGGATCACACTGGATTAGATAGTCTTTTGTTGTTCTTTTCGATTTCAGTTTCGTTGCTCGGCTCGCCGTGCCAGCTAAGCCTTGGTATTGACGCAAGGCTGAACTCTCTGCACGCCTCCTGTAGCACACGAAATGCAATCACATCCTCATTGGGAAAAGAGCGCGCAGATCACAAACCTAATCCAATGGCTCGGGCGGGCACCGTGGGAAAAAGGCAAACAACATCCATGGAGGCAGCTGTAGCCTTCCCTGCCTTCTTCCGGCGCGCTTTATTTTTTGTTGTCGACAGCTAAAGGTTTCACAGCATGCAGACACGACCGTCCCGCTGCTCTCGGTTCGTGATAACAGGGACCCCACCTGAATGCGCCAATCGTCGCTGGCGGCATCCACGCGTCCCCTGAAGAGGTGTGGAGGCCCTCAATAACGGCTTGCAGATGTGACGTCTGCTGTGGCGTTAAAGTGTGCTGGCAGCCGTTGATGGAGGTCCGCGTCTTCGTGGTGGTGCAGTGATGCCCAACCAGACGGAAGCTCTACAAGCCAGTCCGAGAATCACCAAGCCCTAAACCGTCCTATGCACGATGTTTAGCCTCGTGTGAAGCTCACAAGCACGTGGATCATGGCTCTCAACCACCCAAGATGACCTTTCGAAGTTGAATAGAAAGTCTTCATGCCTCAAAACCCCCTTTTGAGAGAGGTGAAGAATTGCCGCCGCTTCCCCTTCTGCTTCTTCGGCGCTTCTGCCGCTGATTGAACCCGGGTATCAAAGTCTTCTTCTACTTCTGGATCATCACCAAAGTCCCAACCAACGATAGTGGATCCCGCACCACACAGAATCTGCTTTCCTCTTGACAGCAGACAAAAGACTTTCCCACTAGAACGGGCTTCCACGTCCGCGTCCGCTCCGGTCTCGACCGCTTTCCGGATTTCCTCTGTGAAGTCCGAGCTGCGCTTCCGCAAGTCGAGTGCTAGACTCCTCCTCTGCGTTTCTTTGACGTCTAGACTCCGCTCTTTCTTCCACACTCCGTCTTCGTTGAAGGCCCATATTGCTACTGTCTCGTCGTAAGAGCCTGAAACGATGAGATTGGCTTCAGGTATTGTGATGAGCGCGCGGATGAGATCGCCATGGCCTTGCAACCTCGTAACTTCGTTCCCAGACTCCTTGGAATGGATGACGATGTCTGAGTCGCCACCAGCTGATATGATGTATCGACCGTCGGCGGAGAGTACAAGGGTCGTGATGGTCTTTTCATGCGAGGACATCCGTCGTAAGCATGTCCCGCTGTCGAGGTCGAAGACTCTGATTTGGCGATCTCCACAAGCTGTGACGGCTTCTGCGTCGGTGAGAACGACTGCGTTGATCGGTGCTGCATGGCCTCGAAGGACACTCTGCGGGAACGGCTCGCTGACTCTCCGATTGTTGGGAAGCACTAACAGCTTCCGATCCCAGACCTTCGCAGTGCAGTCTTTCGAGCTTGAAACAAGATACCACTCGTTCAACTTGATGTTGAGGACGCTGTCGCCATGAGCTTGCGGAATTCTGCTCTTCAGCGCGCCCGTAGATAGCTGCCACGTCATAATGCTGCGGTCGCCGCCGCAGCTGACGATAAGGTCTTGCGTTTCGTCCGCAGTTACGCAGAAGACGGATGACTCGTGCCCGAGCAAAGGCGGGTACTCTAAACGTCTTTTCTTGGCGTTCCATACGCGAATCGATCGGTCTCTACTCCCGCTGATTACGAAATTGCTGGTCTGGCATATGGTGTAAACTAAGTCAGTGTGACCTTCCGTAGCATGTTGTGGGTGTGGGAAGGAGAAAGGTAATGCGCTGTTCTTGCACCATGACAGATCGGATACGGCGAAAGGAGGGTCAAGATCCGGGTCCTCGGGGGGAAAGAAAGAATGCGGCGAAGACGGTAGACGTGAAAGCGGTAGGTCACTCGCTTGAGCTTCTAGTGGCGGCGCTGAGACCGATGCGGATGCTGAAGGGTAACTGCCCTGCGCTGTAGCAGACGAGCTGGAAGGATACAAGGAAATGATGCCGTCGGAAGCTAATCTCTCTTCAATGGGTGTAGGTTTGCGGGATTCTTCCTCAAGACCTTGGATGGACAGTTGACCAAATGAGCTCTCTGCATAAGTCGTGAGGCTGTCAAGATACCTATGCATGACATATTGGTCGCCAGTTTGGCCATGCTCTGGAAGCTTGGCTTGTAGCTTTGCAATTTCTTGAAGAATCTGTGCTGTGTCGTCCTTGAGTTCCGAAGTGTCATTCAGAATGTCTTGTGTATCGGACTTGATGCTCCTATTAATTGATCTGGCTAAAGATTAGGTTCGGCGTTGAAACTGGGCTTGTCATGGCAACTTACAGGTTGAGCATCTCGATAGCCATATTCAAGGCTGATTTGTATGCATTTAGGCTTGACCGATATTTCAGCATGTTGTCTCGTCCCCACGCCACCCACTTGACTTTTTTTGACGTTTTGTCGTCAATGTGCCGACTAATGCAATGCTCAATTTGCTTCACAACGCCGTCGCAGTTTGCAATGATGTTATTAATCTCCTCGATGAGAGATTCAGGGAATACATTTTTTGGGCATTCTTTAGTGTCTTGAGCTAAGATTTCCAAAATTGATTTCAAGGAGACCAGCTCCACCTGGATCTCGCTCATTTCTTTGCGCGCATCGCGTACATCGACGATAAACCTGGCGACGGTAGTGGAGGCTTGTGCGATTGGGGGTAAAAGGGCGATACAGGCAAGAGACAGCGAGACCGGATCCATTTCGGACGATCTGAGCGGATAGATCTTGTCTGTAGATGGGAATGCATGAAGATTTAGAGAGGAAGGACGAGAGCGCTGTATGGAACGTGATTGTGAACGATGCACGCTCGGTGAAGATAGACGGACGCTCAAGGCTGCAATATGGCCCAGGGCAGTCTTGGATGCTGTGCGACAGCGCGAATAATCGAGGAACGAGGCGGGTCTTAGAGCTGAGCGCGTGCAGAACGAGGCACCTTCCGTAAAGAGGGCCAAAGCCCTCGCAGGACTGTGGCAGTGAATAGGCGATGCATCTTGACGGTGCAGTGGGGAAGGCTGTTCCAGGTGACTTGCGGTAATAAATAGCCTGGTTTTGCGAAGAATTCCTTTCGTGGATTAGTTGGTTTTAGCTCGCATGAAAGATTGGCTGTGGCATTGTACAGCCCCTGTGCGCATACTGTCGTTAGCCTGCGAAATATTTTACAGTTTTATAATAGCTTTTGTCTCCGAAACACAGGTTCAAACTGACAAGCTCGATGTCATGAAATTCCGTACTCCTTCACGCTCATTCGGGAACTCTAAGCATAGATGCGCAGCTGGAACTTCCAACCTTAAGAGGTTTGCTCAGCCACAACTTAGGCTAGAGCAGTCCGATTTTCTGAACGAGGCAAGTGAGGGCTTATGTGGAGATTGAGGTAGGCAGCGGTAGCTAAAATTACCTAGGCAGTGGGACGGCTCTAGCCCCGAGGATTCGCTCCGTGTCACACAGCCCATCAAGTTGAGCTGATTTATCTAACGACAAAGTGTTTTCTAAATGTATTTCGTGCATTTCGAGGGGCGGAAGATGAGCACCAAACTCAGAGGTAGCCCACTCTCAAGGCGTGCCTCGGGATTGGTTGCGAACTCGGGGGAAGCGATACGCATTTTTATGATATCGATTCGTTTACTTACTGCAACACAAGCTGGAGAATTGGCGATATCGAACAGCCGGACACTCTAGGATATCTTGAAGGAGTACCGACCTGGTGCCGTATGATTCTTCTATGATGTGCCCAAGAATAAAGCATCGGTTCCTTCGCGCAAAGGGCTCGACAACGCCAACGCAGGAAGCAACACGGAATAATCATTCGGGCTCCAGCTCTTTATTCAAGTGCGATGAGCACAGTGTGGTCAGTAACATGAAGAGCCACTCGAAGTCACAATTCCGACGTAGGTCTAAAGGACCACAGCGTCACAGAACTCCGCGAGGTCGCAACTTACACAGCCTATGTTTGAGCTCTTGTGTATTAGAGTAGCCGAGTGGTTGACAGTTCGCTTCATACAGTGCTAGGTCATAAGCTTAGGTACGCGGATACCTCGCTAGTTGGGCTTCACTTTTGCTCACTCCTTACCACTGTCAGGAGTACCCTAGCTAGCATGTCTTCAGTCAGTCCAACGGTAGCCCTATTCTCACTGCATCGACTTTTATATTATATGTAGAACATCAAAAGGATATCGGGATGCCTGGAGCAGATGTCCGAAGTGCACAAACTTATAACCTAACACTGTAAGGGTCGGGCATCTCGCGAAGAGTCTGAGGTATCAGGCTGATAGGGCGTCATCTGGCGCCGTTTGAACCACATCCGGTACTTCCCTATTCCAAAAGGTCAATAACGGCATGGTGGGATCGATCCGATTAAATTAGGAGCACCCCGCTCGGAGTAAAGTGGTCTGATAGGTCATCTTCTGCGTGCGTGCCGGATCCGTCAGCTTTATCATTCGACTTCGCATCTCCTACCCGCAGATATTTAGCCGATTCTGAGACAAGGCTTATCCAAGTCCCGATCCCACCAATTGCAAGAACCACAAAGACCCCTGAACGTAATCGTGCAGGGGGTATCGGAACTCTTAATCATTGGATCGTTTCTCTACCTCGCCTTAATAGAATAACTATCCCTGGCCAGGCTGACAACCTTTTCGATATAAGAGAGGGTCAATGAACGTTCCACCTTTCTCAACTGTATCTTACATTTCGCGCGTTCCGCCCATCAAAAACATTCCTGTCTTCCAAGCATGGCTTCCGAGACGGCCCCCATCTCTCCCAAGGACGACAGCACCCCTCCAAACCCTTGGGCCAACGCCACCCCCATCAAGATTGCCGACCTACCTCCCGACCAAAAAGAGCTCAGCAGGAAGCTCAGGAATCTCCACCACAGCCCCTCCCTCTTGGGCATCTGGCACCTAGGCCATGACGGTGTCATGCGCTCGCTCTCCTCCGAACGCGAGGTTACTGACGCAATACCGTTCCCACCCCGCCTCATCAAGGCGATGAGCGACCGCTTTCCATTTGATCAGAAGACTGAGGACGCGTACAGGGGGTTGGATGGGACGAAGGTGCCGGAGGAGCAGTGGTGGAAGCCGGATAGGAGTATGCTGCCGCCGCCACTGGCTGAGGAGTCCAAAGAAAAAGCGAGGAGAGGTATCGAAGAGCAAGGGGGTCTGCAGGCAATGCGGGAGAAGATGGAGAATGAGAGGAAGGAGAGAGATGAGGGGAAGGGGTTTAGGGTGTATATCTTGTCGGACTACAATCTCGATATTAAGGAGGACGGACTGGAATAGGAGGTTTGAATCCTAAGTCTTCGATGAAGGGGATGGCTGACCTGAGAGGATAATTTGAGCACTATGCGTTCGAAATTATTTTGCTCTGAATTTGCCGCATGGTTCGCGGTCGCCAATAGAGCTTTACTGTGGCCTCACAGCCAAGATACAGCTTTCACTATTACACTTCAACTTTGGTGTCGCTTTCCAGCATCGATTCCCTAGCCAGACAGACTATTAGTATAACTGACACCACCTCCCAGCGCCTCTCATCATCTATACAACCACCTCACAGAGTAGCTTCCAGCCCTGGCGGAGCCTCAAGCTCATACGCATACATATTTTCAAGCGTACCTGTCGCTCACGTATTAAAACTGACAAGTTCTAACATATCATCAACACGACACCAATACACCTACGTGTCGCCCACCTACCGCTCTAGCACTCTTCCTCATTCGCGCCGCTCTATCTGTACTCCATCTACTGGGGCCACCGCACCAACACATCGAGAGTTGGCTTATGCTTCTCGAGCGTTAGCGCTGTGCAAACAGCTGATAGCCACTTCACCTTCCTCCCCCATCCCCCACAATCAACATCTGCAATTAGAATCTAAATAGTAGCACTATAAACACTCCAAAGCACCAAAGCACTCTAGGACAGCCTTCAAAACCAAAACTATAACCCCAAAACCGCCAGCTCTATACCACTACCATCACCACTACCACCACCAATCAGATTCGAAAAATGGCCCCCGCCAGCTGCAAGAGCATGAGGTGTAGCACCTGCACCTTCTAGGCCAACGGCTTCGCACGCCTGCGACAAGAGGACCTCCTCGGAGACCGCGGATAGCGTCCATAATGGGTGCGATTTTGATTTCAAGGGTTTGGTTTTGGGAAACGAGAGGATGAAGGCATAGCGATAACTATGCGAAAAGCACTTGTCTAACATTCCTCAGCTGGCGTTGGCGTTTCCCTTCACGGACTGGACGGGGGCCGGGCAGCGGATCTAGGTGACTAGACTGCTCTCTTCACCCTGCCTTGATCTTTGATATTTAATATAAAAGTGTATCTTTGAACTCTTCTTTTTCCACACTCAATCTCTCCGTATCGTGAAAGCTACAAACCCAAGCCCCGAACCTCAAGCCAACCTTCAAAGGTCTGACACTCGCTACCAAACCAACGTCGAGATGCCGCTTCCACGCGAATTCAACTGGCGCTGCTGTCGCTGCGACTATACTGCGGATGGAATTTCTACTGCTATAATTGTCGGAACTGGAGGTGTGGACAGTGTAGGAATGTGTGGGATTCACTGCCTGGGGTGTGGTAGATCCTACCCCGGCTTGATAGCGGGCACAGCTGGCACTATGCAGGAAGATCGAGCGAGTGATGTTAAGGAATTGTGACAGTGGCGGAGTGAAGGGCATGCAGTGAATAGGGCGAAGTGAAAGGCGTAGAGTGAAGCAGAGTGAAGGACGGCGATGGATTTGCTGGCCTTATGTAACAGGTATCTAGCGTAGGTATATTCTATGACTCTTTATAATCTATGTTCTTCATATTCAGATCTTGTGAGCGGACATCGTTCTCTTTGAACACCCACACAAGCCCTAAGAATACCAAAGGTACCCTAGGCTCAGCAATTGAGATGTCGAATCCTTACTACAAATGGCACTGCTGCCGATGCGGTTACGGGGAGAATATGAATGGTATGGACAGGAGTTGTAGGAGCTGTCGGGTTTTGAGGTGTCGGTGGTGTGGGTGAAAGGGGGGAAGAACGGGTCATGGCTTGTTTTGTGGACTTGCGGTGGGGTCATAGAGGCGATACTGGAAGAAATTAGATCATGTTGCATTTATGTTAGAAGTTTAGCAGTAGTAATGAATGGTAGCTGGATTACAGGTGGCTGGGTCATGTTCTTCTCTTCACGTTTGAATCAAGTCAAATACCGCGCGATTGAGCCAATCTGTTCGACACGTAGGATAAAACAAAAATTCCTCATCCATTTCTTATATCTCGTACAGGATAAATTGAAAAAAAGCGTAGCAGTGGGCCCCCTTGAATCGTGCTTCAGCTCATATTGCCTTAGGCCGCAATTCCAAGGCTCGTCCGAAAGGGAACGTACTTTCGGTATCCCTTGCTGGGTCTTTTCCTTTCCTGTTACTCCTCTCTGCAACCAGGCTAGTAGGTGCTTGAGGTTGAGAGTAGCGATCTCCATCGTTCATCTCCATGGCCCCCTCCTCCTCGTCATCTTCATCGCAATCTTCCCGAGGAGTGAGTTTCTTGAACTCCAGCCTCGCTTTGACTCCGTGAAGCTTCAAAGCAAGAATCCTTTTCTCCCGCAAATGGTCGATCACATTCATGTAGTCATGCATGTGGTAGGCCAGACCAGCCGCGTCGATAGTCATGCCATTTATCCACTCGAACCATCTCTCTGAAATGTCGTTTCTGGTGTTGGTGAGATAATTTGGATCGTAGCATTGGTCTCTGTCCTGGAACACCTCATTACTCATCCTGTATCTAAGGTATTTGAAACGGTCTGAGATCCTGGTCCATTCACGAAAGTGTATTCCTCGCCGAAACCAGTAGACCATGGGAACAAGAAACTCCCGCAAAGGATCCCGTGATGAGTCGACCCTATTCCTGCGGGCCCGTCGCAATATTTCGCCACAGGTATCATGGGATAGAGGTCTCCCGCGCTCCATTCGGCGAAGGAGACATCCCAGCACCTTGAGCTGAAGATTCATTAAACCGTATTCCAGCGCACTATCCCAAACGTGGATCAACTCCTTGTTAATCCTGTCGGCCTCCTCAGTCCCGGTCCCCGTAGTGTACAGGCGCTTCGGAAGAGTTTTCTTCTTGAGCCAAAACAGGAAGGTGCGATATGCTCTCTCCCCGTATTTGTAAATCCAATGCACGGTTGGACAGCCTTTGCATTCATTTGAATGACCCGCGATATGAGCATTTACGAGAACTACAGTCCTTTCGAACTCTTGAAAATTCATGAAATCAATCGCAGTAAGAGTTGTTGAGCATGTCTGGGTTCTAGGGTCGACTAATGTAACGTAGATTTTATTGTCCCGGATTGGCGTCGGCTCATGTGGGCGGCTTATTGAGCCCCTTCTCGCTTTCTTATTTTGCCTTGGTTCTTTCTCTTCATTGTTCTGACCTTCATCCTTCTTCAGCCTTGGTTTCGCCTTCGATTGACTCAACGGAGGGACGTCTTCTCTACGCTTTCTTTTATTGTGCTGTCCACCCTGAGTAGTTGCGGTATTCCCCATCTCAACATCAGCGTGAGTTGAATCTTCTATGGTATTATCTCAGGCCAAATTGAGGTGGCTACGATGAGAGCGTGAATTGACGGAAATAAACTGCTCGGTAGCAAACGTTTGGCGATGTCCGAAAGTCAAAAATGCCGACAGTGGTAGTATTATATTTGACGGCTTGCTGCACTGGCCGCGCTTCACAAGCCAAGAAGGTAGTTACAAACTCTTGCTACATCTAGTTCTTTCTAGATAACATCGCAAATTTCTCGTTCGACTCTTCCTTCATGCGCTTAGTGCTGCAGTTTCTACTAGTTAGAAGAGGGCGTCTGGAGACCTTCACGTCGGTCATTAGGTGCGCAGAAGGCAGGAGAAGGTGCGCTCAACTGTAACCTCTCTCTGCATGGTATCACCGAGAAGCAAAAATAGTTTGCTAGACGTTTGTATTAGGGTCTCTACCTAAATCGGATCCTAATTGGCGCAGTTACGGTTCGGACGCTGAATTTTTTTCATCATGCATGTAAATTCCTGATTAGTCTAGGGGCGTCTTCACTACCTGAGTAGGTTGTCAAAAGAGAAACTGTTTTGTTCGAAAATAGAGCATCATGCAAGTTACATGCGCTGTCCTCTTTCGGAATCATTTACCTAAGCTTGATCAACCCTTCGGGTTTGTTGGAATGCTGAGATCTAAGTGGCCTTTGGGAGGTATCCCAGAACGCTATGTCTATTAATCTAATAGCACGTTGTACATTTCCTAGCCATAACTCCATAATAGAGAAAATAACAAACCGGGAAACACAGAGCAGTTTTCGAAGGTTTGACGATGTATTCGATGTTCAGATGTATCTGCGTTTGATCGCCTTGCTATAGTAAGCTTGCGTTAGCACATACACTGACAATTATACTAGTTTCAACTCGGTTCTTATTCCTATGAGACATCCATCTAGACGGGGCTCCTACTCTTCATTTTCTGCGTCCGGCATCTCCGTAATTCACAGGCCTATACGGCACCACTTCTCTAAATACATTTATCTCGTTGCAGGTACACGATGATCTGGAAAGAGACATAGGGGTGACTCTTCTTGGCTAGTACACCAGCTCAAGTTGCCTTAGGCCGCAACTCTAATGCTCGTCCTGAGGTGGAAGTGCTTCTAGCGTCTCTTGGCTGATCTTTTTCCCGCCGCTACTTCGCTCTGCGGCATCTTTAAACCTCAGCTCCAGCACTTGCCTCATATCCTTTGCACCTCTCCAATGACTTGCCTGGTTTACGTCTTTGCTTTCATTTGCAGCCTCATCGCTTCCAAGAATGCCATCAATCTCCATGCTATCAGATGATGTGTCCTTGTTCGGCCTTCCTTCGGATGCTCTATTGTTACCGAGTTCTTCCTCCGAGTCCGTATCATAGATAGGTGCGGTATCAATTTCGAAATCATCGAAAATCCAGTGGTAATCTTCAATTCCGCTGAATTGCGGAAAATCCAAGCTATCCGCATAGTGGAAGCGGTTGCTGTAGACGAGCATACAAGCAGCTAGACAATCAGCCTTTTGATCGTCCCAGGAAAACCAACCATCCAGGATCGAGTTTCGTAATGCCACTGTATCCTGCGGCACAGTGTAGGCAGATACGCCCTCGTCTTTGAGCCTCTCCATGACGTGCGCAAGGTAGCTGAAGCTGGGTGAGAACTGTTTCCAGTTTTTGAATTCTAGCTTATGCCCGGCGAAAATCATCATAGGAAGCATAAGCTTTGGTAGGGGACCACCCCTGTATAACCCTTTGCCACGCAGTTCCAAAACAGAATGAGAGAGAGGACCAAGCCCGTGCTCGGATCGTTGAAGGAAGCAATCTACAACAATTCGCATGAGTGTTGTATCCTTAAACGCATATCCAAATTTGTAGATCGTTACAAGCACGGAATCAACGAACAGTCTCTCTAGATTGGACTTGAATTCAGCATCCGGATCGCTCTCATCAAACTCAGCTGGATCATCCACTTCGTAGAGCCGATTCGGCAGTTTACCGTATTTGAGACAGCTCATGACCCCCGGGAAAGCGATCGGTGACATAGGAAGCGTCAGATGGTTGTCAGGAGTCCATTTAGGTGTGAATATTCCAATTTTGAGAAGCTTTTCTGTGGTTGGAGTACGGTACAATTCGACCGTAGTCGTCTTTCCATCTTTCTGAGGATCCACCAGGTCAACTACGAGCATACCATTGCTTTCATGTTTTCGGTCGCTTTTCTTGGTGCGGCGTTTCCGTTTTCTGGACGATGTCGGCACCTCGCTCATGGTCGCAAGAGATGGAGTAAACCTTTGCTTTCGTATCACTCTCGGGTTAGGATGGAAAGCTGCTTACGAAAAGAGATGTGTGTAAGTGAGGGAATACCGACAGGCTTTCAAAGTAAGTATATTTATTCGATCGGCTTTTTCCCAGAGCTACGGTTTGCGGGCGTTTGATGGTATTACTTGCTATTCTAGCGCGTTTTGCCTGTCGTTCCTACTCCGGCAATCCATAATTTTCTCTTAGCAATCCAAATTTTAGTATATGATCCATTTCGTGCCAATTTGTAGTCATTCATCATTTCTGCGAGCCAGCAATCCGTACGAGCTCTCGCTCATCGTTTCTGTGTACAAGCGTCTCCGTAATTCACAGACCCATAGACCCGAGACGCGCGTAGTATGAGGGGCACGGAAGAAAATAGAGATTCCACGGAATGTCGAAGATGCGAGGAGGTTTGTGCTGAGAGATTGGTGTAGATGGCACGAGCACAGTCTTGACGAAAATAGAACGTAGAAGGACCCGCAGCTAGTAGCCACATGTGGTCATGAAACTGCTGGGCTAGGAATGGTGTGGAAATGAGAGAAGGCCCGCAGGCTTTGGTCGGGGTGACGTCCTTCTGCATCGATTGATTGAGAGAGCTTCCAAGTTTTATTTTGTAGGAGATAGCTCCATCGCGTCTTCTAATCGTGAGCCTCATCTATCTTGAACCTGCCATTTCAACCGTTTATCACCGCATCATAGCTCTTCAATTCCCGACATCTCCGCAATGATAATGTCACGTGACGTATGCCAACTCAATCACATCCGCCCAACCCTATCTTCCATTGCACCTCCCATCCTCTCACCCCTCTTACAACCCCTCCTCCCACTCCCATTACGAGGTCTCCACAATCGGCGCACTCGCCTCCTGATTCATAACAATCGCCAGCCCCGCCGCGGCCCCAATCGGCATGCTCAACCACCAATACCCCAGCACCAGCTCATACCAATCGATCCACACGGTACCCGTGAAGAACAGCGCGCCCAGGACCGTAGCGAAGGAGACGGAGAGCACGACGGCTGGCGACGCCGTCTGCATCAATGGCAGGTCGAACAGCCATGCCCCCACGATGCCGGCGCCGAGCAGCCCGATCAGCGTGCCGAAGGAGAGGATGTAGTGCAGCGTGCTGGACTCGGAGGTGAGGGTTGGGAGGGGGAAGCTGGGGTCGGTGACGGCGGCGATGGTGGTGGAGAGTTTGTGGTCTTCAGTGTTGGTGTTCTTTTCGGAGAGGGTGTGGGCGTCCATTCGGTCGGGATTGTGGTCCATTTTGAAGGAGTTGTAGGGGGTTTGGTTTGAGCCTAAGATTTATAGTGGTTTGGAGGATGGTGTGCGGGTGCTGCTGACGAGTGATGTTGAGAGAGGGAGTCGTGAAGTAAGGGTAACCTTGAAAATGTCCAGGAGACGCGACCGTGGAAAGTTGGTAAATATCCAATGACGTATGGGTTTGCGCTTACTGCTTTGTTGGATCGCCTAGCACTAAGGTTCTTTGAGTGTTCGGGTGCGCGCAGTAGTGCAGGCGCTTGGATAGTGTTTAGATCGGCACGTGCCAGTCACGTGAACAGCAGACGGGGTTTGTGCATAGCTAAAATGCGGGGAATTTGATTTGTTGACACTGTTATTGCGCCATTTGATATCTTTCGAGAGGTCTTCGCCGCCCTATAACAGAAGTATAAGGCTGGTATCTTGACAGGCTTAATTCTCTACTAGGCCACCTTAGGCGGCGGCACAAGGCTAATCTTGACAAGTGGTGCAATACTTGTTCTTCAAGAAAATCTAGAGGCTTCTTCGCACTCCGCCTTCGTTGCTGCCATTTGATAGAAAAGAAAGTCACCCCGACCAAAGCCTACTAGCCTGCCGTAGTCACTACGAGAACGAAGACAAATCTGAATCATCATCTTGCTCGAGAATGAAATCATTGAAAGTACACCTATCTACACTCGTGTGATAGCCAACAGTTCTCCCATCAAGGAGTCATCCTAACCCATGATACCCAACTAGTATGAGATCGCCTACAGCTCTCCCATCAAAAAGTCAAACCCTGACCCACGATTCTCACTGCTCAGCCATTTCCCCGCCTTCTCAGCCTTCCACACCCTCATCTGCGTACTCGTTTCCTTGTAGCATGCTTCCACTACCCTAGGCTCTTCGTACGTCCCGTCTTCTCTAGTCCTATGCCCATGCCATTGGCACCAATCCCCCAGAATCAACTCTCTCGCCCTCCCAGCATCCTCCACAACGAAGTCCCTCTCCGACCAAGCCTTCTCCGCTCGCGCCTTATTGAGAACATTGATCGTATGCGAGAATCGCGGGCTAAGCTTCGCCCACGTGGCGAAAGAAATCCCTGGCATGAAGTTCAGCACCATAGCCACCGCGAACGCCACCAGCGGGTCTTGGTAATGCAGTCCATTCTCGATGCTCGCGAGTGTGCTCTCGGTTATAACCCACCCGTTCTTGAAGCGGTAGAGGAAGCTGTTCATGACGTCCCGGTGCAGCCTAACTACCTCGAATTTGATGGCGAATGTGTAGAGGCCTAGGAGGTCGTTCATGCTTTTGCTGTCGTCGCGGTCGCTGTCCCATAAAGGTGCGTCGAGGCGGAGTTGGGAAGTGTACAGCCATCCGAGGAAAAGGCCCCATGTGCGCACGGTGGTGTCGATGGCGATCTCCGTGGTGTTGGGGTCGGAGATCAAGGCGTGGAATCTGGGAGAGCACGGCGCGAGGAGGGACTTCTTGAGCGAGGAGGTGTAGGTGTAGTTGATGTTGGTGAAGTGGGGCGACGGGTCGAGGACGAGGACGCGAATCTTGGGGTCGATGTCCGGCATTTCGCTGGAGGTTGGTCAGCGATGTAACCTGAGAGAGAAGGAGGAAGATGGAGACATCACCGACGGGGGGCTGTACGAGGTTTCGCTCATAGTGACAGTTTCGGGGGTGGGTGGAGAGACGGCGGAGATGAAGTGACAGAGTTCACTGGCGCTACCACAGGCGAGAGTTAAGGTGACAAAGTATGAGCACCAGGGAAAACATCAAGTGACTAACGTATGTTGGAAAGTGCCATGAACAAACTGGAAAAGTCAAATGAAGAAAAGCAATCTGTCGCAACCCGCAACTTTCCAGCGACCTGCTCACCCCGAGCTCGAAGCTCCAAAATCGCCTTCTATATCTTAACTCCAACACATTTAGACCGCAGTCTCCCAGATCCCTAATACGTCGAAACTAACGTCCCTAACCTCCCCCCATCAACCACGACAACGCTCCCGTTCGTGTACGCCCCAGCCCTCGAAGCCAGAAACAGCACTGCTCCCGCAATATCCCCCACCTGTCCCGCGCGCCCATGCGGAATAAAACTCGGATCAAACGACCCCGGCCCACTCGGCCCTCCCAAAGTATTGATAAAAGAGCCGGAAAGGTCGCTCGGAAACACGCCCGGCGCCAGGACATTACAACGAATCTTATACGGCACCAAACTGGTGGCCATCATCTTCATCAGGTGCGTGACCGCCGCTTTGGACGTGTTGTACGCAAAGCTGGCGCCCTTTAGTCTGGAGAAGCCCCCGATGCTGCCTACGACAATGACTTGGCTGCGGTAGTCAGCGCCGAGATTTTGCTTTGCGTTCGCGGCATCAAGAAGGCCTAGGAAGGCGAGGACGGTGTAGTACACGCCTGCGGTGTTAACAGCATACGTGTTGGTGAACTCTTCCATGGGGGTTCTGAGGGCGTGCGCGCGGTACTCTGCCAGTGAAGGCGGTGGTTGGCCTTCGGCGGGCTTGAGCGGGCGGGGGCCCATGATGCCCGCGTTTGCGACCACGAGGTTGACGAAGCCGGATTCTTTTTCTACACGGGCGGCCATGGCGAGGAGGGCATCAAGAGACGTAATGTCGCCTTGGAGGGGGATGATGACGTCGGGGTTCGTAGATTTGGCGGCGGCTTCGAGGACCTCGAGGCGGCGGCCGATTATGTAGACTTTGGAGGCGCCGTTGGCAGTGAGGGCTTTAGCGATCATGAGGCCGATTCCTGATAAAGTTTTAGATGATAGATGCTTTACTGGGGTGATGAGAGGCGAATGAAATGACCGACCTGTTCCTCCTCCAGTCACGACTGCTACCATGCCATTGACATTGAAGAGATTTGCGGCTGAAAGATCGTTAGAGTCCATACTTTTCTACGTGATTCAACGTCCAGTATCAACGAAACCACCAGTGTAGGTGGTTAACAAGCTGAGGGTTGAGAATATTGTCTTAGTTATGGTCTTCGGCTCCACTTCTCCGCAGGTGGGGTTACGATGTGCGATCATGGTTGCTAAAAGTTTTGTTGGATTACGCTGTGTCACATATAACCTCACTCGACGGTTTTTGTTACATCAATCTTTCTTCATTGAGAATCTTCGAGGCATGGATGATCAATTCGTGGGTCGAACTTGCTGCAAAACATCCGTCCAACAGTATTTCCCCAATATTACCTTTGTTACCAATGCTACACCAATAAGTGCAATACGGTAAAACGCATCTGTTGAAGGGAAATTCGAGCCCTTTGATACTCCCATCAAACTTCCAAGGCCTACATCATACCCCACACCTCTACCGCATTCCGTAAAGGCGGCTCATAAAGGCTCCGAATTAATTTGAGCTCTCCGAGTAGCCTTCGTACACTGGCTTATTCCATGCACAGGGGACGCCTGATACCTCGTCCTAGTTGATCTCAATAGGAGCCGTCAGAGTCGAGTCATCGTGTTCTCCATTGGCTGCTTTCTGGTTGCTGTCCGTCACTTGCTGGCTCTCGTCCAAGGCAGCTCCGCTCTTTGCATTCTGCTGGGGGGTCTCTTCTTCGGAGAACGATAGTTGGGTCTGTCCAAGAGTGCTAGGCTTGCTCGTTCGGCGAGGTCCGTAAGTGACGGCACTCCAACTATGTCCTTTCTTCTTCTTCGCGGCGCCTTGGGATCCAGTCTTCTTAGACGCAGGTGCCGTGGCCACCGTCTCGGCCAATCCACCTCCAGCCATACGATCGCCACTCTCAGCCGTCTTCCCTCCCTTCCCAATAGCTGGTATCAAAGGTATGGCAGGAGCGAGAGGTCCTCCAGTGTTTAGATGAAAGATTTGTTCGGTGGTGTATGAGGCGTGAGTCTGGGCCAGAAGGATGAAATTCTCGGTTGCTTTGAAGTCGTGGCCCGACATCATATGATACTTCATACCATTCGCTCCTTTAAGGAAACCAATACCGGTTGTAGGGGCGTTGCAACCGCACTCTGGGCATCTAAGGTCGACCCTTAAGGTGGTAATACACATGTTAGCGGGGTTTCATAAAGAAGAGGGGTTTTAAGACAGATACTAGATCCTCTGGTGTTGGTTGTCCTTGAGTGCCACTCAAATCGCGATTAAGACACCATTTTACCTTGAGTCCGTGTTTAAAGCGACTGAACCGGGTGCTCAAACGCGACTTGAGTGGGTGTTCAAACGCGACATGAGTCATGTTTCAACACAGCTCCCGGAACAGTGACACCAGAGTACTCTGGTATGTATATTAGGACCTTACGTACCATTCTCCTCCGTTCTGCTCTCCGTACTTGAGGACAACTGTTGGCCATTTCTTAGAGTCATGGACGAAATCTTTGATGGTAGGCTTCTCAGCGGCCAGTCGGGGAATAGGCGCTTGGGTTTGGACGGTTTCGTGAACGTCCGGAAGCACACCGGCCGTCATTGACGTGACTGTGTGGCGACCTTTGCTAGTGTTCGATCGCTTCTGAGGGATGTATGGCGACTCATGCTCTTGGTCGACAACAGTCCTCAGTCGTTTACGAGAAGCTGTCGTAGAAGTGGCAAAAGGGTTATCCGGCGTGAAAGGAGACGCGGTAGGAGGAGTGCCTGGAGACGCGGCGAGAGGATCGCCACGCGTCTTCCAGCTTGTACTGCTCGCCGGGTTCTGGTTCGCAGCGGCTGCAGAGTGGAGGTTGCTCAGATGACCAGACGCTGGAGCAGGACCTGCTTTGGCTTTTCCACGAGCCGCTGAGGTTCGGCGATGTTTTCTGACTGACTTCGAGGCTGTTGCTTTCGTGAAGGTCTCTTGCGCCGAGCTCCGGCCTGCTGGGGTGGTGTCCAGTTTGGGATTGAACTTGGTGAATATGGTCATACGTTGCTGACGAATGGCCTTGAGTACAATCATTAGCGTATTGTTGCGATGGAACACGGTAGCTGAGCGAGGTATTTTGCGTCGCATGTGTATGAGAAACACAGGACTGAAACTCCCGCCTAGACGACTATCGCCACCTGACAGCAGAAGCGAGTCGCTTACCAATTCCTCATTGGCGACGTCTATAGATCGATGCTCAAGTCGCTGTTGTTGAGCGTACAGAGCTTGAGTCTTCTCTTCCAGTGGTTGAATCTGCTTGACCACCAATTCCTGCTCTCTCTGAATGTCGAGCCTCTCGTCGCTCAGGCGGCGGAGCTCTTGGTCGAGCCGGCGCAGCTCGTCACTGCCGCTCATGATGGCGTTGTGTGGTGCAGCGCTCAAGTGGTATGCAGACTGATGGTGTTGTGTGGTTGAGTGGTTGAAAGGTTGTGGAGAGTGAGGCGGAGGTGGTGAGGAAGAAGTGTTCCCCGCCAATGAAACGCGTCATGCGAAGGTTTGCTGACCTCGAAAGTGAGTCGGCCCCAGAGCCCGCCGCCAGTCAACGGAGGAGCTAAATACATCAATCACAATATTATACCAGTGTCAGAATCTCTTGCATGCCGTGGAGAGACAAAAGAGAGGAAGGCCAAGAGCAAAGCCAGAAAAAGAGACCATCTGGTACCAAAATTAAGAAAAGCTGAGCCAAGAGAGTCCTAACGCACAGTCAATGCAACAGACTACCTAGGTAAGCGCCAACGTGTTGATGAGATGCGGCGTTCTTGAAAAGGCGCCCTTACACGTCTATAATAGTATGTGTTCACGACTTCACGAAGCTCGACTGAGTCGCTGTACACAGGGAGGTACAGATCAAGGTACACATTTACCAACTTGAAATCTAGAAGAAAATTGGGCTTGAGAATATGTTCCGATTCCCAAGAAAGAATACACGGGATCACATCTTCGGTGCGTGCATCCTTACATGGTTTCCGATAGTTTGCCCCGTTCTTTCCTTAACGTATTTTCCGGCTTCATCATTCTAGTTGTACCATATACTTGAGCTTCATTTTCCAGCTTCCACACACTTTAGCGCCTCTCTGGCAATTCTTGTCTTCTATAATCATCGTCTGTCCTCATGGAGGCATCCCGGGGTCATCATCTCACTGTCACTCCATTGCTACGGGTACCAGTTGACAAGCTCGGTAGGCGCAACTTAGATATTGGTAGACAACATCACTGCATCAGGTTTCTACGCAGTGATCTGTTTACACGATGTAATAGGAGCCTGGAGAGGGGCAGTTGTCATCGGAGAACGAGGGTTGATGAGGTGAGGTCGGGATGAAGACTGGGAACTCCACCCCGCCTTGCTCGAGCCACTCAGCGATCCAGGCGTCCGGGAATTAACATTCCCTGCCGGTCAGGTCCGAATACTTCGTAGGGGACTCCAAGATCAAACATCGCGCCTACACGCCAAGCTAGGTGCATCAGAGCTTGAAAGAACGGAATGGCTTAGAGAAAACACACCCAGCAGCTGTCCTCTCTTCTCCAACACTAGAACCGACTCTCATAGACACCCAAGCATTCAGACTTCCCGCGATATTTTCATCTACGGCTACGACTGTACATCAAACGCCCCGTCCTCATGATCATTATCCGTATTATACAGTTCCATCACATAGGCCTCCGACCCGAGCTCCCAATCTCCTATCATCTGTGTACTTATAGCCACCGGATTTCCACTCGCACGATAGCACAGCTCGATGATATTCTCCGTGGCATCCCAGCTATCACAACATCAGCTCATTCTTTCCCCCCGAGGTTTTGGATGCTTACCAGTTTGCATATTGCCCGGTCGTGTCGCTGACCTGAAGCGCAAGCATTTGCGACGATCCTATCGGCATGTACATGATGCAAGCAGTCCTAGCACCCAGAGTGTCGAATTGGTCATTGCAAGCGCCGTTTCCGCAGACGCTTTGGCGGATGTCCCAGGTGTATTCGACGAGGGGATGTGGGCCGGAGTGGTCGCCGTAGCAGTCTGCTGCCCAAGTCGTGGGAAAAACAAGAAGGAATTGGATTAGCAGCGTTGCCACGAGGATTCGAATAGGTCGGAAGCCTCCGCAGTGGTTATGAATAGTCATGATTGATGAAATCGCTCCTGAATTGGCCTGAAGCTGAGCATGAATCAACCGAGCAGTCTTCGAAAAGAGCAGCGACGCCTTCAAATGCTCTCCGGAATCCAGCCTGATAGCTCCTATTCTCGGAATATGTCCGCTTTTTACTAGTAAGTAGTCCCGCGAGGTGCACTAAAGCTTCCTTCATTTGAACTTTTCCATGCCTAGTCTTCTTTATTTAGGAGCCCGCATGTTGACCGGAAAACATTCGGTCTCTATAGGTGCGTCGTATCTTGGCGTGCATATACGGCCCCCATTTTCGCCCTACCCTGCCCAAGACCTGCATCAAGAGCCGAGCTGCGCCCCAAAGATCTACCCCAGCGTGACCTGCTCTGCGTCTATGGCTGCTTTTTGAGCCGCATGATGAACTGTAATCGGAGTATTTCGCCGGATCTGGAACAGCTTTGTGGCCTGATTCGCTAGTATATGCAGATTGAAATCCATCGGCCGTCGTCGCCTGCGCTATTTTGGTATTCTCCTACTAACGAGTCAGTAAGATAGATATGCGGCTCTTGCAGGTCCTCACGCAAAACAGCAGAACAGTCTCAAAGAATTTTCAGCCTTACTGGTCAAATCGAATGATAGATCAGGAGGCCGACTCGAGCTCACTGGAACCTAGCATAACATACTAAAGGACCCCGAACTGCTCCAAGCGAAGATTCTCGAAGCTCTGTTTTCAAGCGCCCGGACCCTACATTAGCTGTGAGGCTCCAGGTTGGGCTGCGGTTTGCAGGTAATTTGCAACCCAGGAAGTACCTCAGACAGCGTCTACGAGCGGTCAACATAGACACCCGCCGGTTCCCAATCAAGCCACCCAAGTCTCACGAACCAGAACTGCGGCTCATTTAAGGCGTTTCAATCACAGTCGAGCGGCCGAGGTGTGGAGTCAAAGCTATACTAAAAAGTCCGCGATTTTTGTCCTTGTCAATTCAACTCATTTCAAAGACCTGATAATGGGTCCCGGATCAATGTTATTACTTGCCATTTCGCTATTTCATATGATCATCCAATGTTCAGCCGGTGCGATACAGATAGATGGAACCTGTGGCGCGGGTCGACAACGCCTCATCGACTTGGCACTGAATGATGTGCAGCGATACGCAAGAGCAGCTTCTGGAACTGTGGATGTAAGTATCTCATCCGTCTCTTCCGTCAGAGTAATGTATTGGAGAGCTAATCATGTTTCTGGTAGCCAAACAATAGATGGTACAAAGCCTGGTTCGGTAGTCCATCCAGCCCAAACATGGGAGACTCCGACATCTTGAACCTATACGACAACCTCTGGATAACGACCAACTATCCATTTGATCATTTACCATTCACCGTCACCATTCGGTGTGATGGCGACGACAATCCGTTGTCGGTTTGTGGAAGCCGCACTACGTACGTTTGATAGCCCTTCTCATTCTTTACCAATTTGCCGCCCCATAAATGCCGAAATTCTCACAAAATTGCTGACTCTTGACTGAAGCAAGGCGCAGGTCATATACCAATCCCACACAATCTTTCTTTGCGAGCTCTTCTGGCGTGAACCGACCCGATTTCTAATAAATCTAAGCCCGCCCTCGCCTCACATGCAGTCAGAGAGCCTTGACTATTTCGTGACCTACGGCCAGCTTTTGCTACACGAACTGATGCATATCCAAGATCCATGTCAGTGGCCCACTACATTGTTTGAACCCTTGGCTTGAGAATTCTGACGAGTTCCGACTCTAGATATTCAAGATAAGAAAGGCGGCCAGGCATATGGGCACGCGGCGACGCTTCAGTACGCGTTAGACAGCGCGAATGGCGCGCGTCAAAACGCGGATAATTATGCTTTTTTCGCGAGTGTGGCATATTGGGCTTCGAAGGGGTATAGAAATTGGAGTACGAACCCTAATTGTTTGACGTGCGGGGGTGGGGAGCTTAGATAGTTCGCTGAAAGTCTCCGGGAGACATAAGGAGAGGTATGAGATTCTGGGACTCGGTTCCAAGCTTTTATTCTATTTTTGAAGTGAATTGTTACTCCTCTGACAGCTGCTAGGGCGCATTACAACACTAAGACACTCGTTTGCCACCCAATTTCATTGAGCATCGTGAAAAGCGTGAACTTAGACTTGAAGCCAATTGTAATGCCTGGCATTTATGACTTCGAAGGCCCTGAGTCAGTTTGGTTTCTACCCCACCCCGACCTTGCCATTCTGCGTCAGCAATAGGTGATGTACAACTACTTGCAACTTTTATTTCGCATTTTCTCTTTAGCATGACTGTTACCTCGGAATAGCAAGCTGTCAGGCGGGGATTCATATCTTCCCCGCTCTAGAGCACCCTCCTACTACTTCTTCAAGCTGAAGTTGGATATTGGAACCCACGCAGTACCTTCCACGATTTTGAATAAATTGAAACAGCCGTATGTAATGTAAGCCATCTACCCGAATTAAATGTAGATGTACTAATCTTTTGGAGATAGGTGCGGTAAAGCTATTTTCATGATGATTGCTGCGAAAAATACTATTGTCCCATCCTCCACTGGCAAAATGAACGGCAAACTTAAAGTCAGCAATGGCAGTACTCATAAGCCTGCACCTAAGACCGACGGCATGTCTAAAGAAAACAAATCATCTCAGGCAGCGGCTTGCTGATATAGGATTCTTAGTCTCCGTCTCCTTCATTCCACCAAACCTCGGTGCCAACGTCACGAGCAAGCGCTTCCAGAATCGAACGATGGTTCAGTGGGCGGTTCTTACAACCATCAGCTTAACTATATTCCATCAGACTATAGTTCCCGTCTCGTCTCGGGTTAAAGCGGCTGCTGTAGGATTCATCTTCCCCGGCGCCGGATTCATCGCGTGTGCCAATATCACTGGGGCCATTGCTTTCCTTGTCACCTGGGCATTGCTACCGGCAGCAATGTTTGCCGTTAGTAGTCGCTGTTTCTGATACTCTGCCTTCGAACAGTAGTGCTAAATCTCGCAGTGGTTCGGAGCCGGAGGGTTCTTGTTCCCAATACTTGTCTGGACGCTCAGCGCAGTTGGCGCCTACTTCGCCGCGGGCCAAAGCGTTTTTGAGTACAGCGACAGACTTTCCGTAGTGCTTCTTGGAGCACTCGTATTCTATTTCAGACACAAGAATGCAATCGAACAGAAAGAAGGCGAAGAGAAGCGTATCAAGCGAAACGAGTACCTTCCGACGGTAGTCGAAGAGATCCATACCACCGCAATCCCGGCACCGCCAGACCCGGACCGAGAGCTGACTTTGGATGAACTTCGGGACGTCCAATATGCCATTGACCAAGCGCGTCTTGATATCGGTGATTGGTCCAACCACACCTACATTGACCAGTTCCAAACCGCCGCACTTCGCTATCAACTCTACGACATGATATACAACCTAGGCACCTACCAAGGGATATACACTCCGAATTTCCACGGGTACTTGAGCGAAGGTATCCGAAACGTGATTGCCAAATCCTTGACGAAGCCTGTTATGGGGTTCTGGAAGTGGGAGTCCCTTTGGGGGAAATTCACGACCGACTACGATCCCGTGATTAGGGACAATATTATGGTTACCGGCTTCCTCCAACAAGCTGTGATGCTCTACACCGCCAACACTAGAGACATGCAATATACCAAACCTGGCAGCCTAAAGTTCGATGTCACCGATAAAACCTCCTACCACCACGACGTTCATTCGGTAGACAAAGCGCTAGTCGACCAGTGGAACAGCAACCCGTACTGCCTATTCCCCTGCGAGCCGAACTGGATCTATACGCCTTGCAACTTCATGGGCATGACTGGGCAGGTGATTTACGATCGTGTTTTTGGTACGAAGCATGCTGAAGACATCAAACCGCGGTTCCTAGAGTCCCTCATGTCGAACTTCGCCGATAAGTCCGGAAGCATCCTCCCTATTCGCTCAGCCATAACCGGCTTCACGATCCCCGGGCTGACTGGTGCACTAATCGATCTTACCAACGGCGTCATCACCCGCGGCTACCTTCCTCAGCTGGCTGAACAGTCGTATGCGCTCTTCAAAGGCGAATGTCTCCGCTATGATGAAGTCACCAAGGAACTCAGTTTCGTTGGGCTGAGTGGAGCGGATAACTTGGACACTGGAAACTATGAGACCGGGACGCACGCTATCTATCCTCACGTCGCGTATGTTGCTGCGGAGTTCGGGGATGAGAAGATTCGAGTCGCGGCCCTGAAGTACATTGATGATCATGTTGGGCTTGAGACGACGAGCACAGGTGCTAGACGAGCGAAGCTGGGTTCGTTCTTTTATAACATGGCCAGATTAAAGGGCACTTTGCTTCGTTGCAACGATTGGCTGAATCTGACTCGAGAGGCATGTGCATTTTAGCTTCTTTTGACGCCGACGTCGCTGACAATTGCTCTCCAGGGCCCGTCCAAAACGACCCTCGCTGGTCCTATACTATCTGAGGTCCCGTATCCCGGAGTCTTAGTCGCAAAAGCTCGTTCGCACACTGGAAAAGATCTCGAGCTTGTCCTTTACCCGTCTGCTGCTGCAGGCGACTTCACCTTGGGGATCAGTCGCTTGGAGCCGGGCCGAAAGTATACCTATGACGAGAAGGAAGTTACTGCAGACTCCTCTGGCAACATTCGCATCTCGGCTCAGGTTGATGGGAGAACATTGGTTAATCTGACGCCTGCGTGATTACTACAGTGCTAGGTCAAAAGTTTGGGCACTTCGGACATCTGCTCCGGGTTTCCAGACATCCTTTTAATATTCTACATACAACATGAATATCGATGCAGTGAGAATAGGCCTACCGTTTGACCAGCTGAAGACATGCTGGTTGGGGTACTCCTTACAGTAGTAAGAAGTGAGCAAAAGTGAAGCCCAACCAGCGAGATATCCGCGTGCCTAAACTTATGACCTAACACTGTATTAAACCAATTTAAGCAAATTATTCGATCATTTCTATATTGCCCTTTTTCCTACTCGCTGAAGTGCTATTAACCCCTCGTTCTGCGCCATGCCTTTTCCCTAAATCAACTTCACCCCCACTCCCGCCTGCGTATACGGATAAAGGATCGCCTCAATCGTCCTCCTCTCGCTGCTCCCCTCATCGCCTATCCAAAACGCCCGGAACGGCTGCGTCGCGACCTGCAACTGAATCAAGTTGACATCCACCTCCCCATATGCCGTGATACTCGCATAGCCAGGACTGTAGTTCACGACCTGCGAGAGCTCAAAGAGCTGAGCCGTGGCGTTCGCGCCGTTGCAGGGCTGGAATGAGAATGTCGCGTTCTGGGTGGCGTCGGTGGTTGAGAACGTCAGGCAGCGCTTAGAGTGCGTGATCTGGGTGGTTGTGATGTAATTTATGTAGCAGCCGCCTGCGGAAGGGGTATGTTAGCTTTGGTTGCAGACTTTTAAGTATTTATTCGGATGTAGGCAAGATCAGACGCGTATTTGGGCATGCTTTGGTACGGGAGGGTCAAGTGTCTGGAGAAGTGTCACTTGCAACGCAATAGCCAAGTGCAACGTCTCCTCGCACTTTTGAACTTCTTGGGATAGACCAAGAGTTACCCAAACGGAGTGGCTGGCACGTGATATTACCCGGAAGTATACTCCAGTGTTAGAAAGAAAAGAAGGGCAGACGTACCATGAGTACAGCTTGACTGGGTTGTAAAAGTACAATTCGTAAGGGTGAAGGGCGCACTCTTGTTGTGATGGGATGGGCTGACAATCTTCCAAGGACTGCTGGCAGTTGCGTTCGCCGGGAAAGTGACGTTTTGAAAGGGGTTGCCGGAGGGGCCGTTGCCATTGTCGTAAAAAGAGATGTGATAGGATTTTGCGGTCGAGTTCTTAGCTACGAATGTCGAGCAAATGTTCGACGCGTTAGATGCGGCTTCGGCAGTGCTACTGAGGACTGGTAGAAGAAAGAGGATGGCACGGCTAAAGTACTTCATCTTGAGGACTGTTTTGAGGATTCTGAGGGTACACTTCCGAGATCATGAGAAGAAAGGAACGGCTGAGGTTTCGAGGAAATTACTCAGCTTTTATCCGGCTGGGACCCCGTGGTACAGCAGGGATGATACCTTCTTCATTATCGCGGAGCGGGACGTGCCTCTGTCGATCGTGGTGATCAGTAATGGGTGCACGACCTCCCGTCTCACGATCTGCAGGAACATTTTCTAGATTTGGTTGATAGTCGGCATGAATTTCGCTTGCAGTTGACGAAAAGGAAATCATCTTCGGGGCAAGTGTACCAGTGCCGAAATTCCCGTACCTATTCTTACGTTCTTTGTACAGCTCATCAGTAATACAATCTTGTAAACCAATTGCTTCGAGCTGGTTTTTGTCTCTACTCTTGACAGTTGAGTCGACAATGTCGTTGTCAAAAGACGTTACCGTACCAAGATATAGGTTTTGGTACTCCCTGCAGCTGCTTGGATACCCCGATAAGCTTTCAAAACTCCAAGTGCGATGTAAAGGCCAACGCAGTAGAATTCAGACCACCCTTTAACCATGCTAATACCTGCAAGCTAAGGAACTCCTTACAGTGGTGTCGAGCAAGCAAGAGCTTGGTCGCGGCGGTGAGATATCCGTGTCCATATTTCGCGCGTTCGGGCCGACAACCTGAAGACTCAAGGAGCTGAAGTACCACAAAAAGCTCTAATAGCACGTCGTGCCACTTGCATGGTCATAAAGTAATGAAATTACATCTCACCATCGACATTCACTTAAGTGGCACAAGATCTCACCATCCAAAGAGCACAATAACAACGATTAAGTTTTGGAGAATACCGAAGCATAGGCTCGCTTGAATTCGGCAAGAAAAGTGACCTCTCTACCAACCCTTTCCATCCCATCCTGGTGCCGGTTTAGTACCTAATCCAAACGCTGCCTTGATATGGCGCTGACGGCCGCGTCCTGGCCGGCCCGAGATCTGATGTGTACTCAATGCTAGAGCGTCACCAATTACTACTAGCAAGCGTCCTCCTGGTGGTCCGGTTGTCCCTTCATTCGTGACCCAAATGACGGGTTCATCCTTCCGGAACGAGAATTTCCTTGTATCTTCCCACTTCGGAGTATGCTCTGCACTTTTCACCGAATCTATATCTCCCATCAGTGTCTCAGGCCCTTGATTGCGCAATCGCCTTGAGTACATGAGCTTTGGCTTTCGAGCTTCCTCCAATAGAGGGCGAAAGAAATATGCAAGCTTTGCATCAAATTTGTCGAGCGCTGCAGCACTCTCTTTCGCTTCCTCTTCTCGGCCGTTCACAAGCTTCCCTAAGGTGTCAGCTTCCTGCGTATGGGAAGGTCTCTCCTGATCTGCTTTCGGGTTATCTCGTTCATTTCCCAGTCTCTAATGCAAGTCTCTAGGATCCGTATCTCTTCAGCGGACGCTCTGTCTTCCACAATGTTGATTTGCGCTCGTACGTTTTTGAGTTCGCCTTTGATCCTAATTTTGTCAATCTTAACTTCCTCCATGGGTTCAATCAGGTAGAGCTTCTTTCCATCCATGGGCCCATTTCGCCTCCAAATGACCGTGTCACCAGCGATGTCAGCAACAACGATATCCGTCTGGAAATCTTTTAGCACTGCGCATTGTATTTCGGGGTTTCTCATCATAACGCGCACGCTGGAATGGATGTTTTGTCCAATCAAGGTACCGGAGAACACGGTGGCATAACGGTCGAGTTTCGTGTTCTCGATTGTGGGGATTCCCCTTGGAACGTGGGCATCAAAGTCTCGTCAACTTGCCCCCAAGAAGCGGAATATGCCTTTCATGGAATTTGAAATTTTGCCTGATAGCCAAATCATTAGCAAGGCGCTTCAAAAAAGCAAAAGACAAGATGCCTGCATGGAACACTATACAGTACTAGGTCAGAAGTCTGCACACACAGATTCAACACTGCTCGGTTCCGATCTTGCTCACTCGATACCACTGTGAGGAGTGCTCTAGTCAGTAAGTAGCTAGTCAGTCAAGAGGCAGTATAATTTGCACTGCTGTCACTTCCCGAAAAGACATTTAATGAAGGAAATATAAGTATAAGACATACCTATCGAAGCATCATGCGTTCCTTCCAAAGGATGACTTCTGAGATCAATAAGTCTAGGATCGCGTTGAAGTTCAAAGTTGAAGTTCTTATGGAAGTCCAAGTAATCAAGGCTCAACAGCTTCTTTAGACCTTGGTCTGAAATACCCAATTTCGTATGTTCCCGTAGTTGAGCAACCATTCATATCAAGGAAATATTTGCAAAGGTCATGTTCTTGTTGCCTCCACCCACGTCACTGTGGGCTCCAAGAAACTAACACTGTCTCAGCGTGGTTTTTTCCGGCGGATTGACCCAGAGTAGAGGTTTGAAGTTCTTTCGTTCCTCATTCAAAGCCAGAGCGTGAAAAACATTGTTGAGAGTATGCGGAATGCTTGCTTCCACAAACTCTAATGCGTTGTGAGTGATACTCGGTAGCGGCAAGGGTAAGGGAAGGCCAATTGCTGCGACGGTATCCCAGACCGCACATGCTTCAATGCTTATCGGTCGTCGCAGGAGCTCGCGGTTTTCCAGAACCGTCAAAAAGGATTCGAACCAGGCCTTGCGCCCGGCATCGGCAGTCTTCGACGAGCCGTTCAGATTTGTCCAGTTCTCGTACAGTGCGTGCAAATGGACGAGATCTTCCTTGGTCAAGAGCCCAATGTCATTGACGAGAGCGAGGATGCAACGAACGGTGTACGCCCCGCGTGAAAAGCCAACGAGATAAATCTCGTCCTCTGGGTTGCCGACGTTTAGGCATATGAAGGAGTAGACGTTCCGCACTATGAACTCGAGTCCTACAGTCACAAATTAGTCCAAAAGTCCGCAGCATACATAGCTTTGTAGGCGCACCTATGCCTATCGAAGCATCGACGGCATTAATATGCTTCCATGTCCCAGATCCAATGCCAGTGTGGTAATACACGATTTGCGCAACTCCATCCGGAGCTACATCTTCGATACATCTCGAGAGGCGCGACACGTTCGTCAACGGACTATCCGTACTGACGCTACTATTCCAGGTCCCATCGCAACAGATGATCAGGCGCTTCTTCGGCTGCAGTCGATTCGCCATGTTGCAAAGTCTGAGGAGAAGGAGAGGGAGCGGGTGAGGAGTTGCGTTGCAGCCTTGCGCAGCAGCTAAGAGGCATATAAGCGCCCAGATGGTAACCGCCGTCAGCTAGACCCTTTGTCGTGGTACACGTCCACAGGCGTTATAGAAATATACTACCAAGCAAAACGGAATTCTAAGTTATGGCCTTCAACAGGCTGAGAAACTAAAAGTTATTCATAGTACAGTTGCTAGAACTGCTCGCTGCTCCACTTCGCTGCTGGACCTATCAAGATATCCCTCCTCAGCCTCAGCGGGTAAGAAGCCGGGCAGAGCTGCAGACAGCGTCTCAAGAGACGAGTCCTGCAATTGCCCTGCATCGTCCGAGATCGGGTTGTGGTGGCCCAGGAGAGGCAAAAAGGCTGACGAGGAAGTTCAGCCGCGTCAACAGGCGTTCCAATGATTGAACTGACGCCGTTGATCTGCTGCCGAAGCCCGACGTGTGAAACGAATAGTAACGCCACGTTGCGACTGACGAAGATACGAATGCAAAGCAGCTCGATAACTTCGGTCTAAAAAGAAGAACGAATGAAAGAAATGGCGTCGATGTCGTGCCAGTAGAGATCAACCCCTCTCTTGTCGATCAGCTCGATCATGAAAATCAAGTGAGACTTCCTGCTTTGTAGATCAATACAGGAGACGTTCGCGGCAGATTGGAAGACGAGCATCATGATCTGAGATGGGGGACATCGTCACGACCGCGATGAGGATTCGACGCGGTGGTCGGTGCGGTGACCTGGGTGGCAGGGTGGCAGGGTAGGCAGAGGCGCTCTGCCAAGCAAGGACCTCAGCCCTTCTCCACGTTATGTAGGCATCAACATCCTCATGACCTTCTACTTTTGTGCGAACTGTCATGGTAGACTCGCGACATGTTGTGCGACAAGTGTACTGACATCCACTTCAAGCGGATTGAAGACTGCGACGTAATCCGAAAAGAGCCAGATCGGCTGAAGGGAAGCGACTCTATCGACATATTTCATTGCTTATTCTATTTCCATCACAAGAACAGACATGATTTGGAAAGATCTGCCGACCGAGGCTGCCACTTCTGTGGTATGCTTTGGGGTAGACTACTCGGACAGGATGGCCGTCATGGTCTGATTTCTAAGTATCGCTTTGCTCGCGGCGAGGTGATTCTGCGCCGGTCTATTGTAGAGAAGTGGATTGACGATAAGTCTGGCACTGGGCTACACGATTGGAATAAAGGCGACTGGATCTACATTCAATGCGAGGACCAAAACTTCACAACTACGAGCTCCGAAGCGTATTCAGGTATGTGCCAGATTGAGCTTCTGTCGGGATGCTACTTAACCTCTCACTCACTATTTCAGGCGCAGTAGCCGCAATGCTCGAGGCTTTAACGTCTTGCAAGGATATAGAGTCCTTAGGTCGAGCGATGAGAGGTACCCCGGCGCTTTTGGACGACCCTGAGCTTCAAAAGATCAACTCGGACCTTGTCCCATCGCGAGACCCAAGCATCTATTCACCTTGGCTTGATCTATCGACCGCGTCACCAGCTAGTATGGCACTTGCATCCATTTGGCTACGAAACTGCCTCGAAAACCACTTACCGTGCAATAATGCCCAGGGCGAGACTACATTACCACGGCGCATTATCGACATCACCTCTCCCCAGCACCCGTTTCTTGATGACGGGAATGATAGGAAGGGCGAGTATCTGACATTGAGCTACAAGTGGGGAGAAAGTCACCGATACGTGACGACGACGGAGACCGAGAGTAAACACCGAAAGGAAATACCGCTGAAAGACCTTCCTTGGACGTTCAAGGAAGCCATACACGTGGCTCATAGTCTTGGATTCCGTTGGATTTGGATAGATGCCCTTTGCATCCTTCAAGACTCTACGGAAGACCAGCTCCGGGAGATAGGGCTCATGGACCAGATATTCCGTTGGTCTACCTTAACACTTTATGCAGCTGCTGGTAACAATGCGGATGCCGGACTATCAGTAAATCGAGATCCTAGATGCGTCAAACCATGCTCCCTACCTTTGAAGACGACACTCGACGGCAAGACAGCCTCGGGGGAAAGCTACATCATGCTCGATGGTGTCAACGTCAGTGGACCGCTGTTTGAACGTGGATGGGTCTTACAAGAAGAAGTCCTCGCATCTCGAGGGCTTATATTCGGAGAGCGCGAACTAGCCTGGCGCTGCCTCTGCGGATTCTCTACTGAGAGTCGTCCAAATTACAAGCACCGAGTGGACAGATGGCAAGACCTAGGGCATAATCAATACGACAAGTGGCGGTCATATTCCTCGGGATTAGACGGATTTGACACGCTTCGAATGTGGCTCTATGAGAAAGATCCAGTTCCGGACCGGACACCATGGCAACGAGATAATCAATTTGATCACTGGTACACCTTGGTAAAAGAATACAGCCGGCGATCTCTTACATACTCTTCAGATGTCCTTCCAGCTCTTTCTGGCCTCGCTAATGCCTTGGCAAAAAAGCATGGCTGCACCTACGTGGCAGGTCTGTGGAAAGAAGACCTGCAAATTGGTTTGATTTGGTATGTGACAGGCAGGCCTTACCACTATCGGCAGCTACTAAAGGATCGTCCTGACGACTGGAACATAAATCTTCCGTCATGGTCTTGGGCCTCACAATGGGGTAAGGCCATCAGCTTCCGAAATTGGCAGAACAACAATACCCAGATTGTACCGGAGGGCATGAAAGTATACAGCGGCTTACAGCCCATCAGCCCATCCCAAGAAGTAAAAGCCGATGCAACGAACAGCCTGATAGTGACTGCTCGTGTTAGGACCGTAGTTGTCTACCAGACGACAAGCGTTGAGCATAACGACCGAGAAGATGCATGTTGGATCGCAGGCATCAAGGATCCAGTTTCTGGAGACAAAATTGGCCATATAGCGTTGGACTCGGACCCTTCTCAAGTGCCGATGCGACTAGTCTACTGTCTCCTTTGCACTGCCCGAGAGAAATACGGCGAGTGGCATCTCACTGGTCTTGGGCTAGTTCCAACGGACGAATCTTATGAGGAGTTTACTAGAGTTGGCCTTGCTTTCGTAAGGAAAAAGGGCTGGTTCGGCGAGTTGGACAGGTTGACCGATGAAGATTGGGGTTCTCCGAGGTCTAGGGACAGCAGGTATCTGAGAACAGTCCGCATAGTCTAAATGTGTTCGTCTTTTCAACATCTCAATTTGCGACTTTTGAGTAGATACAGTACTAGGGCATAAGACTAGGCTCCTGGACTTGTCACTGCTTAGCTCCAATCTTGCTTACTCGACACCACTGTGAAGGGTGGCCCAGCTATTCAGTAGCCAGTCAGTCAAGAGGCAGTAATACAGCTTTAAAAATCTCTGGGCGTACCCCAAGCCTTGGATTTATGACTGCTTGGCTTCGATCTTGCTCAGTCGACACCACTGTGAGAGGTGGCCCAGCTATTTGGTAGCCAGTCAGTCAAGAGGTAGTCTAATCCAAACTGCCTTAAAACTGACGTCTTGCCTAGATTTTAGAAAGCCCACGGGGGTACCCCAAGCAGTGGCAAAAAAGTGTACACAGACTTAAAGTCTGTCTCTATATCAACCTCTGCCATCACTCCCCCTTCACCATCTCCCGCCACTCCCCCTCCAGCATCCCAAACTCCACCTCATCCCACCACTCCCCCTCATACCACAAACACTCCCTTCGCCTCCCCTCCTCCTTGAACCCTAGTCGCGCATACAACCGCACTGCCCCCTCGTTAAACCCAAACGCCCCAATCCCAATCCGATGCAACCCCGCCGTCTGGAACCCCCACTTCAGCGCCCACCGAATCGCCTCGCTGCCGTAGCCTTTGCCCTGGTGCGCCGCGACGATGTCGACGCTGATCATGCTATTGCGGTGGTGGACGACGTGGAGAGGCGAGGCCTCGAGGGAGATGACGCCGATGGGAGGTGTTGATGAGGATCCTGGCGAGGGCGCAAGACAAATGATGACGCCGAGCATGCACTCATCCAGCAGGTGCTTCTTCCACCGCTTCGTAGCGGCCATGCTCTCCGGGACGTGGAGGCTGGCGGAGGAGTTTGCATAAGCGCGTGCGTCGGATTGGATGGAGTGTAGAAAAACGTCGTAGTCTTCGATCGCGTGGTAGTGGAGGCGCTTGCTTTGGAAGGGGTGGGGGCGAGCCATCTTTCTTCTTTCTCTAAGCTGCTAGGATTCAGGTCTTGAAATGGTGTTGAGATGCATTGATGTAAATGTGGACGTTAGACTATACTTATATAGCGCATGATGGGTAGCTGGGATGTGCAAACTAACTCCCGGAGGATTATGTTTGAGTCATCGCACTAGGCCTTGCTAGGTAGGTGTTGAAGGAATTCCTCGTACACCATGATACCGCTGCGTAAAGGCTTCAACACTCCATCAGAAAATTCGAAAAGGAAGAAAACTCATCGTAAGAAGCTCTATTTCTGAACAAACCCGCTTCTCTTTTCGTAACCTACCTTGGCAGTGAAGACGCCCCTGGACCAATTAGGAGTTTACATGCATGATGTTAAGAATCCAGGAGTCCAAACCATGCCTACGTCAATGAAGATCCGATTCAGGCATAGAAACTGAACACAAACACCTAGCAAACGTATATTTGATTCCAGAGGATTGCACGTAAAGAGAGCTTACAAACGAGCCTACCTTTGTCTTCTGCTTATCTTTTGAATTACCTAAGGCCTTCGAACAAACTCATACGAGCAGCAGAAGCCACAGCACCGACTCCTGAAATAGACACCGAGGATTTATGATGATGATAAGAGATTAATATCGGCTCTACCGTAGTACCCCTTTGCACGCCCCCAAATCCATATGACCCACCTCACGACCCACCATTATGGATGCAACTATGAGTATAAAATAAACGCCCCCTAAATCAGGCTAGCATACTAGCTCCGCTGCCGGCCCAGCCAATATACCAAGACGCCCCCAGCCTACTCAGAACGCCAGCGCTACCTACCCATAGATAAAGTGACAAAAGAAACACCCTCACAATCGCCCCGACATATCATCCCCGCTGACAACTTAGCTAGCCTACCTAGCCACCCCTAGCCTATTCAAACCCTCAACGTGAAATATGTCGCCTAACCCAGCCTCGAAAGATCCCGATGTCCACCGCTGACATTCCGGCTACCAAAGAACGGCACATGTCCCCCCATCAGCCCCGAGCTGCGACGAAACTCCGTCATCCCGTCTCCAGATTCATGCCGCTTCTCGCCACGCTTAGCCGGGGCCATCAACTCGAGGCTAGGTACTGCGATGTCTGACCTATCCTTTCCACCGTCGGACGTGCTCTTGGGAAGTGACAGCTCGTAGGTCTCAGAGCTCGAATTGCTAGCGTGGCGATCGGGGGAGGTCGGACGATCATCAGGCACGCACGGCGCTTGGGGGAGGAACTCCGTGTCGTAGCGAGGTCGGTCCCTGACGCTGCCGCTGGGAGTGTGGCTGAGGGTGCCTATGCCGTTGGTGCTGCGGCCGCTGACGCCGCGGATGCCCCCGCGCGAGAGGCCAAACTTTCCACTGCCGCTTGAGGAGGCGAAGGTGGTAGTATGGTTGCCGTTAGCGAGGCGTTCTTGGCTAGGGAGGAATCCGCGGTCGCCCTCGAGGGGGAGCGAAAGGGCACGCATGTTCATGGAGGAGCGAGGGCGCTCGAGCCGGTTGGCCGACTTAGATCGACGACGAGTGATGTGGGGAGTTGAGGGACCAGATTCATCCAGGATTCTGGAAAGAGAATGGGAGCGCTGGTGTCCAGGGCGGCCAGAGAAGAGAGGGGCAGGGATGAACTTCTTGTTTGATGAGAGGGAGTCGGTTGGGTATGGATCGAATTCGATTTCCTTCACCCTGCCTTTGCCTTTGATGTCGATCTCCTTGGCCTTACACTTTCCAGTGACATCAAAGGCGACGCTCTGGGCAAGGATGTTCTCATTGGTCGGACCCGACTCGGTGTGCATGCTCAGAATATGCAGGCTCGCCGGCTTTGACGAGGTACGGTCCGGTATCATAAGAGGAACATCCCCCGAAGGCTTCCGATCAGTGAAAGGAGGTGGCATTGGGACTAAACCACGGGACGTCTTGGGACACTGATGAACTTCAATCTCGTCCGCTGGAAGGGTAGGCAACAGACGGGAAAGTACATGTGGATTTGGGTCTGCAAAGAGCGATACTCCGCTCGAAACCGGCTGTTGTCGGCCATGGTCTGGGACTGGCTTGCGGCTCGTCATGATCGATTGAAACCGAGATGGAGGTTGGGGAAGAGGCCGATTCGCTAACAGCTCTTCGTTCTTCGCCTGCAAAGCTTCCACATGTAACCTAAGGTCTTTGTTTCGATTTCGAAGTTGGGCCATCGAATAATGAAGTTCCTCATCAGCCTCTCGAGCTGCTTGCTCTGGGCTGATGACAGATAGCTGTGAGCTATTGCTGGATCTGAGGGGGCGGGTTGGGAATATCCCATAGCGGACCAAAGGCACAGGACGCTCAGCCTGCATAGCCTCGAAGATATATCGAACGGAACGCTCATCATCTTCAGACTTGTCGCTCAAAACACGGATGCCTCCTTTAATCGTCGAAAGTCGCGGTTTGACAATTACACTGAGATAGTCGGCGATACGCTCGGTGACATCGGTTTGCCAGCCCTCGAAATTTGTGCCAGCTCGAGGTTTGAGAGCCACCGTTGTCTCCTGAATCGCTTCGAGACACGTCTTGACGAGCTCTAGATGGTCCTTCTCGCGCAGCGACTTAGCAATAGCATACTTGACGTCAGTAGCGACGTCGGACCATCGCATGAGATCCGGCTTGGAAATCTTGTCGATGCATTGCATGACGAAATGCTTTCTCAGCTGCAGCTGGTCAATGATACTATCAAGACGGGCCAGCTGAAACCCAGCCGGGGTGGTGGTCTGTAGGAAGGTGCCTAGTTGGATCCATCCACGCATTTCCATAGATGGCAGATGTTTGTACCAATCTGCCGGAGAAACTGGCAATTCTACGACGTCATAGTAGAACAGCCAAATCAGAAAGTGGGACAGAGATTCTGCTGTGATTTGGTCCGCGAAAGCAATGACTCCGATAGCTATCGGCGCGCTGATTGTCGACTGATTGGTTGATATAACACCAGCGTAAGTGCGCCCTCGAAAGATCCGTCGAAATCCAGTTGGAGCTTCAGTTGGAGCAGTTTGAGGCCTCGAGAGTTCCCGTCGTACCGGGGCAGTCTGAGGGGTTACTGGGAGTCCCATATACCGCTTGAACTTTTGGATCTTGTTGGCCAAAGGCATGTTGGCAGTAAGAATGGGTAAAGATGATAGAGAAAGTAAGATTCGAAAAGAGTATTCTTGACACGAACTGGTATTGAAAAGGGCCCCGGTTCGGGTTCGGATTCAGGTTGCGGATGGTGGTGTGGTGTGGGATAGCGGGTGTGAGGGCGATGAAGGAAAAGCTGGTCCAGCTTGAAAAAGGCTTCCTTAAGAATACACAGCGGAGAAGCTGTGTGAAAAGAGCTCTACGAACTAATTTGGACAGATATTAGGTTCGGGTGGTCCGTGGTGGTGCGGGTATGGTAGGTTAGGATGATGAAGAAAATGTCTGTCTTGCATGAGAAAGACTGCCTTAAATAGGCCCAGCGTGGACGCTTTATGAAAGGAAGCCGTAGCACACACTCTACGACAGTGATTGTGAAGTAACTGAACTAAACTGCCCCTTGCACTGAGTCGACGGATTGGGTCACGTGCAGAGCCCTGAAGGCCAAAACACAAGAACCAAAGATTCGATAACCTTCACCAGCAGTAAAAACAGGTGAAACGTTGTATGCAACTAGAATCTCTTTAGGTACCAGGGGAGGTCTTGTGGTAGAGGTGAAATGAAGAGGCTAAGGTTCAGCACTTCAAAGTCTTCTCGTGGGCGGATTATCAATATTATCAATATGAATCTAAGCTGGCATAGCAATGTTGGTTCGGTGTCCAAACTAATGCATCGTGGTCGTAAAGTCTTAGTCCCGCTTTGCTGAACAATTGGAAACCAAATCTAGGTCGAGCATTAGTTACTGACGACGACAAAAACCCACGGGATACCAAACCTTCGGAAAACCTGGCCAACATATAGGTCTGAGTCCCTTAAAATACTCACAATTTCTTCAACACCGAAAAAGAGCACCATCTTCAAGAAACTTGTATATTTCATATCTATATGGCGCTTACGAGTGGTATCGTTCTAGCTCTTGCCAAACCGCTCAAATCCAGACCATGCAGTTACTTCCACAAAAGAACGCCAAGCCCAAATGATTCAATCCTCTTCGTGACTCATTTCATCCTCGAAGAACGTTGGAAGGTAAAGCTTCGTGTTTTCGTACACCAGGAATGTGACAATCGTAGTTGGTATGACGCGGACAGTATTAGGGATGACACTGCTTCAATGTTAGCTATTGTACCTTTGCAATGGTGAAAATCAAGACGCCTCGACCAGAAGCCGGAATGTGTCGAGTAAAACCCACCCCTTGTAAAATGCAAAAAACCCTTCATTCTTCCACGTCTTCCTCAACACATCAAACAACCCGTTATAGTTCTTGTTCGCATCATACGTCTGCATCCTAGCTCTTATCGGCTGATAAGGATATGTAATGGCGCCGGCGAGCAGCTTTGAGCCGCCGCTCATATAGATGTACTCCCAATTCGACAGATTGTGCTCGCCGCCAATCATCGCACCACGTCGGTGCTTCATTTTCTCGTAAATAGAGAATTGGACCGCTCCGTGAGCGACGCCGAGGGAAGAGGGCGTGAATCCGGCCCACAGCCCTTTGAGCCCGCGCGTCCTATATACGTGCTTCATGCCAGACCATAGGCCGGTGTAGGCGTCCGGGTGGTTGGCGCCGCGCTCCAGCATGCGTGTTTTTACGACCCATATCGGGTTCGTACATGCGCCGGTGAGGAGGCCTGGGAATAGATCAGTTAGTATGAAGCACAGGAAGATGCCCGATATAAAAAGGCAATATGGACGTACCGGCAATCACAGACGCGGAGAAGAACTCCCCAGACGACAAATGTTCGCCGTGCCCTCGACGCGCCTGCAGCAGATCCTTCATATTACGGTACCAGAGAAAGTACAGTCCCCACCCCAACGAGTTCCCCAGCATATTCGGCCACAGGCCTCGATACAGCGCCCGCACCCCGCCTTCGTGCTGAATAACATTGCGAATGATGCGGAACGAGTCGCCCGGTTTTGATCGTGTCTTAGTGTTTACTAGGATCCAAAAATTAGCCCCGAAGACGTGAAAAACTAGCGCGAAGGAAGATGTGGGTATGCGCACGCTGCAAACGATTTTTGAGCAGGTCCAACGGATGCACTGTCAGGCAGCTCACAACCCCCGCGGTAAAGCCAGCTACGCTTTCTACAACAGATGGCGACAGTTTCGAAGGGCGCGGGGGCGGGTCGTGGACAGGGCCCTCGAGCGGTGGGAGGGCGCGCGGCATTATGTGCCAGTGGGGGATAGAACGGCGTATGGCGTGCGCATGCTTAGGTTGGAGACATGTCGTAGCACAGGGGAAGCTCGAGAATGGGGAATTGGACGTTAAGAGGCTGCAACCGTTGGGCGCGGTGAATAAATGCGATGCTGGTGGTGCAGCTGGATGGAGGGAGGTTGGTGACGCGGATCTCGTCCAGGGAACCTCCACTTGCTGAACGTCATTCGGCTTTCCTTAATGAAAGAAGGCCCATGCCCAAGCTTCCCCAGGCATTATTGAATCAGAGTTTTCTCTACCAGAGCCATAGCATACCTATAGTTCCTTACTATGCTCATTATAATCATCACAGCTTTTCTATTCATCCCAATTTCAACTCTTGATCGTAGTTGAGTTGTTCTGTGCGGTGAGGCTCATGACTCGCGCATAGAGCTTATCAATCTCGACCTTCACCAATTCCGCCAATCGCACGTGAGAACTAGTGGAGTATCAATAATGGGATCTTGCAAAAGCATCCAGAAGATATTCATGTCAGATTCCATTCGTAAATCCTCGCTTAATATATACCAAGAAAGTAAACTATGATGAATATCGTACGTTCCATATCACAGCATTAAAGCCACAGTCCCGCAATCCAACCTCCCAAACAATGTCGCTATGTCAGTCGTCAAGCTTTTAGGAGGCATCAAATTAAGCCATATCCTTTACGTCCTCACTTCTTGCAGCAATCCTTCTTCTGCTCTCCTCCAAACGCCAATGTCGACAGCTTATCCACCAAGCTCACGCCCTGCTTGACGCCACTCGGCACGCTGCAGTAGCTGGGGGGGACATCCAAGCACGGATTTCTCGTGAAGAAGTTCCTTGGGCGTAGAAGCAAGGTCATCGGCTCAGCAGGCATGACGGGGAAGTCCTCCGGACTCGGGAAATGGGTAATGCCGAAGGTGTGCCAAAGCACAATATCCTCGTTAGCGATGTTCTGGTTAGGATTGGCAGCGATCCAAGCGGGAAGACCTTCGGAGGGCTCGCCGGATGTTTGAGGCACGTGACGGCCGGCAGGGTGAATTTGAGAGTCGTCGTCTATGACTAATTACCATCTATGTATATGTTAGAGATGAGAGGGGACGCTTACACTTTGTTACATGCACGGCATGTCGAGCGAAACCAGCACGCTTCCATACCAATCCATTCTCCTTAGGCAGTAACACCGGTACCTCCCTACTCACCAGCTTGTAGCTGACAGGCTTGTGGCTGTATGGGTTGAGCTTGCTCTCATTGCTCATCTCCCACGTCCTGCTGCTCGCACCGTCGTAATCGCTCTTGGCCTGTTCAGGGGTCTCGAACCGAGTCTTCTTTGCGTAGAAAGCATTGCCGTATGGGTTCTCCTTCGAGCCGACTTCGCCTGCTCCTCTCGCAGCATCAACTTGGAAGATAGTGTTCTTCGGTCCATCAATATTAGGATCGACGCGAAGGCAGAAGAGATGCTGGTGGTTGTGGGCGTTGACACCTGGGTACACTTCTGTGCCCCAGCCGTGGAGATCTTCGCCTGGGAGCATAGAGTATGTATTTAGAATACCAGTGAGCTTGATCTCGAGCTGCACGGTACCATCCTGGTGGAAGATCCAGTAGACGCAGTACTCGTAGTTGGCGGCGGTAAAGATGTGCGAAATAATGAGCTTCCTGGCGCGAGTGACCGTTACGCTGTCATCACGGAAATCGGTGTGCTTGAACAAGATGCCGTTATCCTCCTCGTGCACGCAAATTGCGTTCTTGATGGTTGTCGGTGCGCCAGCGCGGTTGACGAATGCGGCGTCGAGGTAATGGATGGCACCCTTGCAGTCACATCCCAGACTCAGTGAGTTGGTCATGTATCCTCCTCCATATTCTCCTAGATCGAACGCATGCTTGCGCTGGTGAGGGTGTTCGGGATTGCCGTATGGCACAACCATCTCTGCGAGAGACATGCGCCAGAAGATTGGTCGCTCATTGCCTTTGTCGTCAAAGGTGATGTTGGACAAAACCATACCCTCCCGGTAGTTGAAGCCAATGTGTAGTTTCCAATTCTGCCAGCTGATTATTCGTCCATCCATTGTGAAAGAAACGCCCTCTGGTTGAGTGATGTTGATAGGCTTGATATCAGTGCGGTAGCCACCCTCAGCTTCGATAAATGCGGCATGGTAGTTGTTTGGTGGAGCTGCGTTAACCGGTCGTCGTACATTCGGTATGTCGATGTGAATAATCTCTTGAGTATCGGCATTGAAAATTGGGCAGAAGTCTAGGGGATAGCTGTACTGGCTGTCGTCGACGTGTGGGCGATAGTACATCAGTGCCTGCTGAAGGCGCACATTGCTCCCGAAGCGCTCATCGTAGCCGATCGTCCAAGCTGTAGGATCATTTAGAAGTCAATCTTGGAAGTTTAAACTAATCGCACTCACGGTCGCAGTACACTTTGTGCATATCTTCCGCCGGTATGCCAAGAATCCCACATTGTTCGATGACCTTGGGGTCTTTCCGAACCACTAACTCCACTATTTGCAAGTCTTCCATGGTAATCTAGTGTTTATCAGTATAGCTCATTCTGCCGTGTAAAGAAGAACGTACCAGGGGCTGTACGCCTTCGGTTAGCTCCCAGGCCACAAGCTTGCCCTCGTTCAGGTCCACGATTCCATCATACACCTTGCTCCCTTTGCCAATCGCTACCACGTCCGCAACCCTGTGCGGCCTAGGTGTGTGTTCTGGATCTGCAACCCACGCCATCATCTCCGCCTTGCGCGGCTCCCATAGCGTAACTGCATTGAAAAACAGGTTGTCGTGCTCCTTACGAATGATAGCAACAGCTTTCTCAATTTCAGACTCGGAGAGAGGGTCGAATGGGTAAGGAGGCTCAGTCTGGCCGGTGATATGGGAGGCAGCTTGCTTTAGGCGGTCGAGAGCCATTGTGAGGTTTGTGGGGGAAATATGCGGGGAAGATGATTGAGGAAGGGGATTCTACAGTGTAAGAGGAGAAGGGCAGCTGGAGGAACAAATATATTCTATGCTGTTCAATAATTCTGCCTCCTCGCAGTCCAGGCGCGTCAGGACCCTAGAAATGTTTACCTAGTCCGGCATGTCCACGACGATTGCGACGGCATTATCGCCCAACCCCTCCTCCGCATTTCGTAACGTGAAGCTGTTGGTGCCGGGCCGATAACGATAAGAGCTTGTCCTCGGATTCTATGGACCGTTGCGGTTAGATGGGGGCCGCCTCTCCGCTCTGCAGACTGCACGAGGGGGGAATGCCCCTTCGAAGTCGACAAACTGTCCATTCGCCCGTCTGGCTGCTGGAGATGCTGTAAAACCTCATCACATGATGGGAGTCCGATGCATATTATGGGGCCTTCGGGCATCCTGTCCGAAAGCTTGGCTCTGGCCGTTCCTCAGCCCATTCCAATACAGGGAGGTCCAGGCGTCGAGACCATGTGAGTACACATGTCAAGATCAGGTAACGGTAGAGGAGAGATGGGACGAATGATATCGTGGTGGAGTTGGAAAGGGGACGGCCAGTCATCGGGCCGGATTTCGAAGTCAATCCACAAATGGGCCGTGCACGAACTTTCGAAGTATTTCCAGTGCTGGCACCGAATACGCTGTATTCGAATATGAGCTAATCAAATATCGGTATTGCCAATACTACCTAATATTCGAATCATATCCGAATATTTCTTGGCACACTAAAATTTCGAATTTTCAACCACTAACTACTCATCTTTTATCCCTATACTCGTACGAAATGTCCTCTGAACTTCAAGAAATCGAAGAATTTGAACTATCTCTTACCTCAAATGCTGTTGAGAAAACAGTTGATACTCTTTCTGACGGAGTACGTATTCTTAGCCAGCTAGCCTACGGAGTATGGTACGGCTAGCTCAGCTACCTTGATATAGAACACGGTTCCTGTACTTAGCCCACACAGTTCTACGGTACGGCTACGTAAGCCTCCACACACACAGAGTATATATACGGCGTACGTAGCCTAGATAGATGCTCATCCAATACATCACTTACCTCGTTCAATGCATTGTTTCACCTCCATCCTCACTTTCATCCACAAAAACGTCCCGAAAAACTTCACCAATACACGAGCATTGTCGTACGGCAACAATTGAAGAACGACAAGAAAAACCAGAATCAAAATGGATATGGTGCAAATACTGTCCCAGTTATGCTGCTCAGAATACAACAAATATGAGACAGCATCTAGAGAAAACCCACGGAATCATTGCTAATAAGGCACCGGTCTCATCTATTCGCACGACAGCTACCGAAACTGTTGAAGCATTATATAATAAGCTTCTTCTACAGCTTGAGAATAGCAAAGATAATGTCAACAAAGAGATTCTGCGACGTATGGTGAATCAACAGCTGGTTAATCAAACTTTGCTGGATTTAATTATTATCCGAAGACTTCCATTTTCCTGCGTAGAATGGCCAGAATGGCATGCTTTTATTCAGGCCCTAAATCCGGAAGGCAATACCTTTATACCAACATCTCACAATACGATTAAGCAGAGGATTGCGAATTGGTTTCCACAAGCAAAAGATATCGTACGAAAACGACTTCAGTTATCGCAAACAAGCATTCATCTTGCCGTCGATATCTGGACACCACTAAGCCATAATCTTTTGCTTACTATCTGCGCTAGCTTTGTGGACGCACAAGATCACTTTCGAAACATCTTAATTGCCCTTTGTACGGTACAAGGCCACAGCGGTCTAAATTAATAGGAAAGCCTTTGCCCGGTCCTTGAAGACTATAGAATTATAGAGAATATCGGCTCCCTTATTGGCGATAACTCTACCACCAACGATATACTTTATTGTACAATGGCTGCTTACCTTAGCACGGAGAAGCGAATTAACTGGAATTAAACCTTTCAACGGCTCCGCTGCATAGGCCATATTCTTAACCTTATTGTCAAAGCCTTTTTATTTATTAATAAATATAAAGAGTAAGTAATAGAGATATATAATAGAGAGGATGAATTAGGAGAGGAACTAGATAATAAACGCCGAAAAGAGAGAGCAACTTTAATCCGGAATAGAATGGGCGTTATAGGCAAGATTTACAATATTGTTATCTATATCCGTGCTTCGCCTAATTATACAAATAAGTTTAAAGCAATTGCTGGAAAGTTAATCCCTTTAGATAATTGTATAAAATAGAATAGCTGGTTCCAAATACTCCATGTTACGCTTAAGACTAGAGTCCTAAATACGCTACAGAATTACACCGAAATGCATATCTCTAGTGGCACAATTAATAAAAGAGATAAGCTTCTTCCTTCTAATATTGCTCTCTGCCGTATAATAGAGCAATTTCTCTCTATTTTTAAGAGTGCAACTCTTTTTCTTAAAGGGCAACAAGCTACAATTAAACAGGTCTTAGAAGTTATAGAGATTATTAAGGAGTATCTTAAAATCTCTTTAGTATATTGTACAATAATAGTATCTACAGCTTTTACTAATATGTTAATAGAAAGAGAATAAACCGCTTAAAAGCCAAATTAAAAGTATAAAGGTGTCACGGTATTGATCATGGCCTCCCTCTAAGCATCAATCCCCTGACACCTTGTTCCCGCATACGTGCGCACGCGTGCGCCACGCGCCTGCCACTTGATTCCCGATTCTATTAGGGCCACGCGCTATGTGCGAGCCCCTTTTCTCGTCTTGTATATAGCCTGGCTCCCGTCCCTAATTCAACTCGGCATCTTGACGTCTTGTAACCAACCACGGTAATAGCACATAGTTATCCTTCTTTGAATCTGATACTTGTCTATCTCGCGTTCAAATGCCCGATACATCGTCACCGTGACAAAAGGCAAAGTTTAACTTCTACTTATTAAGGCTAGATTAATTACTATATTATGCCGCGGCTTGTATTCTCCATCTAGAATATTGTACAACTTAGCTAAAAGACGAGGATAGCAATCCTATAGATGTATACGCTGCTTATATAATAAGGGTCTGAAGCCTTTAGGAGAAATTCCGTAGAGAAAGTCCATTGCGCTCTTAATTATACAACCCTCCTCTTAAATAAGCCAACCCTTTAAGGAATTAGCCTCTTCCTCTAAATAGTTTTAAAAAGCTTTGTTAAAATATAAAGCAGAAACACACCCGGCCTCAAAGTTAGGATGAGTTTGAAAACTACTGTAATGAAGCCGTGTCGTACGAGATCAAGATACCTGCGCTAGAATGGTGGCTGTAGGACTCACAGCGGAAACGATGGCCACAGTTATCATGCTGGGCTATTGGAATTCTTTCAATTCCCTTAATGAGTGATAAACCAGAGCGAATATTTTCAGGAGGTCGTCGTACGGTTACTTGGGATAAAACAGCAATAACGGCGGCCACATTAGAGCAATTGGAATGCGGGAGAGATTGGAAAAGGGACGATTTATTGAAGGATGATTTCTAGAAGGGAATTCTTTATCGTTCGACAGACTGTTTCAATTTATAGACTCTTGTTGGTGGGGTTTTATTATTAGCTTTTGTAAAATAGGTGTATCGGCGGCGTTTTGAATAAATATTCGAATACGATATTGCCGAATATTTACCGAATAGCCCATATTCGATTCGGTTAGTATTGGTCCGTTCACTGCCAGCACTGAGTATTTCTACTGCAGTTTGTTGCTAGGTTAGTGAGGTATCTACGCATGCTCTACCATTACGTTAAACAACTCCCAAATCGCTTCCATACAAACGCAGGTCGAAAAAAGTTGAATAGCTTAGTCAGCACACTGATCTCACTCCAACTTCCGGAGCAACTTCATACCTCTCCCTACACTACTACTGAGACTTCATCAGGATCATTAAAACATGTTTCCTTGAGCATAAAGTCCATCTCTACGTGCTGAGAAACCTACCGTGCCGAGAAATATGAAGGGTACTTTAACTTTAAGCAGCTCACACTTCGTGCACACGTCGGTATCTGCAATGGTTCTATATAAGTTGTGTACTGTGGCTATTTATAAACATCTAGGACCCCTCTCACCTAAAAATTATATTCGCATCCCTGCCTTTGAGCCTAATTTATAGAGAGCCTTCTTTTATAGCATAATAGACTTCTCTTCCTATAGAACTATTATAAATCTCTTACCACTCTAAATACTAATAGCAGGGTCTTATCCAAGCATTAAAACCTCGCTATGATGCTAGGAAGTTATTGTCAGCCCGCTCAGGTAGCCCCCTTGTAGCGCGCAAATTCGTGCAAGGTCGCCACGCAGGCACGCAGGTTGGTACCTCTAATAGAAGCGATCACCAATTCTTAGCAAGCGGGCCAACGTTAGCCCCTAGCCTTGCAACTTAACTTGGCCATGCCTCCAGTCAACTACAAAGGGTGCGGGCCGAGTGCATAATCACCTTCCCACCAAAATCTGGCAGAAAGCTGTCCAACGCGCCACATGGTTGAATAAATTTACTTCCTTCGTGCAGTGTCTCTATAATGCCTCCACGAGAATATCTATCAATTTAGATTTCTTTTTTTGGTCCTGGTTGCGGAGATGTGGCTTTGGAGAGGTGTCGTTTTGTGGCGATTTTGATGTTCCTCGCCTCGCGTAGCCGCTTGGGAGGTGATTGTGCACTCGGCCGCACCCTTTGTAACTTAACTATCTGAGAACACCTACAGAATCACCACCTCACCAGGTCAGGGCCGGAGCGGGTTGGCCATCTCCCTGCTAGTGGTGGCAAAATGCCACTTTAGTCGAGGCCGCCACGCTAACAGATTAACTCTAGGATACCACTTCCTAAAGTACTCTTTAAGTACCTTTCGTCGTACCAGTAGCAATTTTCTAAACTACTATAATAGCTATCCTGGAATATACAAATAGAAAAGTATAGCTCTAATATCTCCTTTACGCGCATCTTTCCGTATAATTAAATTCATGTTAGTCGACTAATCTAGCTATTATAAGCCAATAAGGAGCTAACGTCCACTTGCTCTGCCTCCCACCTAGCCAGGGCCTTTAAGGAAGACATATAATATGGATGGCCAGCACCTAAAATATGGCGGCGTAACCGCACACATTCACTCATAAGATTTATAGCTTCCGCACCACGACCCTGTCCTTTCCACGTAAAGGCAAGATTAGCCATGCTGGTCAGCGTGTCGGGATGGTCCGCTCCGAGCTTCGTCTTGCGAGTCTCCATTACTTGCACCTCCAGCTCTTCGGCATCCTTCCACCG